TGGAATTTGATTTTAATATATAAATGTGAAATTGTGTAAGTCAGTGTGTTTGTTATATTATTACAGATGTTATAGCATTCCAGAGCTTTTGTGAATTCATATATTTAGTCTTACATTTTGGGTATATATTTCTCTTTAGATTAAGAAAATAATTTTGATGTAGAAAGAAATAATGTCATTATTGTAACATACTACTAATTACTTCTTCAAACCTGTATTTACAAATAAGCAGTTTAGACAATGACCTAGGGCTCCCTTGAGCGAAAAAATTTTTCACAGGGCACGCTTATTTTGATAAGCGGACAAGTTAATGCGTGATGATGTTCCTTGAACAAATAAGTTGTAGAATCTATCTATCTATCTATTAAATGTGAAATAATATTTAAACATATTTGTTTAACGAGTGCTTAGAAAGGTCGGGGGATCTCCCTACTACGCTTTTTCCGGTATATGCTTGAAGGAATTTTTTTATGTCTACGTATGTAGGCACGCCAATAACTCCAAGGTATTTTGACAGATTTGCCTAATTCTTTTTTTATTAGAAAGTGTACGTGCTTTTTTATTTGAAACATGCGAATATTTTGATATTCGCAAGAAGATTCTCACTGGTCGTGTCGAGTGGTCGTCACACCAGAGTATGAGAGTGACAGGAATAGAGAATGCACTCGTGTCTGCGCGTACACTTGTGCACTATAATATCTCCTGCGCAGTTAGCTAGTCTCAATGAGATTGGCCGCCGTGGCCGGAATCGGTCAGGAGAACATCATCGTTCGCAAGATGATATCCGGAGATAAACAACGGAACTCCTTAACGAATCAAAATAAATCAAATATGAGTCAAGATCTTAGTATATTTGCTATTGGTGGTTGTTAGGTACTTTACAAAATAACCGAACCACTGATGACTGACCAGATAAAGCTCGATGACAGATTCTAGAGATAATGAATGGATGTTTTAAAGTATTTTTGTTTATATTAGTTTAGGTATAGTTGTTTATTACATTATAGTTTTTACACGATTATCGCTAAAAGCTGTATTAGAATAAATAAGTATTGACGTATTTATTCTAAAATATTTAAGACTTATGTATTCGAAATATGCATGATGCCTGCATGTCTGAAAGAAGAAAGCAAATTCTCCAAAGACAAGTGAAGTCCGCCAACCCGCATTTGGCCAGCGTGGTGGACTATGAGCTTTTCCCTCTCGCATTAAGAGGAGGTCCGTACCTAGCAGTGGCTCAGTTACTTATAGTAATTTATATATTTTTATAAGCTAGAACAGCGCCGGCCCAGGGATAGAGCGAGAGGATTAGTCGCTCTAGGTGCCAGGTAGTCAGTCATATTTTGATTTTTATCGCCAGGTAATCAAATACGAAAAACAAATTTCAGCAAGAAAATTTGAAAAATAAAACTTTGACGCCTTTTGAAAGACGCGGGGCAGTGTTGCTAGGTCAGTTTTCTGAAAATCCGAAGGGTGACGATGAAAAATCTGTAGATTCCTATCGATTGCATCTGGCATGTCTTGAAAGTTGATTTGAAAAATTGGTAATTATTATTTATTTAACATAAGGCCAAAGTACAATTTATGTAAAGTGAAAGCGCCGACTAAAGGGCTGATCAAAGGCTGGCACTGAGGTAGAGTAATGGATAAAACACATATAAGTGTATGTACTTAAGTAACTCGTTATTTTAAAAAAATAGAAAATAGGATAGGAATAGGACAAAAAATATAAATGATGTGATTACGATTATCGATCCGCGAGACTAGCCAATAGCCATTATATTTCTAAGAAAATAATCGATCATATCGTAATGAATAAATACAGTGCAATTATTTCATCGACTTCCGGAGCAATATTTTTTATATGATTTATGACATTCTCCGTTGTAGATATAATCTTGCTCTAATATCATTCATCTCACATTTAATGTAGCTCGAGTCGAGTTGCATTCCAAGCGGGTTGAACGGAAACTGGAGTTCAATTGCTCCGATAAATTAAAAAAATAACATGTGAATTATTTCAAGTATATATAAAGCCTTTACTTTGTTGAGAATCGCATCAGTTTATTCTTTCTTACTAAACTTCTATTTCATACTAAGTAATTTAATACGCGTAATGGCCAAAAATAATATTTCAATAAACTCACTCAGTGACTCAACTCACTGACAAACTCAGTCAGTAAGCTTTTTTCTATAGCAAGAGCTTTCGTTAAGAAGCTACATATCTAATTTTGATTCGGAAGCTCAAGATTTATTCATATCAGACTGATAATAGAAGTAAACTGGTTATATCAATACGCAGAATTTCTTAAAAAGCTTCAAATATAACTTTTTATAGTTCCACTCTTTCTCACCTGTACAAAATGTATTGTTGGAATTTTTCCAAATACCTACGTAGTACGCTACAATTAAAGGACTTGGGTCTCATCTAGCAATTATTTATAAAAGCTTTTAGAAAACCGCAAACGTAATTTGAAACCACCAATATTCAAATTACGAACTCGACAAGGTCGAAGGTCGACAAAACTTGCAGCATCCAAACAAAAGAGATGGAAAAGTTTTTTTTTTTAATGAAACTTCAAAATGAATTTGAAACTAACGAATTGTTCATGACTAACGTGCGCACCATCCTTGCAGCGTTAAGTCTGAAGAGTTGGATCCTCTTAGGTCTGGTTATATCGTCAATACTTTTCTCAAAATGAACTTGGAAGTAACAGATGAAATTGATTTATTCCCATTTAAACAATAGTGCATAATCATTATAGTAAAGATGTATTGTGACATCATCGTTTGGATTAAAGTTAGGTATGGGAGCGGGAAAAATAGTTTTCAACATATCTTGCAACATAACTTAGTAGGTATAAAGTATAAAAATTCATAAAATAATTAGTAGGTGAGTGTTTTTAATCTTAGCAAATATCCCGCCATATGTAAGGCTTATCTAAAATACCAATATTCATGGGAACCAGTTTTGAAGTTAAATAACTATGCCATAGCATGACTGGTGCCATCTAGTGGCAAGTTAATTATAACTCGTCAACCCTAAAGCAGTTTCCTGGCTGTATGGTGCCTGGGTGGGAGAAAAGTACGTTATTGTGATAGGCCACTGATATTTATCAATCAACCTATCGCCATTCACTGCTGAACAAAGGCCTCCTCCAATGAGCGCCAACCATCCCGGTCCTGGGCAGCCCGCATCCATCTACTGCCAGCCACCTTTCTTAGGTCATCTGTCCATCGTGCTGCAGGCAGACCACAGTAGATGCCTTCGTTTGACGACTGTATGGATCGTAGACTGTTACACAATGCAATAATGTTCTCTTAATTAATAATATTATCAACGAAAATCTATCTTACTTCTAGTGAAATGAAATTTCACACCATGTTTGTAAATTATAGGAACAAGCATTATTGAAAAGCAACAGTTTCTCTAATGTCACCCGCAACATGCTATCATGAAAATAGTGTACTTCTGGGAGCCACTGAACAAAAGAATGCAATTGACATAGTATGTAAATAATCCTATATATTTTTAGCTAAAATAATAGAAACAGCAAATTAAGATTAAATCGTTAAAAAAATTAAAGAATTAATGAAAATAACGTAATATTATCATCCTTAATAAAATTTCTTAAAAAAATCACAAAATATCATAGAATAATTAAAAAAATACAAATAATCGTTCATTTAAAAAAATATTCTTAGGGTTCCGTAACTGAAGGGTGCCAACGGAACTCTATTACTAAGCTTCCGCTGTCGGTCCGTCTGTCAGAGAGCTCTATATCATGAACGGTAATAGACTTGAAATTTTCAGTGTGTATTTATTTCTATTGCCGTTTTATCAACAAATAATAAAAAAAAGGTGGCGAATTTCAAAAAGGCTGCCATGTAAATTAAAAAAAAAACGATTATGGTACGGAACCCTACGTGTGCGAGTCCGACTCACACACGAAGGTAATAAAAAAATACAAAGAATTGTTCATTTAATAATTTATTTTTTCTTTATTTGCGATTGGGTATTGAATATATCTCACATAAAACTTTACATAATACCAAACAGACAGTTCCCCTGGTACACATTTATTACACACTTAATGCTATTACAAGACTAATATACATACAGATAATACATACTTTGTTTTAAACCCATACTAATATTTAAATTAATTTTTAATCTGTTTCTAACATGTGGCCAGTACCAGAAAAACAAAACAAACTTTCCGAAAACTACATTATATATCACATAAAATTTTACAATACACTGTAATCTCGCGCGTTCATTGTTTTGGGGTCATTGCATTTTGTAATAGAAGCCGCCTTCATAACAACCAGATTAACAAACTTAAACAATAAAAACGTTCAAATCTTTCCTTAAAAAAAAGGTTTTTTTTTTACTTTACGAACCAAAATTCATTTACATTTCATTTTATTTAACTTTTGAAATTGTATATAAAATAAAAATAAAAAGTAAATAAGGAACTCTTGCATGTAAAGTAAATAGATGTATTGCGGCTGAGATTTTGTTATAAAATTAAAATGACGCGTCCACTTTTTGCACTAATTTATCAACTATTACATACTTTACATTAGTACTGAGAGCATTGAAATTCTAAATATATATGGGACATAACACACACAAACTTACACTGTTATCTTAATTATAGTTAAGCCTCCTTTCAATAGGGTATGTGACTTATTAAAAAAAATTCAACATGAGATTAATATTTTAGATAGAGCAATATTTGATTTCATAAAGAATAATAATGCTATTTTCATGTGCTAGATCTCTTGAGTATTATCTTATTACATATCCAACAACAACACTCAAAATATAAATTATAATAGTCAATTAAAACCCTATTGTTGTATATTTAAAAGAGGGGTTCATATTTATACTTGTGCTTTGAATTCAGTACAAAAAGGGAACACACCACACTTATTTTGAAAGTAAAAAATAAATTAGACTAAATAAATTAAGTTATTCCCACACATCACTATTATAATTCGGAATGTTCAACATTTTCTTCTAGCTGTGGTATTTCTGTTGTTTCTTCAGTTTCAACAGCTTCAGCCTTTCCATTCTCATTCTCTTCTTCAACTTCTTCAGTGACAGGCTTCACTTCTTCCTTTGCTTCTATAGTTTCCGTTTTGTTTTCTTCTTTCTTAGCCGGCTTCTTGGGCTTCCAAATTTTCATTTTATTTAGCAAATATTTAACCTCTCTATCCAAATTCGTTATTTTTTCCCTGATACTTTCCACTGTAAGTTTGATGTCTTCATTCTTTTTCAATTCATTCTGCTCTTCAATAGACTTATCTAACCACAATTGGGTTTCCTCAATTTTCTTTTCGAGAACAGTTATTTCCACTTCAGTAAAAACATCTCTTTCAGAATTTGCTTCTTTAGTGAAGTTTTTGGACATTTTTAGGAACTCTCGGGAACTATTGAGTAGGTTTCGTACTGCATTTATAGCGTCTGGTCGTTCTTTATGCTCCCAGTGTTTGTAAAATATAGGGTTAGACTTTTCTTTGAGCAACTTCAATTTCTCTTCATACATTTCTGTCTCTGCATCATAACCATCTTCATAGAGCCAGTCGGATATTTCAGAGCAAATCTTTATGATCTCCTCAATTTGCTCCGGTGTACCACATTCAGCATATTCATCCATGTTCATTTTCATTTGGGCATCAACTACGAAAGCTTCTAGATTGTTCAACGCCGTCTCCCTCTCCACTCGTTTCTTATCAATATTATTTAATTGGATTATCTTTGTTTTAGAGGCTTTGAATTCTTCTGGAGTTAGTGGTAAAAGTGTTAATATCTGTTCATCTGTTTGAATTGGTTCTTTTAATACAACTATCTTAGGCTTTGGCTTAGTTTCAGGCTCAGTTGCGTTTTGTTTTTCCGTAGTTGTATCATTTTTGGTAGTTTCATTCTTCACAGTCTCTTTTGGTTTTTCTTCTGCCTTCTCTTCTGGTTTATCAGGTAATTCAGAGTCTGAACTGAACAATTTGCTGATAGTGCTACCTATTTTCGACAAGGTGCTATCTTTGTCTTCGTCCTCATCAGTGACTGTCTTTTCAGCGACAAATTCCACATTAACTAAATGGAGAAGACCAGAATCGTCCATGTTGAAGTGTGCTTTAATGCCTTTGTGTTCAATATTTTCTCCTGAATTCTTTGCTAAGGCCTCACTAACTCCAGATAACACTACTTGTGTTAAATTTAAAGATCCAATGCTCATCAGTTCGCTTGACGGAATATGGTCTAACTCGGCGTAATTGACGTTAAAACTGAAATCGTCCGTGTGTTTGTTGAATGTGATAACTTTCTTTTGTGGGTAAGGGTTCATCGGTCCAAAAAGAGTCCTCTTAATCTGAAAAAATAGAAACATAAAGTATTTGTACATATAAGTTTTATTTTACTTTATGATATTTTATACTTGAAAAATAATCAATTTACAAAGATAGAAATGAAATAGGATAGATAATAAGTAATTATTGTTTGTTTTGTAATCAATTATTACAGTGAATTTATACAAACAAAAGTATACATTCCGTTTTAAGCAGAAAAACGTACACATGTTTCGCGTAATATGGTAATCAAAGGCTGAATGAAATTACGGCAAAAAATACTTGCACCTTTAATGACTGTCCATCTTTAGTGGACCGGAATTTATTTCTCGAAATAAAGCCGCATGTTTTTCAAACGAGTTATTTAGTTTTAAAAGAATTTTGATTACTTTCACTGGAAAACACATTTCAAAAGCAATAATTTCATATATGCTAAGCAAACACAATTCTGTTTTACTAGTGTAATTCATATTTAATTAAATGCTTTGGATTGAATATAATTAGGTACAGTTGTAGTAATATTAATCTTGTTGTAAGTTATAATGGAATTTGCTTTTAATATATAAATGTGAAATTGTGTAAGTCAGTGTGTTTGTTATATTATTACAGATGTTATAGCATTCCAGAGCTTTTGTGAATTCATATATTTAGTCTTACATTTTGGGTATATATTTCTCTTTAGATTAAGAAAATAATTTTGATATAGAAAGAAATAATGTCATTATTGTAACATACTACTAATTACTTCTTCAAACCTGCATTTACAAATAAGCAGTTTAGACAATGACCTAGGGCTCCCTTGAGCGAAAAAATTTTTCACAGGGCACGCTTATTTTGATAAGCGGACAAGTTAATGCGTGATGATGTTCCTTGAACAAATAAGTTGTAGAATCTATCTATCTATCTATTAAATATGAAATAATATTTAAACATATTTGTTTAACGAAAGCTTAGAAAGGTCGGGGGATCTCCCTATTACGCTTTTTCCGGTATATGCTTGAAGGAATTTTTTTATGTCTACGTATGTAGGCACGCCAATAACTCCAAGGTATTTTGACAGATTTGCCTAATTCTTTTTTTATTAGAAAGTGTACGTGCTTTTTTATTTGAAACATGCGAATATTTTGATATTCGCAAGAAGATTCTCACTGGTCGTGTCGAGTGGTCGTCACACCAGAGTATGAGAGTGACAGGAATAGAGAATGCACTCGTGTCTGCGCGTACACTTGTGCACTATAATATCTCCTGCGCAGTTAGCTAGTCTCAATGAGATTGGCCGCCGTGGCCGGAATCGGTCAGGAGAACATCATCGTTCGCAAGATGATATCCGGAGATAAACAACGGAACTCCTTAACGAATCAAAATAAATCAAATATGTGTCAAGATATTAGTATATTTGCTATTGGTGGTTGGTAGGTACTTTACAAAATAACCGAACCACTGATGACCAAGACCACCAACCAGATAAAGCTCGATGACAGATTCTAGAGATAATGAATGGATGTTTTAAAGTATTTTTGTTTATATTAGTTTAGGTATAGTTGTTTATTACATTATAGTTTTTACACGATTATCGCTAAAAGCTGTATTAGAATAAATAAGTATTGACGTATTTATTCTAAAGTATTTAAGACTTATTTATTCGAAATATGCATGATGCCTGCATGTCTGAAAGAAGAATGCAAATTCTCCAAAGACAAGTGAAGTCCGCCAACCCGCATTTGGCCAGCGTGGTGGACTATGAGCTTTTCCCTCTCGCATTAAGAGGAGGTCCGTACCTAGCAGTGGCTCAGTTACTTATAGTAATTTATATATTTTTATAAGCTAGAACAGCGCCGGCCCAGGGATAAAGCGAGAGGATTAGTCGCTCTAGGTGCCAGGTAGTCAGTCATATTTTGATTTTTATCGCCAGGTAATCAAATACGAAAAACAAATTTCAGCAAGAAAATTTGAAAAATAAAACTTTGACGCCTTTTGAAAGACGCGGGGCAGTGTTGCTAGGTCAGTTTTCTGAAAATCCGAAGGGTGACGATGAAAAATCTGTAGATTCCTATCGATTGCATCTGGCATGTCTTGAAAGTTGATTTGAAAAATTGATAATTATTATTTATTTAACATAAGGCCAAAGTACAATTTATGTAAAGTGAAAGCGCCGACTAAAGGGCACTAAAAGACAATCTCCTTGTACCCTGATCAAAGGCTAGCACTGAGGTAGAGTAATGGATAAAACACATATAAGTGTATGTACTTAAGTAACTTCTTATTTAAAAAAAATAGAAAATAGGATAGGAATAGGACAAAAAATATAAATGATGAGATTACGATTATCGATCCGCGAGACTAGCCAATAGCCATTATATTTCTAAGAAAATAATCGATCATATCGTAATGAATAAATACAGTGCAATTATTTCATCGACTTCCGGAGCAATATTTTTTATATGATTTATGACATTCTACGTTCTAGATATAATCTTGCTCTAATATCATTCATCTCACATTTAATGTAGCTCGAGTCGAGTTGCATTCCAAGCGGGTTGAACGGAAACTGGAGTTCAATTGCTCCGATAAATTAAAAAAATAACATGTGAATTATTTCAAGTATATATAAAGCCTTTACTTTGTTGAGAATCGCATCAGTTTATTCTTTCTTACTAATCTTCTATTTCATACTAAGTAATTTGATACGCGTAATAGCCAAAAATAATATTTCAATAAACTCACTCAGTCAGTAAGCTTTTTTCTATAGCAAGAGCTTTCGTTAAGAAGCTACATATCTAATTTTGATTCGGAAGCTCAAGATTTATTCATATCAGACTGATAATAGAAGTAAACTGGTTAATATCAATACGCAGAATTTCTTAAAAAGTTTCAAATATAACTTTTTATAGTTCCACTCTTTCTCACCTGTACAAAATGTATTGTTGGAATTTTTCCAAATACCTACGTAGTACGCTACAATTAAAGGACTTGGGTCTCATCTAGCAACTATTTATAAAAGCTTTTAGAAAACCGCAAACGTAATTTGAAACCACCAATATTCAAATTACGAACTCGACAAGGTCGAAGGTCGACAAAACATGCAGCATCCAAACAAAAGAGATGGAAAAGTTTTTTTTTAATGAAACTTCAAAATTAATTTGAAACTAACAATTTGTTCATGACTAACGTGCGCACTATCCTTGCAGCGTTAAGTCTAAAGATTTGGATCCTCTTAGGTCTGGTTATACCGTCAGTACTTTTCTCAAAATGAACTTGGAAGTAACAGATGAAATTGATTTATTCCCATTTAAACAATAGTGCATAATCATTATAGTAAAGATGTATTGTGACATCATCGTTTGGATTAAAGTTAGGTATGGGAGCGGGAAAAATAGTTTTCAACATATCTTGCAACATAACTTAGTAGGTATAAAGTATAAAAATTCATAAAATAATTAGTAGGTGAGTGTTTTTAATCTTAGCAAATATCCCGCCATATGTAAGGCTTATCTAAAATACCAATATTCATGGGAACCAGTTTTGAAGTTAAATAACTATGCCATAGCATGACTGGTGCCATCTAGTGGCAAGTTAATTATAACTCGTCAACCCTAAAGCAGTTTCCTGGCTGTATGGTGCCTGGGTGGGAGAAAAGTACGTTATTGTGATAGACCACTGACATTTATCAATCAACCTATCGCCATTCACTGCTGAACAAAGGCCTCCTCCAATGAGCGCCAACCATCCCGGTCCTGGGCAGCCCGCATCCATCCACTGCCAGCCACCTTTCTTAGGTCGTCTGTCCATCGTGCTGCAAGCAGACCAGACAGTAGATGCCTTCGTTTGACGACTGTATGGATCGTAGACTGTTACACAATGCAATAATGTTCTCTTAATTAATAATATTATCAACGAAAATCTGTTTTACTTCTAGTGAAATGAAATTTCACACCATGTTTGTAAATTATAGGAACAAGCATTATTGAAAAGCAACAGTTTCTCTAATGTCACCCGCAACATGCTATAATGAAAATAGTGTACTTCTGGGAGCCACTAAACAAAAGAATAGAATTGACATAGTATACTAAATAATCCTATATATTTTTAGTTAAAATAATAGAAACAGAAAATTAAAATTAAATCGTTAAAAAAATTAAAGAATTAATGAAAATAACGTAATATTATCATCCTTAATAAAAATTTCTTAAAAAAATCACAAAATATCATAGAATAATTAAAAAAATACAAATAATCGTTCATTTAAAAAAATATTCTTAGGGTTCCGTAACTGAAGGGTGCCAACGGAACTCTATTACTAAGCTTCCGCTGTCGGTCCCTCTGTCAGAGAGCTCTATATCATGAACGGTAATAGACTTGAAATTTTCAGTGTGTATTTATTTCTATTGCCGTTTTATCAACAAATAATAAAAAAAAAGGTGGCGAATTTCAAAAAGGATGCCATGTAAATTAAAAAAAAACCGATTATGGTACGGAACCCTACGTGTGCGAGTCCGACTCACACACGAAGGTAATAAAAAAATACAAAGAATTGTTCATTTAATAATTTATTTTTTCTTTATTTGCGATTGGGTATTGAATATATCTCACATAAAACTTTACATAATACCAAACAGACAGTTCCCCTGGTACACATTTATTACACACTTAATGCTATTACAAGACTAATATACATACAGATAATACATACTTTGTTTTAAACCCATACTAATATTTAAATTAATTTTTAATCTGTTTCTAACATGTGGCCAGTACCAGAAAAACAAAACAAACTTTCCGAAAACTACATTATATATCACATAAAATTTTACAATACACTGTAATCTCGCGCGTTCATTGTTTTGGGGTCATTGCATTTTGTAATAGAAGCCGCCTTCATAACAACCAGATTAACAAACTTAAACAATAAAAACGTTCAAATCTTTCCTTAAAAAAAGATTAATTTTTTTTTACTTTACGAACCAAAATTCATTTACATTTCATTTTTTTAACTTTTAAAATTGTATATAAAATAAAAATAAAAAGTAAATAAGGAACTCTTGCATGTAAAGTAAATAGTCTTCAAATAAAAAATGTATTGCGGCTGAGATTTTGTTATAAAATTAAAATGACGCGTCCACTTTTTGCACTAATTTATCAACTATTACATACTTTACATTAGTACTGAGAGCATTGAAATTCTAAATATATATGGGACATAACACACAAACAAACTTACACTGTTATCTTAATTATAGTTAAGCCTCCTTTCAATAGGGTATGTGACTTATTAAAAAAAATTCAACATGAGATTAATATTTTAGATAGAGCAATATTTGATTTCATAAAGAATAATAATGCTATTTTCATGTGCTAGATCTCTTGAGTGTTATCTTATTACATATCCAACTACAACACTCAAAATATAAATTATAATAGTCAATTAAAACCCTATTGTTGTATATTTAAAAGAGGGGTTCATATTTATACTTGTGCTTTGAATTCAGTACAAAAAGGGAACACACCACACTTATTTTGAAAGTAAAAAATAAATTAGACTAAATAAATTAAGTTATTCCCACACATCACTATTATAATTCGGAATGTTCAACATTTTCTTCTAGCTGTGGTATTTCTGTTGTTTCTTCAGTTTCAACAGCTTCAGCCTTTCCATTCTCATTCTCTTCTTCAACTTCTTCAGTGACAGGCTTCACTTCTTCCTTTGCTTCTATAGTTTCCGTTTTGTTTTCTTCTTTCTTAGCCGGCTTCTTGGGCTTCCAAATTTTCATTTTATTTAGCAAATATTTAACCTCTCTATCCAAATTCGTTATTTTTTCCCTGATACTTTCCACTGTAAGTTTGATGTCTTCATTCTTTTTCAATTCATTCTGCTCTTCAATAGACTTATCTAACCACAATTGGGTTTCCTCAATTTTCTTTTCGAGAACAGTTATTTCCACTTCAGTAAAAACATCTCTTTCAGAATTTGCTTCTTTAGTGAAGTTTTTGGACATTTTTAGGAACTCCCGGGAACTATTGAGTAGGTTTCGTACTGCATTTATAGCGTCTGGTCGTTCTTTATGCTCCCAGTGTTTGTAAAATATAGGGTTAGACTTTTCTTTGAGCAACTTCAATTTCTCTTCGTACATTTCTGTCTCTGCATCATAACCATCTTCATAGAGCCAGTCGGATATTTCAGAGCAAATCTTTATGATCTCCTCAATTTGCTCCGGTGTACCACATTCAGCATATTCATCCATGTTCATTTTCATTTGGGCATCAACTACGAAAGCTTCTAGATTGTTCAACGCCGTCTCCCTCTCCACTCGTTTCTTATCAATATTATTTAATTGGGTTATCTTTGTTTTAGAGGCTTTGAATTCTTCTGGAGTTAGTGGTAAAAGTGTTAATATCTGTTCATCTGTTTGAATTGGTTCTTTTAATACAACTATCTTAGGCTTTGGCTTAGTTTCAGGCTCAGTTGCGTTTTGTTTTTCCGTAGTTGTATCATTTTTGGTAGTTTCATTCTTCACAGTCTCTTTTGGTTTTTCTTCTGCCTTCTCTTCTGGTTTATCAGGTAATTCAGAGTCTGAACTGAACAATTTGCTGATAGTGCTACCTATTTTCGACAAGGTGCTATCTTTGTCTTCGTCCTCATCAGTGACTGTCTTTTCAGCGACAAATTCCACATTAAGTAAATGGAGAAGACCAGAATCGTCCATGTTGAAGTGTGCTTTAATGCCTTTGTGTTCAATATTTTCTCCTGAATTCTTTGCTAAGGCCTCACTAACTCCAGATAACACTACTTGTGTTAAATTTAAAGATCCAATGCTCATCAGTTCGCTTGACGGAATATGGTCCAACTCGGCGTAATTGACGTTAAAACTGAAATCGTCCGTGTGTTTGTTGAATGTGATAACTTTCTTTTGTGGGTAAGGGTTCATCGGTCCAAAAAGAGTCCTCTTAATCTGAAAAAATAGAAACATAAAGTATTTGTACATATAAGTTTTATTTTACTTTATGATATTTTATACTTGAAAAATAATCAATTTACAAAGATAGAAATGAAATAGGATAGATAATGAGTAATTATTGTTTTAACAACTTTTAACTTACAGAATCCTGAAAAAGAAATAAAGTACTATAAATTATTTATTATACTCTGTAACTTCACGAAATTTCAAAATGTTAACAGTATATAATACATATAAACAAACTATATATTAAATTTTACAAACAATGAGAATTATAATACTTTCTTAGATTTACGCGAATGTTTGACATTATTAAATAAAACTATCTTTTCGGATTATTTCGCGGATTTATTTTGATTGCATTTTGATCTACACAGTATGAACTTACTACATCTACCTGTCTGTTATGTTTATATTTATTATTTGATTTTATTATATTAATAACAGGGTCCCATGACGATGGTAGTACCAATGACAGCTTATCAGATTAATATTTTTCATTTGTAAAAGTATATATTAATAGTGTTGCTTAGTAATTTGTTTTTAAATAATAGCAAACTAAATTAAAATTATTATCCTTAATTAATTTTAACTTTTTAAATTACACATAGAACAATTATATGGCTTAAATAATTAATACTATATTTTATATTTTTCTTTATGGTTATAAATATAATAATGGCAACACTAAATATAGATTACTAATTAATATTTTTAAAAATGTAATAATTATAAAAATAATAGCAAAAATTAAATAAATCATATTCCATATTTAATTATAATTAAAATTATAAAAATGTTTAAAGTTAAAAAATATTGTAATGTAATTGGTGCAATTTTCATTTTGTTAATTGTGGGTAGGCTGTCTGTAACAACTATACCTTCAAGACATGTAACACCTCAGTCTCTCCCGTGACCATGGATGCTGTAAAGCATTCGAAACGTCGGGAACCAAAAATCAAAATAAATCCGCGAAATAATCCGAAAAGATAGTTTTATTTAATAACAATTAGAATTTTTAATAATTAAATTAGATCCTATGGGTAACTTCTACACAGAAAAATTAAATTGAAGTGTCTGTTTGTAATGTCAAAATAACAACGTTTTACTAAATGCATATGAAATTATATAAGGTAGTTATAAGAAAAACACAATCTGTTCGTCTGTTTGTTCCCGATAATCTCTGAAACGGCTGGACTGATTTTGACGGGACTTTCACTGGAAGATAGCTGATGTTATAGGAAGTAACATAGGCTACTTTTATTTTAGAAAAGGAATTAAGGTTTCGCTCAAAAAAATGAAAACGTACCTAGGTACGAACCCGAGCGAAGCAAGGACGAGTCGCTAGTCCATAATATATTTGATGAATAAAAAGTCAACATATTTTGAAACAATGTGAGTAATTTACTAACCAATTTTTCAGTGCCATCGACGTGTCGAGTGAATACAACTTGTATGGGAAGCACGACCGCGTCGCGGACGTTGAGTGCCGCCACCTTGTAGCCAGTAGCCAGAGACGCCGCCCTAGTATCATAGCATGATTTTATTCATTTATTTACGACAGAAAACAGACATTAAATTTAGAATAAAAATACACCCATTTAAATAAATAAATATGTTGGGACATTAACACACAACACCATCTAGTTCCGTGGTAAGCTACGAGGTTTGTGTCATGGATACCAGATAGTTGACACACAGTACACATATATAAGTTTAAATATTTATATACATATTATAAATATAAACACCCATGACTGGAGAAGGAACATTAGTGCTTATCACACAAATGAATACCCCCAGCGGGACTCGAACCCGCGACCGTTGGCTCAGCAAGTAAGGTTACTAAAAACTGAGCTAAACATGTCTTTTTACCAATTATATTTTCACAAGTAAATAACACATAATTAAAATATTTATTTTAATATAAAAACCAATAGAATGCTAAATGATTATCTATATTTCTTATTTCGAACATAACTACCTTCTGTACTATGGGTTAAGTTTACTCTATATGATGTTCTCCTGACCGATTCCGGCCACGGCGGCCAATCTCATTGAGACTAGCCAACTGCGCAGGAGATATTATAGTGCACAAGTGTACGCGCAGACACAGGTGCACTCTCTATTCCTATCACTCTCATACTCCGGTGGGACGACTGCTCGACACGACCGGTAAGAGTTAAGGCGCAGGACCGACGGCTTTACGTGCTCTCCGAGGCACGGAGGTGAAACACCGCCAACTTCCCAACTCCGGGCTGTTACTGAGACTTACTATACAGAAAGACTCAATAACTAAACTTGGCCCGACCCGGGACTCGAACCCAGGACCTCCGGGTGTGCAGCCGTACATGCTAGCCACTAACACCACCGAGGCAGTAAAGCAGTTTTTTTTTTTTTTACTCTATATACATACCACATAACAACCTTATAGTTAAAACACTTCACATTCCTACATACTTGTACTATAAATTAAAATTACCAAGAATGTTGAATTTGTGTGTTTTTTGGGCTAATCTCAGAACCTAATGAACAAATTTTCATACCATTTTCCCTTAAAGAGAAGATTTATCTGTGAAAGTATGGGCTATAATTTAAAAACACTTTACAAAAACAAAGTACCAGTATGTGAATTAAGTTAAAACACATCATCATTTAAGTCAATTTCTACATTATAAAGACCAAGGGCAATGGTATATAATGGCAATCACTATACCTACATAATATGCAATATATAATCATTAATTAACTAATATTCATAAAATAAAGACTAATATTCATAAAGTAAAGACCAAAATACAACCACCACACATACCTATAAACAGCTCCCATAGTAGCGGCCTCATCAGCATTGATGGACCTGGACAGCTCGAGGCCACTGGTGGTCTTCAGCACGTCCTGCACGGCGGGCACGCGCGACGCACCACCTGCCACCACCAGGCGGGCTCCAACCCCGACTCCTGAAGCCGCCGCTATTGCCCGTTGGATGACCTGGCTTACTCGGGAGAACAGGTCCGAACATAGAGCTTCTAAGTCTGCACGGGTTACCTGTTCATTCACATAAATATAAATATGCTATACCTGATAACTATTGTAAAAAGGTAGTGGTTGATTGGAAAACCAAGTGAAGCGGTTTCAAGTCCTGCACCTCTAATATTTTCATGTATGAAGAATTTTTAACAAGATTACCACTTCCCTTACAATGAAGGAAAACATTGTGAAGAAATCTGCATGTCTAAGAGAACCTAGCAAGTTTTCAAAGATTGTGAAGTCTACCTACCAGCATTTGGCTGGTGTGATGGACTATCGCCTGATGCCTTTTTATTGAAGGGAGGCACGTGCCCAGCAGTGGGATATTAAATAGGACTAAGTACATTGTAAAAATTATAAGTGAACTCTATATACATTTTTATTTTTTTATTCATACATACACTTCATTCATATGGAAATAAGATTTACATAAATATACAGAGGTACCACACATGGATTAAACTCAGATTCATGTGGTTGTCCAAGTCAATAAGCTACAACTGCACTAACACTGTAAAGTACAACAATTGCTCCCTTTATTATCTTGACTTTTAGACAATTTAAAAAAAGTAAAAGTCTTTTGTAATAATTAATAATTACTTGTATGTCTTGTTATTGGTGAGAATATAAAGAACTTTTAAAACTAGAAAGTACATTTTAAATTTTATAGTATTTATATTTTCACCAATAGTGAGTTATATAATAACCTGAATGCTACCTTAACTATATTTCAATGCAATAAATATTTGCCCAATAAATAAATATGCGTCAAATTAACTGTTCAAAAATAAAACTAGGATACTTACTAAGTGTTTGAAATCTTTATCATCCAGCAAGCTCTCTATCTGCGCATAGTGTTCTGTGTTGGCAGATAAAACTATTTTCACTCTCTCAGCTTCTCGGAGCAATTTCTCCATAGCGCGGGGCGAGGACCTAACATCACCACCACCACTGGCCTCCCAAGCTTTAATAAGATGTTCTCGAAGACGTAATGTCATTTCTAATCCTCCAAGGGTTCTGTAAATCAATCATATATTTATAATAATAATTTAGTTATGTATTATTTTACAAGAGAATCAAACCCACATATTACCTAACAGTAATATGTAAAGCATTCTTAATAAATTTTTTATTATACCTGTCATATCCAACACCAATAACCTGCAACTGCGGAACAGTCTCAACATAGCCTTTATCCTTTATCTTGACAGTTTTGTATTCAACAAGGGCAGCCTTAGTGGAAACTGCACCCATATCGAAGAAAACCGTATACCATGGGGTGTCATTAATTTCCTATAAGAAATATTTAATTATTTGTATGTACAAAGTTTTAATTGTAACTATTGCTTCATTTTTTCTTTATACTGACATATAAATCAAAGTATTATGTTAGTAAAGCAAAAATATAATTATTAGATAACATCTAACATTAAGCAGTCAATACATAATTAAAGTAATTTACCTTCCTCCTAAATATGCCATAATTTATTGCAATAGCTGTATAATCATTGATCAATTGTAACACATTAAGACCAGCGAGTGCTGCAGCCTCCTTCATAGCTCTGCGCTCGACTTGGTTGAAATAACCAGGAATTGTGATCACACATTCAGTAATCTGTTGACCTGTTGTGATAAAGAAATTCATTTTATTTCTTTATATATATACATAATTGTTAATAGTGAACATTTTTACCAACAATTTAACACATAAAGATCTATAAATAATTGTTATTAATATAGATTTAGTAATTGTTGTACCAAAATAATATATTTTTCATAAATAAATATTCACACAAAATTATAAGAAATAGTTAACTTGTTTCCTATTTGTATAACAGAACATTCCATACCATGACTAATCTCCGCAAATTCTTTAGCTTTAGCCAATAACTGTGCAACAAGCTCTTCAGGTGTGTACTTAGTATTATCGTCATGCACAAACTCTGGAGTACCTCTGTCTGTTGGTAGTATTTCATAGTATGGGAATCTCTCCCTAAAATAAAATATTATTTTGAGCAAAGAGCATGATAAAAAGTAGACGAGATAATAGAAAACATTTTTCTTTAAGCAAATCAATTATTTTTCAGTTCTATTTGGTCAAATTATGACACCACATGAAATTGTAGACATGCCATTTAATTAATACTAGTGGTTCACACTCACTTCACTGGGGTTCATCCCTGGGTAGATTTTAAATAATTATTAGACATCGTTAGCCATGTAAGTTTTAGCCATGAATTTTTCTGATATTTTAATAGATAATACTATTATTCGAGGTAGAGACAAATCAAACAAATTAAAAACCATGAAAACCAGTCCAGCAGTATTCGAGTTATTAGTGTTGTTATAAACCAGACTTTGTTTTATATTTATAGATATGAAAGCTATTGACAGAAAATTACAAAAAAAAACAGAGAAAAACTATCGTTCAAAAGTCTGTAAAGTGTGAAAATAAAAAATGATGAATGATGAAAAATGAAAATTTGATATAAAAACCCTATTTAAACTTTAACTTAGGTATTACAATTTATAATTTCCCTTAAGATTTTGAAATAATATTAATAAAATCTAAATATTGTGAGATTCTAGAGAAATCTAATTGCATTATAACTTTTAGATAGTACTATCTCCACTGTACTTTCATTTAATATTGCTCTTTATATACCTAATCAATTCATTCCAAAATAATTTCTATGTATTCTATAAATAACTTTACATTTATAAATTACACTTACTTGAATGCTTGTACCAGCGGATGATCATATGGCTTGCCTAGAAGGTCCAACAGATATTTATAAGAATTCTTCGGGAACCGTACACCTACTGTAACAGCATCTTCTCCAAATGTCCTTACATCGTCTCTAAACGCAACAACAGCTGGAGTTTTTCTTTTTGACTCTTTGTTAAGCACTATCTCCATCGGAACCCCAGGTGACACAATACCGATTTTCATCCATTCTGATCCTAAATCAATGGATATGACTGCTGCTGCATCTACATTTTGACTTACAAGTAATGACAGCAATGCCAAGCATGTTACACTATACATTTTCTGTAAAAATAAAGAAAATACTTTCAACACATCATACCGAAACCGAAAGCCGAAAATGATTTGTGAGTTGCGGACTGTCAATGCGGTCTCATGTTTTTCTAAAATATATGAACTTACGATAAACAGAGCCATTTCCGCTTGAAGATTCGCATCCACTCACTCAAACTTTAATATTTCTTATGTTTTAATGCTTTAACATTTAAAATGTCTTGTACATTATTATTTTACGAAGTGGGCCAGCTACTTTAGTCCACGTCAAGTTTAACGTGTTTTTTTCTTTTTGGCTGATGACGTTGTTGCCAGAACTTTCGTTGAAAAACGATAAGTTAACTATAATAACATGAACAACAATACTTTCGACATATGAATCATATTTAATTTATGTGTTAAAATATACTAATAATTATTATCAGTGATATATAATTATATATAATACAACATAAAAAAGTATATTTACTTTTTGAAAACTTTTCACACATGAAATTTATTTGTAAGTATAATATAAAACTGAAGCTGGATAACATATAGTCAGTGTTTTTTCTATCTATTGTTAAAGTTTATTATATTAGTCAGGTGAAATAAAAAATATCAGACTGAATATTTCTTCATTATTGAAGTGGTGAAGTTCTACTGATATTGAAATATCAAATGTACGTGTTAATTAATTCTCATATATAGTCCTTATTCTTGACCTATTAGCATGAAAGTGGCTTGTAATTTACTTGATGTCTGACTGACTGACTTAATGAGGTGTGATTAAAAATTTAATATTATTAATGTTTTATTAGTGTGTGGATCCACCTTAATAATAAACTGTCAACAAAATCATAGTAAAGACAAGTATAGATCATATGTTTATTTATGTAGGTTACTCTTTAGTCTTTAGCTTATGGTTTGATTGGGTGTTTAAAGGTGTTTGTTGAGTGTTGATTTCAAGTACGGAGGCTGCGGAATGCTGTTTATTGTTATTAATTTCTAATTCGTGCATAAAACAAACATCTCATCTTAAAGGTGAGTTTATTTATGTTGTAACTCTTTATAAAACTATTATTTTTCTGCATGTAAAAGATTCTGTAAGATTTGAAAATAAAATCATTTATAAAAAGACGACGCATACATATCTATGTGCGCATTTTGGTATTTGCTCCCTGAATAACAACTAATGGATATCACGTTGCGCCAGTTCAATATACGAAAAGCGTTCGGTGTCATTTACGTGCGGATCTAAAAATGTGACGGGACGCATGAGGAGCGCAGAGAAGCGGACACTGGCGCTCCTTCTAAAAATGGATCCTACCCTAGTGGTACTTGAAACGTGCTTGCAATATCTTCTGTATTGTAGTGGTAGTCTAGTGTCCTTCTAATTATGTAATGGCCCTTCAAATGGTCGTCGGCACGTGCATATGGCTCTGCACGCGGCGGTCCACGTAGGAGGTTCAGCGCGCATCGCGCACGCGGTCACACTTCGAAATCCAGTTTCCTAGCAACACGCTGTTGACGCCACTGCTGACCCAATGAATACAAAAACACATGGTGATCATTGTTACATCACACAGACCACGCGTCATTATTTTCGCGTGTTACGTACTGATAGGTATTTATAATTATCAAGACTACATTTACAATTCAATCAATTCTTTCAATTGCTTTTTGTGAACTTTGTGCCTGTCCTTGTAAGTATATTTAAGTATTAAGAAATATTTTTTTGAAGCATTTCTGACCTTCATTTTCATTCTCTATTACACAATTTAATTATTTCATGATAAATGTAAAGCTATTTGAACTAATTGGCCCTTTTTGACCTAATTTTTCTCTTCAATCTTATAGGAATCCTAAATATAACTGTCACCTAGAAACAATGTTGTCCCATTTATAAAATTAGGTGTAAGTACATATTTATCTCTAGCATTTTTCTCAGACTTTATCAATTTGTCTTATATTTGACTTAAACAGAACACAGTATATAAAGCTGTATGAATATCAGTGATACCAAGGCCACATAATCTACATTATGATGACTAGATGCCTAGATACAAATTAAAATAATTATTTAACATATTTGTGTTCAATAATAAATACATAAAAATTAAAAACCAAATTTTATAATACAATGAACATTTTTAACAATACATTTTATATAATTTTTTAATTAAATATTTTGTATAGTATTGTTATATTTGGCTAAGATCCATAATAAGCTAATTTAGTGTTCACAATTTAATCAATAATTAAAGTTTTTATTCAATTTTCAGCTTGAGAAACTTAATATCTTTATAGGATTAAATTATTGAATAACAGAATTGTTAGGGTTTCTACCATCAATAAACATTAAGCATTTTATTTATTTGTTTTACATTATTGACTTGATTTGTCAGCTTTCTTGATAGAATAAATTAAAATATGTAAACTATTTCTCTGCAATATACATATTAAAACGGATTTTAAAGGTATCATTATAAATTAGTAACAGGGGAGAGAGATTGCTCATGTACAATGAAACAAAAATTGGTTTTTAATTAAGTATAATAAAAATATTTATTTGTACTCAATATTTAAGTTGAGATCCAACTCATATATAAATCCAACTCAAGTATAAATTCAGTTATATGTTTATAATAAGTACAGATTTTAATATAAGGATAAATGGTCAAAAACCATTACTCCTTTACATGTAATAATAACATATTTGTTTATACAAAATATAGAAGAGTAGCTAGCGAGAATTAATACATTTTATAATATTAATTTTCTCATATCATAATTACACTTACATTTTTCAAAAATTTTATGAGGGGATATTATTAATGAATGTTAATTACATTATTTGGAAATTTGAAATTTATTTTGAGATTTGAAATTCGGCATCATGAATGGTAATAACAAAGAACTGTGTAGAAAAGCTATGTATGTAGTAGACTCTAGTATGCGTTTGAGAAAAATAAGGGCATAAACAATAGACATATACCTACAACCTTAGTAAAGCTATTCATGCCTTGTCATCCAAATTTGAATCGTTTATTTTTTTATTGTGATAAAGAAGGACAGTATGTTCAGTTAAGAATCCCCTAAATCTTAAAATTCATCTAAAGTTACTAATTTCAATCAATCAAAAATTTATACTTTATTCAAATAGAATTTTACAAGCGGGTTTGAATTGTTACTTACATTTTCAGAATTTAAATTAAATGTCAATATGAACGTCCTTGAGGAATCTACTACTCGGAAGGCAATTCTGCTGAGAAGAGCCGACGAGAAACTCAACAGTTGCTCTGATGAAGATATCGCTTATCATGTACAAAAACAATACTTCCTTTTTTGACGTCGATCAAAAAGAAAACGTATTATTTTTGCGAATATTCAATGTTACTAGTAGGCGGAAGTGATGATTGACAATACCTTTGGTTCAGTTTGTAGTGACCCTACTTGCTGTGCCAGCGGTCGCCGGTTCGAGTCCTGCTGGGTGCGTTCATTTTTGTGATGAGCACAAATGTTTGAACTCCAGTCATGGGTGTTTATATTTATAATATGTATGTATTTAAAGTTATATACATGTGTAGTGTATCAACTATCTGGTATCCATAACACAAGCCTCGTAGCTTACCATGGATCTAGATGGTGCTGTGAGTTAATGTTCCAACATATTTATTTATTTTACAAGTATCATCAAATGCATTCTGCTGCTACACATAGCTCCACCTAACATTGGACAGGTGCCATGTCACTTTCTTACCAGTAGGTACCACCTTTGATGTGCGTTTAAAAATGTCACTATTATATTTCAAATATCATATAATTATATCGTGCAAAGAACAGAAAATGATCGCACAGAAAAATACAAACAAAAAAAAGGACTATATGTGTATATTGCATTATAGTACCAGAAAATTACGTATATTATTTAATCTATTTTTATATTATGACGAATAATCGGTACACGTGTCTGCTAATATAACATCGTAGACAGGGAAACTCGTATTTTACTTGTATCGCATGAACAAATTCAGAACAGGAAAAGGGTCTGTGGTGCTCTTCCTATTAGCCTAGTTCTAGCTGGCACAGGAAGAACGGCGTAATTACTATTAAATGTCAACAGTCCGGCGTCGACACGAGATTTTTTGCCTACTTATTGTATTTTAACTTAATTATTTGTACCTGATTTCGGATGTTATTACGTCTTGCAATTTTATAATGATTTATGTACATTGTATATATAGTGTACTTCACTCTAGTTCTCTTCCGGAATAGATAGCACATGACAGCTTTCCTTATACTACTAAAGTTGTGCCTAGGTTATACTTTCCTACTTTTTTAGATCATCACAATACTACAGGGATATTTTTTTCTTAATGTATTTTTTGTCTCATTCCTTAACTTGTTTACCTTAAAAGTGACGTAATAATCTTTGTAGATTCTTCTGATTCGAACGTAGAGTTTAGATCCGCAAGATTGTTGACGTAATAAAATCATAATACTATGTATGTACCTTTAGATACATTAATAATTGTGTCGCCAGTTATAACATACTCAATGTTGTTATTGTTTGTTGTTTGTTATTGGCTATGCATATTATCAATTTGTGATGGCCTATGCTTAGAAGATTTCCAACATTCCTAACGCTCTTAATTTCAACAGCCTCAATCTTGAACGATTTTTTTTTTCACTATAATCTTATAAGTTTTGATAAATTACACATATGCAATTCACTTTATTTTACAAAATAGAAACGCCAGTCGTATCTTGTCTATTCCGAGACACTACACATCGTTTAATTTTATCAAGCTCCACGCACGAGTACTGCAGATCGTAATGCTGTAAATTGCAATATCTTAGAGCATTATCGAGCGAGTCCTTCTGCTTCGATTCCTTTTGGTACAAATGAATAATGACATTAATTCCAATTAACAGGATTATCTTAGTCTGTTTTACTAAGGTAGGTAATTAAATAATTAGGTATTAACACCTCAAATTTCTCAGAAATTAATTAAATTTCTAAGAAATCTATTGTTAACTGTAACGCCGGCGTGTCCGCGATCGTAGAGGGATTAATCATATCAATAACGATAATGATAGCAAATAGTTATTATCCTAAACAGAATTTGATGAAATTTAGCATATAAAACATACACTGCAGCGATGGAAACCTTTTCTGGCGTGGATAAAGAAAAATATTAACAGAGCAGAAATATGTACCAACCATAATTATAATGTTACTATGCGGAAACAATTTTCTATTCTATTTATCTTTATCTGTTTCCACACGGACGAAGCATCGAGTTTTTGCGAGTAGGATATTATAGTACCCCATTGACAAGTAACCTATTTATGATTGGCTTCATTTCAATTGTATGATGGGGGAACCAGATCCTATGCTATGTGTGTTCATCACAAGATCAATTGATCTGACACTCGCGCTGAATGAAGCATATTATATTTATTTATCTATATTCTGTTTTTATTTACATAAATAATAAATGTGCCGCTTATTCTTTTAGGCGCCAAGATAACGTTAAATCTAGTCTTCGGCATAAAGATATAAATGGCCGGCTATTATTTATTATCAATGTAGATATTATGTAACGTCGAAAATATCTAAAAGATCTCGACGTAAAAATTGTTTTATCAAAACGTTCTACAATTTGTGCCAACAACAAGGAATGTCAGTTAGTCGGTCAGTGGGCCGTAAATATAGATAGTTGAAAAAGAAATAGTAGATATGTAATTGAAAATGCTCTTTTAACAGTGACTTATATTTAGGATTTCATTGTTTTATTTCAGCACAGTAACTCAAGGTGAGGTTATGCACTTTTGTTATTCGGTGATACACTGAGTTATTGTGTTGGCGTCTGCTAGAGCCTAGAACAGTGCGGTTTGTTTATCTATATCGCACCACTGCACAGTGCACACTGCTTCCTACATTTTTGTTTAAACAATGTAGGTACCTACTTGAGCGGATTTATCGTGTAATGTTTTCTTGTAAATTATATTACGCATTTTAACCTCAAATTGTATTAAAGTATATTTTTTGCACGCCTCGAAAATATTCGTAAAAGACTTTAGCACGTGACTTTATTTGTAGGGAGTGGACAACATTTATTTTTAACTGCGAATTATTGCTGGTATTCCTTTTACTAATAATTTTGCTTAACAATATGTTTCACGGATACGTGATTGTGATGTGACGAACATTAGGTAATTTATAACGACAATGTTACATTTCTCATTAACATAATAAGATATCGTGAATTTATTTTTAAAACTAAGTTAAAAAAATCGGTATACAATATATGTATGTACATACAATAATCTGAGAGTGAATATAAACTTAAAAATGTTTGTATTAGGTATAATAATACTTTTTTTTCTCACGCTAAAGGTTTGCTGGAAGAATTCGTAAAGAGAGATAATAAAATCCTTTGACCACATACTATCTTGTTTATTATATTTTATTTGTATTTTTTGTGTGGCAGATAGATAAATAAATATATAATTTATATCTTAATTAGATGGCGCCGATGCGCGGCGAACGTGGTGGCTCACCAGCTCGTGGGGCCCGAGCTTCTTTACCATTGCCTCGACGTCTCATAAGACAGATTGCGAGACACGTGGCTTCCAGCGGGCGCTCTCTCCGACGCCTGGAAGTGTCCGGCAGAGTCATAGACAACTTCGATGACTTGGACGACGCATCAGATGACTCTGATATGGATACATCACAGTCTGCGTAAGTGTAATAAACATTTTTTTTTTCATATATTAGACGCACATTTTGGGTGAATTATGTTTATCACTTACAATTTGATTTATAAATATTCGTTAATTGTAATAAATTAATATACGTTTCGAAATTTTCACATGTTCAAATTGTTTGTGATAATTCATTATAGTTATATTCGTACGGTGATTGTACGCCATTTTATCTAGTTTTACGCGATTCGTCTGCATTATGCCATCAATCAATGACAAGTGGATAAATTGCGTTAAGATAACATTTTTATCAAATTTTAAGTTACCGGGTATGACAAGACCTTGATAAGTTAAAATTGCGTGATTGATGTCGCTTACAACAGATTTGTAGAGTGCAAGCGTAGATTTGTAGGCCGTAGTATGACCTATATATTAAATTTAAACTTTTGCCATTATCTCCTATAGGAGTCAAATGTCAAAAAGTTGCTTGATTATAATTCAATGTATATATTTAACTTCCAACTTTGTGAAAAGAGGCTACTGATTAGGAAACCGATAGAGATTCTAATGTTCTATGTTTTTACACTGCAAAACTAACGTAGTGCAAATTGTATCTACAATAAAAAATCTATACAGCTCGTCCAGGCTGACTCAACTGCCTAGACGAGCTAGATTTAGCTAATTTTATTCTCTTATACTCCATCGCAATATAATTTACTTTATCAATTACGCAACTAAAATGGGATGATAAACAGTGTTCGGAATAAAAACCATTTTGTCAGTTGGTCTCTCATATTACAGCTGTAATACTTTAAGAGTGAAAGTTCACCGTGCAACGTAAACGCGTTGGCAGTTGCAACGTTCATTTTAATATTATCTTTCTCTCGGGTTATTGTAAAGTAATTTTTATGTCATTTGGGAAAAGTGATGGTCATGTATTACGATTTTGTTACGCAAAATTAACTATGAATATATAACATTATAGGAAATCTAATGAACAAAAATAATTCAATCTACGTTTCCTTCATATATTTTCAAATTTTAATGTAAAAATAACATGAAAAAAGTAAAATATATAATGCTAAAATAGTATATTTATATATATATGATTTATGTAATAGTGTGGCATGCGGCGGTAACGCTGGTAACTTGCCACCGGCGGACCACGACGACGATCTGACCAGTCTCAGTTGGTTACAAGACAGAAATTTACTTAGAGGTATGTAAATAATAAACGGTGCAGTACTAAATAATCTTATAAATTAAGTTAAATGTAACTTTGTCTTACAATTTGATACCTAATGTAAGTCAAAGACTACATTTAAATTTTAAATATATTTACTTTGTTTTGCGGCACAAAAGTATTCGTATAGGTCATTAATCTATACAGATAAATAAAATTGAAGTGTCTGTTTGTAATATAGAAATAACAGCTTTTAAATAAATTCATATTAAATTATATACGGTACTTAAAGAAAGATACATTTTTTGCCTGTCTGTCTGTGTGTCTGTTTATTCTGGCTAAACTCCGAAACGGATGGACCGATTTTGACGGGATTTTCACTGGCAGATGGCAGCTGACGTTATAAGGAGTAACTTAGGCTACTTTTATTTTAGAAAAAGAATTAGGGTTCCGCTCAAAATAATTAAAACGTACCTAGAGACGAATCCGAGCGACGCGAGGGTAAGTCGCTAGGAAAACATAAAATAAATTAAGTCTGACTCAGATTTTGCTATGGAAATAAAGGAATCCTGCGAAGGAAATAAAGGAACGTAATGATTCACCACTTACCTAATTTCTTAATCTCTTTGCATAGCGCCATAATAAGGATAACATGTGCAAGGCGGTATTAACCAGATTGGAGATTATGACGATAGTTATAAAACATTTGCCTCGCCAGGGAATTGAACCGGTTATCACCGACGTAGTCCACCAACTACTCAGATAGCTATTACATTAGAAAATTTATAAATTAGTGCCACTTTCATTCTTATCGTTGATTATTATTAATTAGCAGTTTCAATGCAAACAACGCTTTAGAATTTTGCGTTTAAGTTTCGTTTAACTTTAAACATTACCTGTTCTATGCAGTTTCAGTCAACTGATTATCTAATGGCATTAACCTATTTTCATGTGGAAATTCGCGCAATTTCACACGGCCATGTTATAATGGTCACGATTCACAAGTAGCCGGTCACGCGAGCTTTTATTGTGACACGTTTAAACGTCGCGTGGTTTGTTTGCAATAGGATGTCATTCGTTGTGTAAGATGAAAGAAAAAAAAATAAGTCGTATTGAAAATGTCTTAGGAGTTAGGATATTAATTCTATAAAATACATCATACTTAATACATACATAATATAGACTTTTTGTTCTATTTCGCAATGCTATTAAAGCATTAAAAACAAATGTTTGTGTGCCAATGGTATAATCATAATTACATCTCGTTGTTGTGTTATTTACAGGTATAAATTTGACAAAAGGTGATATGGAGGACAGCAAAATAATTAGCAGTCAAGTTGTGGTAAAGGTGAGTCAAGTTAATTAACTAAGTTTTAATGTTGATCTCGGAACAAGAAAAACTAACTCATTTGTTTATAATGAGATTAATAATAATACTGGCTCATTCCCGCGACTCGGATGGCGTAATTTATTAAGATTTATGTATAATTTCTCTGCTCCTAAGACTCGTAGTGAGATATTAGTTTGTTTATATAACCTTCTTCAGCAACAGGTTATAAAATGCTAAAATATTTTTTCATATCTGACTGGTAGTTAAAATTAATGAGTTCAACCAGACGAAGTAATGACATAATGTAATTTAATATGGAATAGGTAGGTTGTACTAAAAATTTAATAGTTATTAAATATCGATGGTTTTTGTTTTATTAAATCACCCTTTAGACGGCAGTTATACCTACCAGTACTCATGATATCTATGTAAGTATTGATTTAAAAAATACTGTGGTTATAAATATAATAATGGCAACACTAAATATAGATTACTAATTAATATTTTAAAATTGTAATAATTTTAAAAATAATAGCAAAAATTATATAAATAATATTCAATATTCAATTATAATTAAAATTATAAAAATGTTTAAAGTTAAAAAATATTGTAATGTAATTGGTGCAATTTTCATTTTGTTAATTGTGGGTAGGCTGTCTGTAACAACTATACCTCCAAGACATGTAACACCTCAGTCTCTCCCGTGACCATGGATGCTGTAAAGCATTCGAAACGTCGGGAAACAAAAATGCAAATGTCCGCGACAAAATTTCCGAAAAGATAGTTTTATTTAAAATGTCAAATATTCGCGTAAATCTATTTATGAAAGTATTATAAAATAAATACTAAGTGTTAAGTGAAGCTAACCACAATACATTAGTGAAAAGTTTCTGTGATTAGCGCGTACAAACGCACAGACAAACAGACAAAAATTCTAAAAATCATTGGCTTGGGTTCTATTCCGTTAATAAAGACCCTCCAATAATAGTTTTTCTCAAATATCTTTCATGTACAGACAGCGATCAGTTACACTTTGTATAGATGTATAGATTAAATAAAAAATAATGTTTTTATTGTAGATTTTTTATTCCTAATGCCATTACTACCTCTACATTATTATGTAGCTTTTCATGGAAGCTATAGCAGTTAGACAGAGATCATTAAGAACAGAAATGCTTAATTATGTTAATTTAATAGTTCAAAACGAAAAACAACCTCTAACCCAAATCATAATGATATTAATAATAAAGTGCGTCTTCAAATATATAACACGCATTTTATTTCTTTTTCTTTTAATACTTCTAAATATTTGTATTAAATACTAGCGACTCACCCTTGCTTCACTCGGGTTCGTCCCTAGGTTGATTCACGATACAAACTTTCACCCCCTTAAGGGATGATTTGCGGGATAAAAAGTTTCCTATGTTTTTCCCAGGGTCTCAAACTATCTAAATCGGTTCAGTAGATCCAGAGATTACCCCCTACAACGTCACAAACTCACAAACTTTATCTCTTTATATTAGTGTAGATTATGTGAAGTGTTAAAATGTGAGCCGTGAATCTAATACTGATAACACAAAATGTAAAGCCGATTTTTTATTTTACGATCATTAATTTACGCTTTTAAGAGATATTATTAGAATTCTTTCTGTTTAAAGTTAGAATAGAAGAGAAAAAGTTTGATCATGAGACACAAGAAAAAAAGAAAATTCTACAAAAGCCAATAATAAATCTTCATAGTTTCTATACCATATAAAGTAAAAATAATTAATTAATTTAGATACTTGACCTTCGAAATATACTCGTATAATAGTAGGTATCAACTCATTTTTTTCATTATTTGTATGAAAATTGCAAAGTAACGCCAGTAACAATAGTAATATCGTTCGCAGACTTGACGGTTTGTTAAATCAATAGACATATTGCGAACTAATGCCCCGTAAATACATGTGACCGAACAAAGATTAGGTAAGGTTTATATATTTCACATGATACCTTCAAAGTATACATACAAGTATATTTATAGGAAATCTATACATATACATAATAAAATTGTAACTACGCGGAATCTGTACATTAAATATTTTTTGGAAAATCTTATTGAAATAAACATTATTATCGATACACAGGCCGAATCTATAGTTTTTAGAATTTTTGTCTGTCTGTTACCGCATCACAGAAAATTTGGTAGTAGGATTTTGATGAAATTTGGTATGGTGATAGCTGGTTATCTGGGTCGACATATTATTATAGGATACTTTTTAACGCGGGTAAATGTCTCTTTTCTGAAAAAAAATACAAAAACTGTAATGTAAGAGTATACTAATATGTAAAACCTAAGAATTTGGTTTTTGATCATCTGAACGCGGGCGGAGCCGCGGGCAATGCTAGTAATTAATAATTATTAAGTAATAAATACATACTACGTTTTTAATGTAGGGTTACCTTAGCTTAGATAGTTTTTTTTAATATTTTATGAAATATTAATATAGTCTGAAGTTTTGCCTTCTTATTTCTTTACTTCAATTTAAGCTAAATTAAATGTAGCAATATAACTGCTGTAGAATTTAAAAAATAGAAACCCATTTACATTTTACAAAGTATTTATTAATATAGTATTAAACATTTATATATGCAATGACTTTACATTACGAAACAAAAAATGGTATCAGTACCTTACCTAAGTTTGTACATATTTACTTGTATACAAGTTTACTGCTCATATTTGACTTATAATATTACGTAGAATCGTTGTTCTACTTCAAGTGTCCTTAGGAGCTTGGTCTAAGTACACTATAACTTGTATTATCATCTTCCTCTATAATTTATCTTATATATTTTTATCTTATGTTGGTACTGCGCATTAAATATTAAAATCATGTTTTATTACATTTTTTGCCGATTAAATGCTTTTGATAAAAATGCTATTAATATTATTATTTTTTGTTTTTGTTACTTTAAAACGACAATAGTATGAATCTGCTTAAGTTAACGTGCTAGTACCGCTTTTGACAATAACACGAACATGACACAAATATCTGTAAATTCTTTACGCTATCGACCTGACCGCTATCAATCTAATTGAACTTTGCTTGTAACAAAAACGTGACTAATATATGAAAATAACTACAAGACAAACTAAATACATAAATCTTTTTCTGTTATGGCCGCAAGATTGTAGAATTCACGGCCTAATTATATTCTCAAGGATGATCCCTCATTCGCAACATTTAAATCAAACAGCTCTATTTATGAATTCAGATATAAGTTATAGTATATAAGTATGTACGTATATGTAAGTATATATGTAGGTATAGATATATGTTTGTATGTATGTATATATGTGTGTCTAAATATATTTTTTTGTATAATTATAATATTTAGTTGATATATTTTAATATGAAGTCAATTCCATTTAACGCCTCCAGGTAAATTTCTAAGAAATTCATTGTTAACTGTAACACCGATGTGCCCGCGACGTTGAGGGATTAATGCTCTACTGTACCTACACCACACTAAATTAACTTATTTAATATTTTCTCACTTCTCAAGGGTTTCTGGAAGGAATCTCTTAAAGAGATAAGTTATCCTTTGTCGACATTATGTTACTTTATTTTGTACAACATACATTTTATGGTACGTAAATAAATAAATATATAAATATTGTTTTCAGACCGAGTCTAAAACCCCACCGCCAATATGTCGCGTGCCCTCTCCTCCACGCACCCCTTGCAAAGCTCCTCCTTCACCCCCAGCAAAAACACACACAAAACCCCCATATTCCTTCTCTTGCCTCATCTTCATGGCGATAGAAGCGGCGCCGGCTCGAGCGTTACCCGTTAAAGAAATTTATGCATGGATCGTTCGACACTTCCCATATTTCAAGCACGCGCCACAGGGTTGGAAAAATAGCGTTCGACATAATTTGTCGCTAAATAAATGCTTTCACAAGGTACGCAATAAGTATTTTTTTATTAAAATGTTATTGGTTTATTATATTTTGAGATATACCTTGTAACTATCCTTATATTCAGTACTTTTCAAACCTAATCTTGATTGTTAAAATCGTCAGTATATTTCAATAGGGCAGCTAACACCGGTTCAAAGCATTTCTGCTGTAAAGAGCCGTCAAGGAACTCAACTATAATTGCTCTCTTAAATATTGAGTTATAGATTTTACATTAGCAATTATCATTATCACAATCAATTTATTACCAGTTAACATTAGGTGATACCGACATTTATAATTCATATTTAAGTTATATTTCTTTTGGCACGTTTGAAAACAAATATGAGAGTAAATTTTTAAGATGCGCGCGCACACCGACAGATAAAAAGCGACATGATGAAGTTAGCTGCATTCCTTTTACAAACAGGGAGTTGTAGTATGCGAGATGAAAAATCTTTAGCTATTTTTGTTCTGTTACGCCAAACAAGTATAACTTCTTACGTACGTACATGGGTACACACTTTTTTTCTTAAAAACGCGAGAAACATATCAATCCCCGCCCTTATTAATTTTTTTTTACATTCCGCCATGGTTGCATAAATAAATTCTTTAAAAAATATTATGACTTTTTATATAACAAATGAATTCTTACAATTTGAATTTGACTTCAGGTTGCAGCTGCTCCAGGCTTAGGCAAAGGCTCGTTATGGACAGTTGATCCTCAACATCGTTCAACATTATTACAGGTTGGTTTCGAATTTAATTTTCTTAACAATTTATTTTACAATATAATTCTTTAGCATCGATCAAAAAAGTACTAGATAAAAAGCTACAAAAAATGTCCTCACCGAATGAGCGCTCAATTGAACATTTGAGCGCGCTTTTAATTTTTTTTCCTTTTTTTACAAAAACATCTTTAAGTATTACATTTATAATGGTTCAGTTACATTGTTATATATTTATTTCAATTAGAATAATTATCTAAACACAAGTGGTGACAGTTTTAAGAGAACTTTTGCCTGGAATTGTATATCTAGTACTTTTTTGATTGTTGTTCTTTAGTTATCATTTTTGATGTTGCCTAGTAGATCTTTTTTTTTTGATATGGCAAGAAAATCTTGAGATAATTATAATAAAATGTTTGTGTGTGTGAAATGTGCGAATATATCATATTTATAAATAAATATTTATTTTAATTTAACAAAATAACTACAAAGCGTTGTCCACAGGCGTTTGGCCGACAGCCCGTGCCGCCAATAGAGGCCGACACGGATTCGGCCAGTACAGAAGTGGCCGAAGTGGTCAAGAACGCGCCCGACCCTCAACTGTTCCCGTACCTGGCTCGCCGACTGGCCGACACGCGCGCGCCGCCCGCGCCCGGCGCCGACGAGTACCTGGCAGCCGCGACGGTACTAGCGATGAAGTATGGACCGGCAGTGTTGGACCAGGTTGGTCTTATGTTTATCACTACACAACAACTTATAAAATATAAAAAGGGGGGTTTGCTGTGTTAAGTTTGTTTAAGCTAATCTCAGAACTACTCAAAGGGTTATCAATTTTCACCGATAGAACGTTGGTTTGTCTAGGCATGTTATGGGTAGAGTTGGCCGTTTCCTATAAAATGTTGATGAACAACGATGTCACTAACCGATGCCGGCATCCGTTGCTGGATTATCGATATAACGTTGCCCGCACCAACAACGACTTACGACATTGAAAACTCACGAGTCACGCTGCACGTACGATGAATCGAATCGTTTCCATTCGTTTCGTTTTTATACATAATTTAAATTATCTCAACACATAGGTACTCACCCACACGCATAACATTTGTAATTTATATGTAAAATTCATTAAATTGCTTAGATATTTGAAATAAAAATAATTAAACTAGTTTATAATAACATCTATTTTTTTATCATAATAATGTCATATTATCTAAACTAAGTAACATCGCATCCTATACCGTTACTCGTTTACTAACTAAAGTTGTCGTTACATCGCCTGACAACGGTCAGCATCCACAACACTATCGAGCGGCAACTAAATAGGGTGACATAATCTATGCCCGCGACGGTGCCGGCAGTAAAGCCGGTAAGAAACTGTAAAATTGCGACAAGACCGGGTTAATTTAAGTAAAAAATTAACATTTATATAGCCGAAAAATCGCCCAAATTGTCCCACGTAATTAATGGATGCTCCCTAAGGCTGCCTGCTGTGCATCTTTTTTTGTTATATATTTCACTTCTTTATATATTTCTTGTGTGGTGTGCAATAAGGAGTTCATTATCATTATTATTATAAATATAATTATTGTTCTGTTGTGTGCGCCAGCTGCCGCCCGAGGCGCACCTGGTGATATCGCGGTGCGCGCGCGACGAGCACTCGTACAGCGGCGGCGAGGAGCGGCGCACGGCCGAGGCGCTGCTCAACCTGGCCGGCGTCACGCACGCGCCCCCCGCGCCGCACGCGCACAGCTAGCCCGCGGGGGTGAGTGACTCGTTCGTCCCTAGCTTGCGTCCCAATACAAAACTTCCATCCCCATTTTCACCCCCTTAAGGGTTATCCCTTAAGGGGGTGAAAATACTTTTTATCATTTTCCGGGATAAAAAGTATCCTATGTCCTTCCCAGGGTCTCAGTCTCACAAACTTTACCTCTTTATAAAATTGGTATAGATTAATTAAATGTATTACAGGTAATCACTGACGGGTGGTGACATTTCAGGCTTTACCCGGTAGTAAGGGTCGGGTATGCGCTGGGAAAGGTAACATCAAATGTAAGTCTTCCTAAGTAACATGCTTCTCACAACAATAAACCTAAACACTTCACCGATTAGTACTATATGTACGTGATTTTAAATTTACAACTATCCACTATTATTTATTCCTATCGAGATATGCTAATATATAAAGGCATTACGTTCTGTGTGTACTGCTCAAATATTTAATTTAAATACTTATAAGTTATGTATGTATATACTATATGTAGTGAATCCTGCGGGCAAAGCCCCATTGATATGTTATGTGCGTTCATAGAACAAAAATCGTTCGATATTTAAACTTGCTCGAAAACGTCTATGGTATGGAAATAGACAAAAGTTTACCATTCTCTAGTCCAATAAAGACAACATTAACTTTCAGTACACAGATGTATAATGTTATATTTAAATTATATAAATTAAACAAATATCACGCTATTATAGAGAATAAGGCTCACTTGTTAGTTAAGACATGACTATTTCCATTCTATTTTTATAATACATCACAAAAACTATCCTTCTATTGATCTGTCTGTTCGTTCGTTATTCGAAAACTACAATAACTTCACTTTCATACGAATTTAATGTTTCTCTTTAACATAGCATAGATTCTCTGGTGACATATAACCTCTCTATTGGGTATAGGCAAAGCCACGGGCTGCGCCTACTCTTTATAAATAACTAAATAAATACCTATATAGTAAAATGTAGTCAAATTCTTAAATATTTAAATAAAAAAATTAACTGAATAACTAAAATATAAAGTGAATACATAATAGTAGAAAATATTAGTGATAGATGTGACATATACACGATATACAAAGAATGGAATAGTTAAATAGAAAAAAACCCTGCATTTAGGTTCCCATTAACTATATAGAACATTCATTATATAATTAAGAAAACTGTACTTGTAGTAAGAGAAATTGTGGTATTTCCGCGTATTTGAATATAGAATGCCGATCATTGCCAGTAAATGTGTATGAGAGTTGCCAGAGGGTAAAATATGGCGGAAATATAACATAGATTTAAGTTAAAATAATTTATTTCGCTTATAAAAGAATTTTGATTAAAAAAAATATTCTAAAGTGAGCAATCTAGGTGAAAATGCGTGTTATCATGTGATCTGAACGCAATCATTATTATTATGCAGATATGTATACAGGGCAGAATAAAATATATTTTATATATGTATTACTATAACATACTTAAGTGTTCTATTTGTAATCATTTAAATTGTAGGTACTGTACACTTTCATACGATTGTTTGATGATGAAAAAAAAAACAAGTTTTTATTTACTATGACAATAAATATATGGAATTCATTTTGTTGTCATAGTGAGTACAGGACAAAAGTCTAAATACTCAAAAAACACACACAAACTTTATATAGGAATTGATCTGACAAGTGACAGTTCTAAAAATATTGAGGTTTCTGCAGATAAAATATATATTGCGAAAATGTTCTTACTTTTTTTACATATATTGATAATATTATTTCATGACGTGGGAATTATATATGTATTTTATTTACTCAGATCTCTTCCTATAGTAATTCTTTCCATATAAACATTTTCAAGTCTCATTGAAAAATAATGTTACATTACAGAAGCAGTTTTTATTTTAAAAGTGATTGAATAGGTCATATATATAAAATAAAGTATAAGATAAATAATGTTAGCTATAAGCGATCGGTTTTTGTGTTCATGACTTGTGATCTATAACTGTCGCTTAAAACTAAGAAACAATTTTTTTTTAATGTCTTGCATAAATAATGAAAAAAATTAACACCAATTAAAATAAATTTATTTTAAATGTTGCAACACCACAATAATATTAAATATATATAATTTAAATTTTTATGATAATTATTAAGCTTTTTATTTTATAAAAAACTCAGTCGATTTTGGATTTTAAACATTGAATTGAATTTTTATCGTACGAAAATTAAATTAATAAGATGTTCATAAAGTGCCTATTATATGTGTTGCCAGTTTTTAATTATGATGTTTGATGTGTCAATAATTGTTCAATTTATAAAATATTTTTTATTGCTTATATTCAGTTTTCAGACACTCGAAAGAAAATAATAAATTAGATTAACAAAGCAAATATTATTTGAAATATAAAAAAAAATATGTACATACCTAAAAATTTTAGTTTCCATTTTAAAGAAGTAATATTTACTTGTTCTATTTACAATTTACAAAATGAATTACAAACCTACTGTCATTCTTTCATTAATCGCTTCGTTTCGTTGTGGTGTTTACTGTTTAGGATAATGGTGAAATGTTCTCTAGACTGAGCCATGACTGATTTGTAAAGCAATATTATTTATTAGTAAATTAAATTTGCGTTTTGATTAAAATGCAACATAGAAAATTTTATCTTTCTATTATTTCGACGTATCTTCGATTGCAAGACATTACATTTGTATTTCGTATATGAAGTGTCGTAACACTAATCAATTCGCTGCGTGCCAAATTATAAAAATAATAAACTATACCATAAACGAGCAAATCCAAATACAAATAGGTACCAGAAATACGAGTGTATTTATATTTAAAAAAAAAGAATATATAACACATAATTAGATTAGGCGATAAGTGATATTATAGTTATAATTTAATGCTAAATTAAATACAAACTTTTTTGCTGTATTTAGAAGCGTCTTCCATCTTACTCATGTTCTATTAGATAAGTGCAGTTGCGGAGACGTCAGTGATGTATGTAATCAACTATGGATTTTTGAATGTAAAACGATCGATAGATTCTCCTCGCTGTTTTGTTTACGGGTTTCGTTCGCCGACGTCCCCGCTACTGTCACCTCACTAGCCTTTCTTTTGGTGGTATAAATGTGTAGATAAAATTTTACAGCAATAATTAGTACCTAATGTAGGACTTCGCTGGTAGATGCTACGTGTATAAATGTGTGATACATTACGATTTATTTACTAAGTGCTATATATAAACGATTTTCAATACAGTAACACCTAGTTTATTTAATAAACAAAGTTTGTGCCGTGAATGCGCTGTCAAGAGCCATTCAACGGTCCAACTCAGTATTGGTGTAGTGAATGTGATCAAAATTAACCGAAAAGTTATATCGATATGATATTAAAATTGTTGCGGCTCATACTTTATCGGAAATAATTTATCGATTAATTTATTATAATTAGTTTGTAAGTTGTTATTGATTTTTTTTTGTAATAATTGGATTGTGAAACGATTCTTTCCAACTAGTTTTGGTATTGGTTTGTTTTGTTTGAGATAATCGTTTTATATGTTTTTATTTATGGCGTTACCCTTGTACTTTGTAAAGCAATGAAATATCATCAAAACTGTTTTTTTTTCCTTGTTTATTTTTTTAAATAAACTTATCAAACTTTAAGAATTAATTCCTTCGTATTCATTTTCTGAAATTATCCAAATTTCGTTTAGTAAACCTTTTTGTTAAATAGGTAACGTCATTTTTAGCTGAAAATTCAATACCTGTTGGTAAGTCCATATGTGTAAATCATTGTTGTTGTTAATATTTAGTGCGGCTTGCAAACATTATTATTGCTATTGTTGAAAGTTATGCCAAAATTTTTATTTGTCCTAAAATCTTATGTCTGTACATATCCATTTAATAAATTATGTACTGAGGATCATTAGGTGTTTTATTTACGTTTCCCTTGTCGATAAACCTAATATAACAAAATTTGAGCAAAGTCAAAATTCCACAATTTTTATTTATTAAATAAATATAGGTATTTGAAGGTAATGTAAGTTGTGTATAATTAAAACCGACTTGAAAGAGGGACTGGAAAAGTTTACACGAAAAAAATATTCGGGTTACAAAAATGGCGAAGTTCGAACATGTCCAGTAAAAGATAATTGTACTAAAACATATTTTATTACAAAAATCTATACAAACTTATTTAACAATGCTAAATTAGTTTACTTCTACGTTCTATAGTCTTGAACTATCCTTGTTTTACAAGATAGAAAGTATTACATTCTTGAAGATAATATAAAACATGGAAGTACATTATTATTAACTTCTAACTTCATTCGTATGTACTAATATTTTTACTAGTTTACTGTTAAAAGGTTTTAAAGGCTCTTTTTCTTATACAAATATTACTGACAAGAATTGCTTGGGATGTTAATGAAAACTGTCAACATAATAGGTCTATTTTTATGTCTCTATGTATACTTTATTTATTTATTTTTATATTGACGACTATCTTACATTAAAAAATTATTATCATTCTAAGAATACAAATCACACTATTTAAATGAACATAAACGGTGCTTCTAATTCTTATGACTTCAATGACTGAGTTTCGACATTTTCAGTCAAATTGCTTAAAAATTTTTTTGGCAGTTTAAAATTGATAAAATTGATTGCATAAATGATAAAAATCAATAAAAAAAAAACATTTTTTTAAAATAATATCATCATGCAGTCTCAAAGAAAAGCTGCCAGTGCAAAAATTCCCTTAGGCATTATTAAGGTTCAAAAATTAACAATTTTAAGCAGTAACTAATAAATGAACTTTTAAGAGATGAAATATTATTGAAATCTTTTTTTTTTTGGAATATTAAATTTTAAATTTATTATTGCCAAAATATACATATTGATTAATAATTTAAATAATAATTCATTCATGTGGCTAGTTTTGGCTATAACAAGCTCGATATCGGTCGGCGGTCCATCAGGTTTTTAAATGCACTGACTACGTGCGTTTGTGACTTCTCATATTATTGCGTTTCATAAACGCAAAAATGTGATGCGTTTGCGAAAGTAACGCGCGTTTCATGTACTATACGTTATCTGCACATATTTTGCGTGATAAAATAATGCAGATTATTTACATTCGTCAGCACGTTAAAAAGTCATATGTGCATAATGAATCTATTCATTAAAGACAACTATCTGATATTTTTAGAAAGATATTATTAAGCGTATCTGGTGAGAATACTTTATAACTTGTTTTTTCCACAGTTAGGAATACGCGTCCATTGCACAAACAAGCTTCAGGTAGGTAGTTCCTTGTTTTGCGTACAAATGTTCAAACACGAGTGTGTATAGAGGATGGGGTTAGACAAGTTTCATTCCACAATCGTTTTAGAACATAATAATATACTACAATTCTAATTTATTTTCAAAGCCTCTGCACTCTCTTTACTTTTACTCTCAAAGTCCGATGGGACGTACTTCCACATGACTTATGAGAGTTAAGGCTTCACGCGAACTTTCCAAGTCCAGGCTACTGAGAATATTTTACAGAAAGAAAAACAATAATCAAACTTGGCCCGACCAGGGCCTCGAACCCAGAACCTATCCGGAGGTTCTGGGTTGAGTGCCTGGTCGGCAGCTGTACATGCTAACCTCCGTATCATCGAGGCATTTAGAGTAAAGAACGCTTAAATGATATTGAAAACTAGTCTTTAATGTATTAAAAGTAAGAAAACATTTTTTAAAACAAGCTTTTATTTAAATGTTCTAAAAAGAAGGAAATAAATTTTAAATGTTTTTTTTTACTATTTTTTTTATTTTTCGTATTCTTCTTAACAAACCCTTTCATTTAATATCCATATCATGGGGGTGCATTAAAAACGTATTCCGCCAACTTTTGGAGTCCGCCATATTGCATTTAGTATGACGTCACTTGGTATGGTATGGTATGGTATGTTCGGGCTGTTTTCCGCAACTCGACGACTATGCGCCTATTTTGTGTATGACGTCACTTATCTAACCATGCATTGTCATTTGTCACCCAAACTAAACGTGTATGTAAAATTTCAGCTCTAATCAGATGAAGATAACTACTTTAAAATTCAGCAAGATTTGACCCAACTAACATACTAACACGACAAATTCTTGTAAAAAGACAATAGCAAAAAGTTCCTTTTTAATAATAGTCATAGTAAATAAAACTATCTTTTTTTGGATTTTTGCCGTAGATTTATTATGATTTTTGGTTCCCGACGTTTCGTCATCGTCTTCTTAAAGCGACCTTTACTTTGAAATATCTCAGAAACGTCAGCCACATTTCTGATATATTTAGTGCATGATACTATATTATTTATTCGTTTTCTATTTATATACATGAATTAACAGTGCGAGGCTTTTTTTTTTAATTTTACGATTTCTAATCTTCAACAATTGTAGAATGACATCTTGCCTAAGCCCCAAGGATTAAAGCTCCTTTTACTTCTCTTTTACTACCTCTTCAGGAACATCGTATGACTTAGTATTTAAAAACTAGAATTAGGATCTGAATGTGTGTCATGCTTTATTTTTACCTTTAGTTGGAATTCTAGAAATTAGCTAGCCGTATACTTTCTATACACACTTATTTAGTTAAATAGCGTATTTACATAATATATGTATTCAGCTCTAGTTTAAATCCCACTGCTGGGCACGGGCCTCCTTTCAGTACGAGGGGGATCAGGCCACAGTCCACCACGCTGGCCGAGTGCGGGCGGACTGAGCACGTCTTAATTCTCTCAGACATAAAAGTTTCCTCACGATGTTTTCCTTCACCGTAATCTAAGTGATAATAACGTAATGGTAGCCCAGTGGTAACGCGCACGCTTGGGTCACCGAGTAAAGCGGGTTCAAATCCCGGCTCTCGCACCTTTGATATTGTCATATGCATTTTCAACATATATGCACAAATAATTTTTGAATCTACAACCGTAACCTCATGTATAATAATTTATTTCAAATTTGAAACCTGTGTAAAAAATCCAAACATTTTTCTCAAAGTAGTCGGTTATTGAAATGATATAATACCAAGTGTTGACTCTGTTTTATTATTTTCATATTTTTTTCGTATTTTTTTTAAATATTTTCTGGATAGTTTAGTTTAGAATAAAATACATAACATGTTAAGGAATACTCTTGTATCCAAACTTGTAGCTCGTTTTTTATTACTATATTCCACTATTTAAAAAGACAAATAGTAAAAATGCAACGCATATTATTGACGCTTTGAAATTGAAATTATATTAATTATTGAGTATTATCGCCAAGTCTAAGAGAAGTATATTTGGCGTGCTTCAGACGGTGACTGCTCCATAGGACAGTAGGGGCATTTCAACCTGCAAAAAGACAAAAGGAAAATCATTAAAAAAAAATACGTTTTATTTTGCTTTAGATCTGACGACTTATTTATTCGTTTTATGTAACTAACTTAATATATATGGATAATTATTTTAGGTAGAAAAGTCGATCAAAAAAGTACTAGACACACAAAGCATACAGCAAAAAAAATGTCCTCACCGAATAGGCGCTCATTTGAACACTTGAACGCGCTATTAATTTAAAAAATATGTGAAAACTTTAAGCATTGCATTTAAGGTTCTCATTAGGTTTTAATGCTCGCCCAAAACATCCTATTTTTTTGTAGTTTTCAAGAGTTTTTTGATCACGATTCATGCCACTTAAGAAGCCTTTTTACAGCAAAATGAGAATTATCTTTATTCCGTCAAACTTATATAAGCAACAAGCGACTTACCATCGTAGGTGGTAGTTGCTTAGGTACGTTTTAATTTTCTTTAGTGGAACTTTAATTCTTTTCCAAAATAATAGTAGCCTAAGTTACTCCTCATAAGATTAGCTATATTTTAGTGAAAGTCCTGTCAAAATCGGTCCAGCCGTTTCGGAGAGTAGCCAGAACAAACAAGCAGACAGACAAAAATTTTAAATACTGAGTTTTTTTGTAAGTACCGTATATAATTTCATATGCATTTAGTAAAAAGCTGGTATTTTGATATTACATATATATACAAACACTTCAATTTTATTTATCTATATAGATGTATAGATTTTGTGTAAGTCTAATTAAATAATTTTTCAGTATAAGATGAGGGGGTGACATACTTGAGCCCCAAGGCGAGCTTGTTGAGAGCGTCTCGCGATATGACGTGTCCGCAGAGCAGGCGCATGGGCGGGTTGTGCTCGGAGGCCTGCTGGCGCAGGATGGGGCACGCGAACACCGAGTGGTAGCCGCCGCCCTCCTCGCCCAGCTCCACCTGTGCGCAACAACCAATTTTTCGTTATTAGGAGTGTTCGTTACATTAGATAACTGAAAAAAGTAATCTATTATTAATAAATAATCAAATCACCTATTATTTATTACTATTTTTTTATTTTTTTAACGTTATTTTTATGACATATTGTACGACCACAACTTGAAGTCTTTCTACCAACATGTCGCGCACAACACTTCACACTGACTCGACTCAAGGTGAATTTCTCTTAGTCGTGTAATATTTTTGTCACCAGCGACGTGCGCCAAATTATGCTCTAAGACAACTGCATATGAACTACATTGAAATCAGTGTCCAGTAATGAAATGAATATATTACTTATTAGATTATTATGTTCCGCACTAATATATTTGTTCGTATCATACATTAGACTACTTTTTTAAATAATATTAGAGAATATTTATACTGTTTAAATAACAATTATATAAAATCAGTCAGACAGTCCTAAGCCTGTTAAAAATAAATAATTATATAGTTTTTTTCATTGATCTATATGTTACTAACGTTTTTTTAACTACAATAAATAATTTAAGTGGGGCTAGAATTTAATATCCTTCACTAAATAATGCCCGCTAATCGCTTGAACAGCTGATTGAACATATTCGTTATTCATAAATAAGTTCATAGCTATTTCTACGAAGCGAATATATTATAACTTAAAAAATAATAAGCGTTTTAAAAATAGCGTATCGTTATAACGCGTTTTTAATATATAGCCGTTGCGAACACTCCTATTCGTTATATTCAAATTAGAAAGTACACTTGATCGATAGTGCTTCCCTTATGGATCAAGATTCGGCTGCAAGATTTCTACGTTGATAGCGTATATAAGCAAAATCATTTCTTTATATACACTAATAAAAGGGACAATATGTATTGACCGTGGTGCCTATTAAAATGTGCCCGCTAGTATGTTTAATTAAATAAATAATAATTGAAATTTTGGAACAAAATCAATGCACTTGTCTTTAAAATGAATTTTACTCCATTTCACAGAAATATACGTAGAAATATATGCACAGAAAAAATTAGCTTTAATTTGAAATATAAATGATGAATATACGCTATGAATTTGAATACAAATATTTGAAACATAGCATCTGCAGTCGAAATAGGCGACCATGTCATGCATCAGCTGTCAGCGTCATATCCCCACGGTTAGTTTACATAAATATTAGTATGCAAGCAAAAACTAATTGATTAAATAATATCTAAAGAGTTTGTACTTTATGCTAACATAATCTAGGTACAATGAAATTTAAAATTTAACGCGTGTATCTGTGTGTCTGCGTGTAGTGTGTGCGGTCACCTCTAGAGGCAGCTCGTCGTCGGCCCAGGCGGCGAGCACGTGCGGGTGCGACATCTTGGCGCGCACGTCGAGCAGCGCGGGCAGCACGCGCGCGCCCGCCAGCACTGCGCCCGCCAGCGGCGAGTGCGGCGCCAGGCGCAGCAGCGCGCACGCCTCGCGCACGAACAGCTCGCCCGCCTCCGCGCCTGGCGACACCCCACACATACATACACACATTTATTATATACAAGCATTGGTCGTTTAATGTGTATTGTGTTACAGTTTATAGAGTAGGAGGGAAATGTTAAATACGAAACAAAACTCAACGAGTGATAGTTTTGATTTATTAACCGAAAATACACTGATCATTAAAGAGAGGAAGAATTGCATGTGTGCGGAAACACAACAAACACGTGTAACGTAATTGACATAATTTTAATACATATATTATTTTACCTATTGTGCGGTGTTTCGTACATTCTAATATTATAAATGTGAAAGTGTATTTGTTTGTTTGTTTGTCTGTCCTTCTTTCACGTCAAAACGATTGACGTGATTTTTTTTGTGGAGATAATTGGAGGGCTGGAGAATAACATAGGCTACTTTTTATCCCGGAAATCATCCCTTAAGGGGGTGAAAATGGAGATGAAATTTTGTATTGGGAAGCAAGCTAGGGACGAACCCGAGCGCGTACAAATATATATATAGTGTGTATAGAACCCACCTAGCGCCTTCAAGTCGAGCAGGTGAGCGTAGTGCGGCGGCGGCGCGGGCGCGTCGCGCGTGCACCACGCCAGCGCGCACACGGCCGCCTGCAGCGCGCGCTCGTGCCGCGCCGCGTGCGCCGGGAACTGCGCGCGCGCGTACTCTATGGCCGCCGTCACGCCGTGCGACCGCGCCAGCTGCTCACACAATAAAACTATCATGTTAACATATATATGCGCGGGTTGGAGTCCCGCTGGGAGCATTCATTTATGTGATGAGCAAAAAATGATTGTACTCCAGTAATAGGTGTTTATGTTTATAATATGTATATATTTAAAGTATTATATGAGTAGTGTATCAACTATCTTGTTTCCATAACATAGGCCTCGTAGCTTACCATGGAACTAGATGGTGCTGTGTGTCAATGTCACAACATAATTATATATTTATATTGTATATTTATGGTATTTTTGGCGTGAAATGTCTTTAAAATCACACCGAAACATACGGAAAGGAAGTCAGAAAAGTGGACCGTAACGAAATAGGTTGCTATAGTAACCATTGTTATTGTCTGAAAAATGATATATAGTCCGCCTAATTCGTTAACGTGCTAAGTCCGTTTTTTAGCAACTTTACTTTTTTTTTGTTGGTCAAAAAGTTCAGACGAGTACCTACATTATGTTAAAGGATTAGCGAATAGGCTAGAAAAATATCAAGGAAAATTATAGGAACCAACAATATTTTCAGAATTTTGATTTCTAAAAATGAAATAATATAATTCAGTTTTTTTTTTCTTTATCCTGTAAACTATGCAGAAACAAACTTAGCAGGTTAACAAATTAGGCCGACGATACACGATATTCTTTCCGTTGCTATCTTCAAAGATTACTATTTTTACTAAATTGTTGTACAATGTTAATCGAAAGAACTTTATATGCTCTACCTATAGCGAAGATACCTACGAACGAAGTCAATTTTGTTTTCATTCCAATCTTTAAAACTAAAAGCGACTCGCTGTAATAGACGTTTCACGTTAAAACAAAGGCGGTGTGCCCCGACACGGCTACACGCGGTTTTTTTTTTAATAGTAAAAGGGGAAAATGTGCAAAGGACTGACTACAAAGGACGATGCCACTAACCTGATGGTTAGTGGCATCGTCAGTCGTCACTTTGCAACATAAGAGGAGTTGAGAATACGTTGTCGGCCTTTTCGGTCGGCTCAACGAAAAGCTCAGGAGGAAGATCATTTCTCAATTTACATGTGCGAGGTAGATAAGAACGTGATGGATATACATTTGTGTGATGTCAAGCAACTAGGATGTGTGGATGACATTCAACAATCTATCAAAAAAGTACTAGATACACAATCAGCTACTAAATATGTCCTCATCGAATGAGCGCTCTTTTGAACATTTGCATGCGCTTTTAATTATTTTTTTTATAAAAACACCTTTAAGCATTGCATTTAAGGTTGAATTTACATTGTTGTATATTTATTTCAACTAGAATAATTATCTAAACACAATTGTTGACAGTTTTAAATGAACTTTTGCATGGGAATGTGTAAGTATCTGGTACTTTTTTGATCTATGCATCCAACCCAATAATTTCAATTTAAACTATCACTATGCAAAAACAACCAAGTTTTTTTTTTAAAGCCAACATCAGTTGTATTGATTTTGACATACCATGTATACAGGGTCATTTTTAATTTACTGAAAACCTTTTGGAAATATACTATTTACAACATAACAACAACATCTGTAACAAGAAAAAATAATATTTCTTAAATTTTTATTTTCATACAAAAATAAAAATAATTTTTTGCACCTTCTAAACGGTAAAGTTCTAGCATCTGGCCAAGTTTAAATAAATAGCGCCGCTTCCTACACCCCTCCACCGCTCCCCCTCCAACGGACACGCGCTTTCTTTTGCTAACGTTGGACTATTACCGTTTAGAAGGTGCAATAAAAATATTTTTAATTTTGTAAAATTTAAAAAATATATCTTTTTTCTACAGATGTTGTTGTTATGACGTAAATAATATATTCCCAAAAGGTTTCTAGTAAATTAAAAATGACCCATATACTTCAAGTGTTTATGGCAATATATAAAAAAATATATGAATGATAAAATGTTAAAAAAATGAAGTATTTTAAAGAATTTATTAGAAAAAGTATTTTAGAGTAAATAATTATTACCATACAAGTAGTTTTTCTTAAGTTCATGAGAGAAGTTACATAAATATTACTATAATATAACAATACAAAAAAAACAACCTTCAGAGCTTGCATCCTATGCAACGTGAAAGGCAGCGGCGAATGCACCAGCTCGTGTTCTCTTGCTGCGGCCCAAGCTAACGCAGGGGCAGGGTCTCCGGCGGACAGCGATGCTGCGCATCGCTGCAGTTGGGCGAACGTACTGCCACGCTCTGCTGTCACACCCGCTTCTGCTACTAGTGAGTCGCCTACTTCTTCTAGACCCTGGGTAACGGGTTTTATAATAAGCAGACATAATATGGGAGGCATAATTTTTTGACGACACGTTTGGCGCAGTTTGTAGTGATCCTACTTGCTATGGCAGCGGTCGCGGGTTCGAGTCCCACTGGGGGAATTAATTTATGTGATGAGCACGAATGTTTGTACTCCAGTCATAGGAGTTTATATTTATAATATGTATGTATTTAAAGTTATATATGTGTAGTGTATCAACTATCTGGTATCCCTAACACAGGCCTCGTAGCTTACCGTGGAACTAGATGGTGATGTGTGTTAATGTCCCAATATATTTATTTCTAATATGGGGACATAATAGAGGCAGTGGTAGCCTTAGCCAGCGTGGTGGTCTATGGCCTGATCCTCCTCGTGTCGAGGGTAAGCCCGTCCCAGCAGTGGGACGTTAAAAGGGGGCTGCATACAAGACATAATATAAGATGAGACGATAATCTGAAGCTGAAACTAGCCCTAGCTAGCTATAGGTTCAGAAAAAGATCCAATATAAAGATTCCATTCCAAAAGGGAATAAATGCGAATGTTTTGTAAGCACTGCAAAATATATAGTGTGTAAAAAAGTACATATTACAGTTCATAAAATAAAAAAATATATTTTTAATAGTAGGGGAGCCCAAGAGGGGATTTTCTGTAGTTACTCGAGCGCGGCAGATTAACATAAAAGAGGTTACCTTGCACTCTATTGAGTACTTTCACCATAATATAAGTCTTCTATATAAAGGGGCGCGTCTAGGGAAGCCACTATCGACTATAAAGTTTATGATGATTTTTGCCTCTTAGGCTTGTGCAAATCGGCAGATTATTAAATTGGACACTTTTCAGGATGTGACTAGCCTACCACACCTTAATCTGACGGTTTCAAGTATTTCTACCTTATCAAAACATTTTTTAAATATTTTAATCGGCTTCCCTAGACGTGCCCCTTTATATAGAAGACTTATATTGTGGTGAAAGTTTTATGTTAATCTGCCGCGCTCGAGTAACTACAGAAAATCCCCTCTTGGGCTCCCCTACTATAATAAAATGTCTGTTAATTACTTGGTACTCATATGTATATTTAGCTTACAATCATAATTTTTGTTTATTTCGAAAAAGCTAGAATTACACGAATAATTTGTATGGTGGACCGTATGATGTGTGATTGTAAGAAAACAATTCTTCCAAACTTCTTTTATTTTTTCTTGAGTTTTCTTCTTTTTTGTTGCTCTGTTGAGAACTGGAGTACAACTGATACAATTTAACCCCTAAACCTTATTATTTTTATCACAGGTATTCCCTTATGTATATCCCTTTCTTATATAAAATAACAAAATTTAGAACATGTGAGCTGTAGAAGTATCTGTGAATCTGCACTTATAAATAAAATCTTGTTTTGGTTTTATTATAGATTATGCCTACATATACTTAAACAGACAGAACATAGTTAGCCCACATAGTATTAATATCCCGTCCCATTATATATATATATATATATATAATATATATATATATATATATATATATATATATATATATATATATAATGTTTGGATGGATGTTTGTTAGTCAATCACACTAGAACAGCTGAATGAATCTGGAAAATATTTGGCGCAGAGATAGATTATAGTCTGGAGTTCGTTTTTGCCATTCATTTATAAATACTGCCTATATGTTACTCTGATTTATTGAATAATTCAACAAAACTTGAATAGTACTCTATAAAAAAGTTAAAAACATCCACAATTACAAACTTTCATGTTTATAATATTACTAGAAAGGGGAGTATTTAGAAAGGGTAAAGAATTAAAAATATTAAGAATGCATATAAAAAACTTTTTACACTTACATTCTACCTTGCCTAACATATAAGCTGGTGTAACACATAGAAAGAAACTCGAAATATGTGAAACAAAATAGGAAGATAGGATTACTGATGAGGTCTTCAGACAAAGTAATCAATGTAACATTATGAATCAATCAATTAAAACATTCTGGCCAAGCGAGACGGCTTTACCAATAGGGACATGCACATCAGAGATTAAAATAAAAAAATAAATACAATAAATAAAGTACAGGCTACAAAGAGCATATTACTAAGTTTAAAAAATAAGTACTCTAAATCTTAAATAATGGAAGGAATTATCTAAGACTTAAATTATTAACTACCTTTTAAATAAATATTGATATTTTGTTTTCTGTTCTGAATAAAGGCAATATAGACCAGGGTAGAAGCCTTTAAAAATAATAAAAAGTGAAAAAAAAATAATAGTAGGATGCAACCCATTAGAAAAGGAGGGCAATATTATAAAAATGAAAGGAAAAATAATTTACGGGCGATCTGAGGTCGGGAAGGGGATGGGGGTGAGTTTGTAAGGGTAAAAAACGGTTTTCTCGATTTCCGGCAAAACTAAAAGTCCTATCGAAAAAGTCAAATATATAAAAAATATGTATAGTAATTAATATATTTTTAATAACTAACTTTTGGCCGATTTTCATGTATATTTCATATATTTTACTATAGATTTTTAATATATTTATAATATATTTTTTATACATTTTGACATTTATTTCTTTAATAATTTTTTTTTCATGGGGGTATACTCACGATAAAATAGTGAAGGCATTATTAATTCGATTTTGTCTTTTCAGATTATCAGTATGGATGAATCTGTTTGTATCATCTGCAATAAGGCAGATGATAAGCAAGTGTATGAAATAAAAAAGGTTTGTTTTTTGCATTTTCTCAGAAGATTTACTATAGTAACATATATTTTTTTTTTCACAATCAAGAAAAACCGTTTTTTACCCTTAAAAACTCACCCCCATCCCCTTCCCGACCTCAGATCGCCCGTAAATTATTTTTCCTGTCATTTTTATAATATTTCCCTCCTTTTCTAATGGGTTTCATCCTACTATTATTTTTTTTGGTTTTAAAAATTATCGACCCTGGTCTAATATCATTTTGTTTATTTATAAAATATAGCAGCTTTAAGTACCCTCTATTGTAAAAACATTCTTTACACACAAATTTTTGCAAAGTTGGATGTAATTACTTACTACTACTACAATGGAATAAACTTTTAAAATTATAAAAACAATATTACTCTTATCCTAATAGTAATCTAACTTCTAATAGTACAATAATTTAAGTTCATATAAAAATTAATAATTAATACTTACTTGTCTATACAAATGCTGAGCAATTGCTTGTTCCATTATGGGTCTATTGGTATCAGAGCAAAATGACTCTGCTTTTGGTGCAACAGCTGCATAGTCAACTATAAAATGCCTGTCAATAGATTTACCCACTCTCGAGACTGTGGCATGCAGTTCACGGTGATCTGAAAATTGTATAACAAAATTCCAAGATTAGGATTCAGGTCCAAAAACAATATATTACCAAATATAAGCAAAATACTCCAGGCTACAGGATATATTTTAACTTTTACTACATATTATTAGTTTAAATATAAATAACAAAATTTAGATCAATCTATACAGTTTGCATCAAAGTCTATGATATATTAAGTACTATTTCTTTTGATGTGTAGAATACAATCTTAACACCTCGCAGTGAATTTCTAAGAAATCAATTGGTAGCCGAGCCACCTGTGGCTCGGCTGACGCTGACAGGTTGACAATGTTAATTGACAAAATTGACTTTATAACGTTCGGTTTGAACTGTACCATATATCTACACTGCCATTCTAACAGGGCTTCACTTGACATATGCAGATCATTATTTTATCAATTACGTCATAATGTGTAAGTATAAACTATAATAATTTACAACATATTAATAAACTTTTACACTACCTGTAGATAATTGGAACACTGTTTGTTTAACTGAAGCTGCCAAATCATTTACAATTTTCGTTTGACTTTGTGATAATGGTGTATTAGGAGATTCTGTAAATTTAAACTCAAAATTAAACTCATATTCGTTAATAAAGTAATAAACCTTTTAGGTTTATTACTTTTTACTACATATATGACTTTCTATCACTATATTGTCAGTAAAACAATTCTAACACTTAAGTCATAAGTGACATAGAAACAAAATTTATATATTATTTTAAATACTTAAAATTCTAAAGAGAAAGTTATTCATTTTAATAGAAAAATGCCAAATCATTCACTACAGGGAATTAATTGTGACATTATTTACGTACGCTTCAAGATTTCATTTCTCAATTCTTCAACTTGATTTATTAAGTCCTCCAATATTTTGTTTGCATAATCATTAAGTGCAGTAAATTTAGATGTAGCTTTGTCCAAATCTTGTTCAACTCCCATACAGGAATCCATTGCTTTTAAATCTGATAACTCTTATTGTGTTAATAATCAAATCACTCTACGCTTTCAATAATATAGACAAGTTATTACTCATCTATGTTAAATAGTTCATCTATCTACAGAAACAAAAGATTCAACTCTTTTAAGAATGGTTCAACTTTCCACCTAAATATTTTTTGACAAATCTGAAATCACAAACAAGATATTTTCTTTGTTTTTTTTTATTCCGTCTGACAGACGACAGCAGGCACAGCAGAGACCACTATAGATAACACATGAATACTGCATTTAGATTTTAATACCGGCTGTACACTCTCGTCGAGGCACCGCGAGGCAGGACAAGTGCGAGAGTATACATGCTTCACTCGTTTCGTCTCGTATTGTCTCGCCTCGCCTCATCTGCTCTCCGTTCCGAGTCGGTTTTCTACGCGCGAGTCAAAGGGTCTCACTTACCCTCGCGAGGCGACGCGAGGGCGTCACTGTTCATTCTTACGTCGTTCATTTTAGGGCAAGCTTTCTAGCCGAGACGACACATGACGTTATCATTATTTTTTAATTTTTTACGCCATTTTTTTTTTTTTTTTTGTATTGTATATGTGCACGTAATTATAATAACTGATAGTGCATAAAGTAACAGCTGCCGTAACTTGTAACGCGTCCATCTTCTCTGCGTTCACAACAGTACTGAATAAACGAGAGTGTACAGAGTCAGACTCGTCAATCGACTTCTCGCGCAAGTGCTCTCGAAGAAACATGGCGAGAGCACTCGCGAAAGAGTGTACAGGCGCCTTTAGACTTTCGCGCGAGTAGCGAGACGAGTCGCAAGGTGATCTATGCGACGAGTTTGTATGTGTAAACGGTGCGCTTGTAACTCGTCCGCACCTCGTTTTGCCACTCGCAGCGCTCGCGTCACGAGCGGTTTTTTGGGCGCGAGTCAAAGGACCTCGCGAGCGACACGAGTGCAGTGTTTACATTCGCGCTCTCACTTCACTCGTTTACTAGCGTTTAGCTGTGAAGGTAGTGCTTTACCTACATAATGGATTGGTCGAAGAGATTTTGTAGTTCCTTGAATTATTTCAAAAGAAGCCAATAATTTGGGACCCTATACATAAATGTTACAAGAATTATCAAAAAGTAAATGATGCATAGAAAAAAATATCCGAGCAAATTTGTAGAGCAATGCCAGAGCTTAATCGTATAGTATTTTATGTTGACTAATCAATCGTATAGTAATAAAAGCTCAATAAAAAAAAGAGAGTTGATTCCGCTAATATTTCGACGTCCGACATGATTGCCGTGCTGATTCAAAAACAACTGAACGCTCTGCGAGAGTCTTAACAGAAGCTTCTTTTTACACGAGCTGCGCCTGCGAGGTGAATACACAAGGTACGAGGCGAGTTACGAAGCAAGAGTCTAAATAGGCTAATAGAGTAGGCAACTACCATTTAGCACTTTAAATGGCGGTTAGGCGTGGAGAAAAAATGATAGAAAATATCTTCTTAGTTTCTATCTTTGTTTCATGATGCAGTGTACATTAGTAGACTTTATATGGCGCATAACTCAAATTAAAAGAAGTACACAATTTATGTAACGAAGATTTTATTTTTTATAAAAAATATCTTTATTTTTGTAATAAATTAAAATCATAGTTTATGAAATTAAATTTTATTTCGTTTTTTACATTTTATATAACTTAAATCTTTTATGTTTTATCACGCATAATTCTTATAAAGTGGTTAATTTACTATGATTTATTTAAAAGTGGATAATTTATTAACTGTCTCAATGGTGTAGTGGCTAGCATGTACGGCTGCACACCCGGAGGTCCTGGGTTTGAGTCCCGGTCGGGCCAAGTTTAGTTATTGGGTCTTTCTGTATAGTAAGTCTTAGTAACAGCCCAGAGTTGGGAAGTTGGCGGTGTTCCACCCCCCGTGCCTCGGAGAGCACGTAAAGCCGTCGGTCCTGCGCCTTAACTCTCACCGGAGTTTGAGAGTGATAGGAATAGAGAGTATACTTGTGTCTGCGCGTACACTTGAGCACTATAATATCTCCTGCGCAGTTGGCTAATCTCAATGAGATTGGCCGCCGCAGCCGGAATCAGCTAGGAGAACATCATCAATTTATTATATTACATTCTCATAGGGAAGATTTCTCGATAGGAGGGCGTAACACGTATAGCATATTTACATTCAGTCTGAGGTTAAGCTTAGCTGAGGATTGCATGAAACTATAATTCTTAGTCTTAATGTTAAATACACAGAAAGTGGTGTCAAATTAGAGTATATATATGTATACTCTAAGGGTGTTTTAAGCTTTAAGATAAAAAATAAGGAATATATTTATTTCATACTTTTCAAAATCTATCCCATAAATGGGTAAAAAGGGGTCATAAAGTTTATATGGGCAAAGAATTATTTATGATCAGAATTACTTGAAACTTGGTAATAATGCCCTTCAATACAATTAAATACGTGTTTTAGCATTAAACATTAAATCCCATAAGGAGGTAAAATGGGGGATGAAATTTTGTATGAAACTCTGTAATTAAATATGTAAAAAATATAAAAAATAAAAAAATATATTCACGTGTAGACGATTAAAGAGTTTTAAAATTACTTTCTTTAAAATATTGTCTCTTATTGCTTTAGATGACAATTTCTTCAATTTTTGTCTTTTCGGAACAAATGATATCCATTTTCTTTGTACACTGCAAAAAGTGGCACTGCACAATTTGTCCTTTTAATTATTAAAATGAAAATAAAAATCCATCTACGCTATAAATGTTTACAATATACAGAGAGCTATAGTGATCGCTACATATGACGGGAGAAAAAGGCAAAATTCTTCCCCATTCTAGATTTTAACTCATTTAATTTATCACTTTCTTGTTTTAAGCGCATAAAATAAAAAGAGGTAAAAAGGGGTCTGGTTATTTTTTTTCCCTTTCTATCGAAACATCATATTTTTGATCGGCTTACCTACTCTATGTGTATTAACTCTATGGTTTTGCTGCCAAGGCGCGTTATGATGAAATTTTATCTGTAGAATTTTTTTATCTGTTTCAAGACGTTCCTTTGGTATTGCACAATTGGAGTTCGCCGAATAGGTTAGAATTTTCCTAATTGTGTAGTAAATTTTATGTTCCGTGGAACATTTTGAATAATGGCTCAAAGTAAACTTAATGATATGGCTGGCAAATTTGCTAAAGGTGGACCACCCGGACTTAGTACTGGTTTAAAAGTAGCTGCTGTACTCGGTGCAGGGGTTTATGGAATTTCACAATCCCTATTTACGGTTGAAGCTGGTCATCGTGCGATTATGTTTAATAGAATAGGAGGGGTGCAAAATCATGTTATGTCCGAAGGTCTTCATTTTCGCGTTCCATGGTTCCAGTATCCTATCATCTATGATATCCGATCTCGACCTCGCAAAATTTCTTCTCCAACCGGTTCTAAGGATTTGCAAATGGTTAACATTTCTTTAAGAGTATTATCTCGCCCCGACTCAAATAACCTGACTACCATGTATAGACAACTTGGTACTGATTATGATGAAAAAGTACTTCCTTCAATTTGCAATGAAGTTTTAAAATCAGTGGTAGCTAAATTTAACGCATCTCAGCTCATCACTCAACGTCAACAAGTGTCATTGCTAATTAGAAGAGAGTTAGTTGAGAGAGCAGCTGACTTTAACATAATATTGGATGATGTTTCATTGACAGAATTGAGTTTTGGTAAGGAATATACGGCAGCCGTGGAAGCTAAACAAGTAGCTCAACAAGAAGCTCAGCGTGCTGCTTTTGTGGTAGAAAGGGCTAAGCAAGAGCGTCAACAGAAAATTGTACAAGCTGAAGGAGAAGCAGAAGCTGCAGAAATGTTAGGTAAAGCGATGGGAATTAATCCTGGGTACCTAAAACTCCGTAAAATTCGTGCTGCACAGAGTATTTCCAGAATGATTGCTCAGTCACAAAATAGAGTCTTCCTGTCTGGCAATAGTTTGATGATTAACCTTCAGGATCCATCCTTTGATGACTTGTCAGAAAAACTTACGAAGAAGAAGTAACATACGGCAGAGAAAGAGTATGAAATAAGCCTGGAGCCAGTTACTACTCTTTCTGAAAATGATGAAACTGCAGTTATAATTAGTGGGGCTACTTCAGTTGCTATATAAATTAATAATTGTCTTTAAGCATTTTGCAGTGTATAAAGTTAACAAATTTTGTTTAACTCCATATGATGCATTTTATGTTACTTAGTTTATAGGTTTAGTACGTATGAAGATCAGTTGCAATAAAGATATAAAAAAAAATGTTTTTTATTTTCTTCCAGATTTAACTATTTAAATTTTATATTATTCCTAGCAACCATTTATATTTATAGTATTGTATTAAGGTAAAGTGAAGATTTAACAACTTTTAATACTTGCAACTCCAGGTCATTATCTATGTACTAAATTTTATCAAAATCTGTGCTGCTGTTTCAGCATGAAGAAGTAACCACAACATATAAACTTTCCTATTTGTAATAGTAATGTGATTATTGATTTTAATATTAACTGTTCTGCAGATCATGATAACTAAATGTATTTATTTGAAATGATGTAGGTACCTGATTATTTATTAAGAATATAAGTATTCATGTGAACATCATTTTAGTAGTTTCTGTATATTAAAATTGTAGTGGGAATGACAAAGTGAAGGAACTAAATACAGTTTGAATTAAACATGTCAAACAAAAATCTATGAATTATTTCACACTGCATATCAGGATTTTTATATTTTAATTATAATCTATTTAGAAGAAACTTTTTGAACTAATACCATGATTTCCTTTAAAATGAAGCTTGTAACTAATTTTATCAGTTGTGAAAAAGTAGACCAACAAATTGTCATAAGACAATAATGTCCCCTGTTGAAAAACTCCAATAGAATCCCATCAAAAGCGACAAAAGCCACATAGAAACCAATAAATATGTATTGGTTTCTATGTGTCTTTTGATGGGATCCTATTGGAGTTTTTAGATAGGGTCTGTCTACTTTTTTAATTACATAATAGTATATCTAATTTTATTGTTTTATTTATATTCTATTTAATTAATAACAACATGGAAGAATATAGTTTATTAAAATGAAAGAGTAAGAAAATCACATTTAAATAAAAAAAGCCATACTGAAATTTGACATATTTTATTAACACACATTCATTGCTTGACTAGTCTAAAATCGGTAACATTTTAATTTTTACTTTTTTACAGCTGATGGTTGTGGTAGTCTAAATTTCGCCATTTCGATTTCAGCTTCAAAGTAACTCATGTTGTCATAACAAAAATATTCAGGCACTTTATATGGACCACTTTTATTGGGATCCACACCAGGCCCTAGAGGCTCAGAAGCCTCATGGATAACTGCACTACTAAGACCAGGAACATTAGCATTTACACTAGCTTGTGTTGGTGGTGCTGAGGATGAAGTACCGCCTTGATTTTGGCCAGATATTTCACTGTAAAATCTGGGGCAATTTTTAAAAATATGTCTTCTTAACATATTTCTTGCTAACATTTTGATATTGGCTATTACACAATCTACAATTTCGAAAGATGAAAAATAAACCACTGTCAAAATCAAATATTTTTAGACATTAGACATGACATTTACAAATTACACTGCTACATTACACATATTTAAATATTATTATAAATCATATAATACTAAATTTAAATTACGGATATCTTACATAATTTATACAAATATTATAAGTAACAGTAAGCTGGTGTAATTAGTGATTTTATTATTTACAGATATGACAATTTTAGATTGTATAAATCATTAATAATATAAGAAGTTTTAATTATAAAGTTTGAAATTATTTCAATGCAAATATTTTATATCGATTTTAGTTTGTAATAATACATTAATATTATAAATAATTCACATGAATCGTTAGGTCGAGGTATACAACCTTCCATCTCTGTTTATTCTGTAAATCTCGCTTTCGCACAGTGTCTGCATTGTCTATGGATCTTTTTCACGACTGTTTTGGATAGTTTACCTACCTTGCTTATTTCGCCGATTTTTCAGAATAAGAGTGAAAAATGTGTATGATTTAACATTTGTTCTGTACACTCAAGTACAATAATGTGTTCAGATTATCGTTAAGTTTTATTACTTGGATATAGCCCCGTAAAACCCTAGATCAGCCATTTACATGAAAGGTAAGTACAAAAAATTGGTATCACAGTATTTTTTGTTTTGGTGTAATGAGATAGTTTTGTCTTCACAATTTAGGTGTTTAGATTTGTTAGAGTTGCGATAGAATTAATTCACGTTTTAGTTTATGTTACCAGAAAATTGTAACAAATTATGCATGAATCGTTGTATATAATATTAGTCTTATGTATAACGTTGCCGCTATTTTGTCGTATATTTGTATATAGTTATACGCATAACCCGACCAAGTTGAAGAGGGCTTGTGCGAGCATACGTTCCAATCTATGCAACGTGCGTTTACATTGAGAGATTGTTCCTGTATAATTTAGTAGTAAAGTCGTTCACATGTCTTCATTTAACGCAAGGCAGATGAATTGTGGGTCGTAAATCAATATTTTCATACCGTAATATTTGTTAAACATATACGTATTTTAGTGGAAAGATTTGAATAATGTAATACACTGTATTAAGGCTGAAAAAAGTTGGTCAATGGTTGTAGTGCATTTTTTTAAATTCGTTTTTTACTCTGTGGGCTTATTTCTATTTTTGCCTTTTGGCTATTGGTATCGCGCTAAATTATTTACAAAACGATTTTTTTAATTGTTATCCGATCTAAGAGGAAATGTTGTACAATATATTTACTATAGATTTATGAATATATAAGTTATACTGTGTTTAATGTCAATAAACAAAATTATGTGAAATGGCGGATGCGGTGCCCGTTTGCGATGTCTTGCTCGAAGCTATGGAATATTTGTCCAAGCTTGGATCGAATTTACGTGTGCGTTCTGAAAATTTTAAGCAGAAAAAATTACGAAAAGACAAACTTCGAAATACTCATGCCGTGCAAAAAGCCGCTAACAAAGTCCTCTTGATTTGTGAATTGTCAAAAAAGTCAATACTGAATGTTGAGGCCGGCGTTAAACAAATACTTACCCAAATTGACGCCTCCCAAGGTTCTACAAGCAGAAAAACAAAAGATATAATTTCAAATACAAATCAAGATGAGTCGAATTACTTTGAATATGAATCGAAAAAATTGAGAATACGCCGTAAAGTAAATTTAAAACATTTTACGTCTGTCAAAGTTCTAGCTAAAGCGATGCCTCTGTCAATGCAAGATAAATATCCGTTATATTACAACTGTAAACTATATCAAACAAGAAAGGAAAAACAGAAAAAGAACAGCAAAGAAGAATCTACTCATGATATACTGGAAGATAGTTTTAATGATAACCAAACATCTGTAAGTTCCTGTAATTTAATAGAAAAAGATGTTGATGAGTTAAGTACTACTACTAATAAAATGGAAAAGAAACATGAAGATCACCAGTTGCCAGATACTTCTGCAGGAGAGCAAAGGGATAAATCTAAGAAGAAAGAAATTTTACAAAAATCTCCAGATATAAAAAAAAGTAAGAAGTTTAGACATATCAAAATTATGGATAGTACAGATAGTGATAGTGATGCAAGACAGAATGTACAATCAAATGAAAAAGAATGTGGAGATAAGCCTGATGCTCCAATGACAGTCTGTGAAATTGTGCCTAATAAAGAAGCAAATATTGACAAAGAGGGAGAGGATTCATTGCATTGTAGTAATAAGGATGGCAGTTCATGTGACGAAGATAGTCAAGTTCATATATTGAGTAAAGATACTTTTGATGGCATGTCAGGTCAAAGTGCAAACTGTGAAACTATTGCTAAACATTCCAGTGGAAAATTATTAAATGTAGAATATGAGCAAGAGCAACAAGAAGCAGCTACTACACCAGAAGTGATAATAGAAAAAAAAGACTATCCTAGCATAGCTACCAAGGAATGTGAGCGAGATGTTGATATAGAAAAGAAAAAAATACTTATTTCACATAGTGAAAAACTTGAATCAAATGAGATGATAGACAAAGGCAAATGTAATGATAACGAAGAGCCTAAACTACTAATAGATCCAAACACAGTGATTAGTGATGCGTCCAATACAAGTACTATTTGCAAAGGAACAGAAAATGAAAAAGGCCCTGATTTTGATAATGACAATAGTCAAGGCTCTACAGATTCAAGACCCTTCATAAAATGTGTCAATATTAACAAATTGCTCAGAGAAGATAAAATACCAAAAAAGAAAGAGCAATCTTTTATTGAAATACTTGATAGTGATACTGATGAGGAAACAAAAGATGTGATTAAAAAAAGTAAGCACAAGGAAAATGACAAACATAGAAGTAAATTAAAAAATAGACATAAATTATCAAAAAATCATGCAAAACCATTACATAAAACGAGGAGAACTTCATCAGAGTCTAGTAAAACTGATGATGAAGATTATTGGAAACAAAAAAGGAAAGAAGTAAAAGAATTTAAACCAAAAAGTTTTAAAATTGTCATCGCTAGGAAATATGAGTTGACAGAAAAGTTTTTACATGAACAAAATTTAAAAAGAATAACTCGTTATGGTTCTATTATTTGTGAATTATCATTACAAAATGATAAAGAAGAAGGGTTAAATATACCTGTTGAAAAGCAAAGTTTACAAATAATAGAAACAAACAAATCATTACCTTCCAAAGATATAAATGTTGTGAAAAATGCTTTGCTGAATGATTCTGACTCAGATTGCGATAAAGAGACAGAAAAAGCAAATAAAATAAAAAAAGTTCTTCTAGATGAGTCTGACACAGAAAATGTAGAGGTCACAGAAAATCAAAACCCACAATTATCTAATACAGAAATTATTGATGAACCTAGTAATGTTGCTTGTTCTGAAAATAATAATCAGGAGAATATACCAATAAATAATAAAAGTAAAATACTAGATGAACAAGGAACCGATAATATTGAAGAAGAAACCAATATGATTGACAATGGAACTATTAAGATTAAAGAAGGAACTATTAAGAATAATAATGAACAAGTAACTAACAATAATAAACTAGGAACTGATAACAAAGAACAAGGAACCGAGGAGAAAGATAATAATAATGATAATTCATCAGATACAAATGAGGCAAATAAAAGTACTACAAACAGTAAAAGAAAGAGAAGAAGTAGTTCCCCTTTACCATCATCTAAGCGAAAACGTATTATGGAAAGTATGCATGCAAAGAAGATGTTACTAAATTGTTCATCAAGTTCTGAAACAGAAGATGAACAGTTAAAAAATGTATTAAATGAGATACGAGACTCTTTACTCAAAGGAGGTTCTGATGAAGAGGATGAAACAATAAAAAGGGATGATTCTGATGACATTTCATCTAACGTGTGTAAAGGGAACACCACTGAAGATAGTAATCACTGTATAACAGAATGTGATTCACTAAGTAAAGACTCTGATAGCCAAGTTGAAGAAAATAATGAAGTAAATTCAAATTCCAGTTCTCGAAAGGTTAGGATCTAGTGAATTTTATTAAAATCACCTTATTTGAAAACATACATAAACTAAAACCTTTGCTATTCTGCTTGTATGTTCATGTGATAATTATTTCTTGTGTGTTAGTGTGTGAACAATGTTATTGAAACACTGTCTAATACATAGTAATTTAATATGAAACACATTTTTAAAACATTTTTTTAGGAATGCACAAAAAAGGTCAGCTAATTTTTAAATGAATATTAAGTTTTAAAATGATTAATATCAAAAGGGTGAAGCTTTGAGAAAAATATGTAGTTAGAAAATATCAATTTTTAAATAATATATTTTATAACCCAAAATAAAATAGTTTTTGTCATATTAAATTTGTGTAGAACCATGATATTGTATTTACCAATAGTCAATATCTACCATGAGTTAACTTACTTCCATATTTATCATATATTGTTCATGAGACTTACTAAAGTCACACTGTATTATATATTTCATATTACATGTTTTATAACATAGTTATAATGTAATAAAGGCATTTTTCAAGGTTTTATTTAGTCTTAATTTTTTTTAATATATAAATAGAAACTTCTACTTACTAGAAAATAGTTAAAATAATATGATCCTTATAGCATTCCTTTAAATTTGATTACAAATGTGTATATTTGTTAGTAATTTGTCGATTAATATATTGTGATTCTATATAATGTAGTCTGAAATTAAAATTAATTCATAGTTTGGTCTTTCATTTTGGCTAATAAGGATATCTAGGTAGGGACAGTAACAAGTAGGTCTTGGTAATTTAACACAGATTCAAATAATAGATACAATTATTACAGATGGGCCGCTCTAAATCTAAGCCACCTGGTAGCAGCAGTCAAAATACAGATACACAAGAGTCATTTGACAAAGAAATAGATGGGTAAATATTTTGAAAGGGAAAGGGATATTAAAGATATTTACATGCTTGAACTTAAGGTGTATTCAATAGGCACCTGCATGTAATAAAGAATTATTAATATATAAATAATCCATATTATAAAAAGATATTGGAAATAAGTATTTGAATTGTTAGTCCATTAATATGGCTAAATTTTTTGCATATTCCTGGCATGGTGTGATATAATTGATTACAAACAGTATATTTATTGGGGTTGGATATTTTCTCATAATATTTTAGGTTGATAGGTTCATTATTTGTATTGAAAATATTTCTTACACATGTCTATACAATTTTTATAAATAGTTATGAGTATATATATACACCTGTCACCTACAGCTAGGATAGAATAGTATATTATGCTCCTTATAGAAGAGGGCATCGAGTTTTTTATTTTAGTACAGGGGAGGGGGAGAGGTGTGAGGTGTGTTTGTGTGGCTAGGATGGATGGAACGCATGCAAATTTAGATTTTTCCTTCATATTATTAAAATAAATTCACAAATTGTTTTGTAAAGATCATATTGATTTTTTTTTTCTATCGAGGAAAGTACAAGTAATCATGTTTCTAAAGTGTAAGATTTATAGAATAAATTTTTAAATATCCTGCACATTAATTACATAATTAAAGTGTTAGTAATAACAATACAGCAAGGGATCAAACGAACGCAATTATTTCCTAATTGTCTCGGTGCGCCCAGTATTTATATAAATTAAAAAATAATTATTTGAACATTGTAATTTGTAGGCCCTGTACCTTGTCCTTACGTACGTAAAATGATACAGTTGATCTTTGAGTACTTAAAAACAAACAAAATTGAAAATAATAATAAAAAATAAAAAAATGTTGGCTTTAAGAACCAGAGTAAAAACATAACATATACATTGACTACTGCATGTGTTTTGATTTTTCATGTTTTTTATTGTGGCATGATTATGGATGACATAGGGGTACTGGTTTTAAATCCTTTGATAATAGTTTTAAAGAAACTCCAAAAAACTACAATATTACTCTAAGCATATTCCTAATATTTTTATAGTACCTTTTGATGGTAATCAATTTTCAAAATTAAATCCTACTGATATTATAAATGCGAAAGTTTGTGTGAATATCTGGATGTATATATTTATTGATGAATGTTTGTTACTCTTTCACGCAAAAACTACTGAATGGATTTTAATTAAACTTTACAATAATATAGGGTCATACATTAGAATAACACATGGCTACTTTTTATCCCGGAAATATATACGGTTCCCGTGGCATAGATTTGTTTTTGTTTTTATAGCGGCGAAGTGAAGTTACCTTTTAGAGCGAAGCGAGGGCCGCTAGTTAAATTATAAATTGATTTACCTGTGCTAGTTTTCTCCTTCTCAGAACAAATTTCATTAAGTTTTGCATTTGGCTTTGACCATTAAATATAACGGACTGACAGATCCGTTTATGCACCTCTGCTACTATATCTGGGGTGTCAAGGTAAAAGGGGATGAGTCATAAAAATTTAAAAGTGAGTTATTGATATGATCATTTATTTTAATAAATAATAATTCAAAATATGATTTTTAATTACCATAAAAAGGCACCACTTTTAAATGAAAAAAATGACAAACTTGTTATAAACAACCTTTTCTTTTGTTAAAATACATTTATGTTTTGAAATGAATAAGCGTTTAAATTTTTCGCCTCTGGTGAAAAGTTGTATTTATTGACTCATCTCCTTTTACCTCGACACCACAGATATAACAGCACTACTTACGTTTTTGCGCGTGCATCTGTCTTTATTTTTACAGCCCAGCCACTGATCCTGTTCTGTATCTTGGGATCTAAATAATGCAATTATTAAGTAAATGAAGAATAAAGTTATGTTTACAATTTGAATTGTATATTTGGTAGGTAGGAGAATAGGTCATCAAGTAGTTTCCACGCTCCTACCCCCACCCCCCATTTTTTAATCGCGGTTTTAGTATTTTTGTATGAACAATATTATATACATAAATATTGTACATAGCGACGAACCCGAGCGAAGCGAGTAGCTGTATAACATAAAGACAAAAAGGTTTTTTCGTAGATTGAACGCGGGCGTAGCCGTGGGTTCTGCTGCTTACCTATATGATGTGAAAAAAATTAGTCATTGTGTTCCGTGTCCGGTTTCATTCCTAGGTGCCAAATATAGCCCATGTACATCAAGTCACAATCTAACGGTGTATTAAATTTCATCCAAATCCGTTCAGCCGTTTCAATGTGAGGGAGTAACAAGCATACATACATACTACATCTATACTAATATTATAAAGAGGTAAAGTTTGTGAATTGTGAGTTTGTGACGTTGTAGGGGGTAATCACTGGATCTACTGAACCGATTTAGATGAAATTTGGTAAGACGACAGTTTGAGCCCCTGAGAAGCACATAGGATACTTTTATCCCGGAAATCATCCCTTAAAGGTATGAAAATGGGGATGAAAGTTTGTATGAGGAATCAACCTAGGGACGAACCCGAGCGAAGCGAGGGTGAGTTGCTAGGTTATAATAATATTTGATGAGAAGATGTTACTTAGAAAATACAATACGAATCTGTATCTCAATTACTAGTTTATTACTAGTAGCAATACTGATCAATCGAGTGGAAAAAACTTATCCTAGTTATTGAATAAAAAATAGTAATGACTATAGAATAGTACAGATGAAAACGTGTTATTTATGCATTTCATTAAAAGTTTCCTATGAGAAGTTTTATGCTCAACCCGTGAATTGGAGCTTGAATTTCGTTAGGTATTGCTTGCTTTGGTAATGTAAGTGATATAGCTTTTAAAATATTATAATTCTAGGTTAAAATTAAAATGTGGACATGAAGAATTATTTTATACTAATTTTTGTTCTGTACACAATTTTACCTTGTAACTGGAATTGAAGATACGATAGTGTTTATGATTTAGATGAAAGAAACTCGATTTAGTGAAATCAAAATATAATTTGTTCAATTAAATAATCCATAAGTTTTTTTTTATTGTCAGTTTAAGTTAGTAGTAATGAAAGACTGAAAGTAAAGTAATAGTAAGTAGTTAGGGATTTGTCCTTTAATTAAGCCGCTAAAGAACTAATAAGACTAGGAAGGTACATCGATACTATATATCTTTTCTTTCCACGTTGAAATAATAAAAATATCTGTTCATATATCAAAAGATAAAATAAATACATATGTATCCATCACGCTGTTTAAATTGTTTCAGATTTATTTACACTGTATTATCTATATTGAAGTATTTTATAAAAATGTACACATATTTTCTTTTAAAAACAAAGTTCTTCAATAAATATATTATAATCTTAACGTGTATACTAATAATACACAATATTGTAGCAGAGTATGGTTGCATTGGTAGCTCAGTGGTAACGCGCTCGCTTGGGAAACTGAGTGAATCGGGTTTAAATCCCGGGTCTCGCACCTCTGATATTATCAGGTGCGAATTATTTCTAACATGATTACCACTTGCCTTACGGTGAAGGAAAGCATTGTGAGGAAACCTGCATGTCTGAGAGAGCCTGGCAAGTTTTCTAAAGACATGTGAAGTCCGCCAACCCGCACTTGGCCAGCGTGGTGGACTATGGCCTGATCCCCCTCATATCAAAGGGAGGCCCGTGCCCAGCAGTGGGACGTTAAAAAGGGCTGAATACATACACACACAATATTTATATTATTAAACTATTTTTAGATACTAAGTTTTAAGATAAAAACTTGTATTTTTTTGAGTAAAAAGCAATGAAGTATACCCACAGATTTAAAAACCTGATTTTACCATATTATACAGATTGAAGACTGATTTAAGTTTCTAATTAAAGATTCATATAAAACTTTATGCAGGTACCATCTATTTTTTTGTTTAGTTTTACTGAAGGATCATACACGGGAAGTTCATCAAAGGACATTGAGTTCAGAACGGGATACAAATCTCGCCATATTATTTTATTATTTTCTTGTTGCAGGCTAACAGATTTAAAAACTCTCACTAAAAAGCACCGACGGCGGCGGCGGCGGCGGTCTACTTCAACTGACTGCACTCAAAGTTCCAGCTCAAGAAGCAAAAAGAAAATGCCAAAAACGCCCCAGATCAGTGAAGAAGGCTTCTTGAAAGCCGAAAGCAGTTCCGATGCTGCTTCTCTTGCTGACAGCGATGTTGGTGAAGGTATTTATGATGCTGTATATACATATAATAGTAATATTATTTTTTATTTCAAATCATTTAAGCAGCGTTAGATGATAAAGCACTCCATATGGGTTGCTCCCAAGGTCTATTCTGCTGCTAGAGAGTACCAGGATCAACCAGCAAGGTACAGCGCCTACCGAAGTGGGACACCCCCCAGTGTCTCTTAACCAGGGCTCGGAAACAGGTTCATTTTGTAAACCGGTTTTGGTCATTGACGCCAAACCGAAAGGCTTTTCGGTTTAAGGTTTCGGTTACGTTATTTAACTGGTTAAATCCAGAAGAACTGTTTTTGACAAATTTAGGTTCCATGAACAAAATTAACCGGTTAAAATTAGTTTTTGCGTGCTTACATTTTGGAGCGTCTTTGCTTATGGTGAATGGCTCAGTCGGAGGATGCATGCGCGTTTATTAATTTTGAATGAATTAACCGGTGTATTTCGGTATCAAAACCGAAATCCAACCTTTCTCTGAGAATAACCGTTAACCATTATTATTTAGGTTTACTAAACCGTTCGTTTTCATTAACCATTTTAGTGAACGTGCGATGAATTAAACGTTATATTACCGAAATAAACCGTTTTTTTAAACCGGTTCCGAGCCCTGCTCTTAACTTTGCGTCCGGCTGAGTTGCCGGACGCTAATGAGTCTGTCCCGCCGGCCGCCAAACTCCCCCACTACAATGTTATTTAAAATGAGTTTTCTTTAGTAACTTTAATATGTTTACAGAAGTAGAGATACCGGCAGTAAGCTTGTCAGGACTCAATGGTGACTCTTTAGATCACCTTGCTAAAGATGATCTTCTAGAAGAGAGTATGTCATCCAGTTCACATGAGAAAAGTTCAGGGGTATGATCGAATTATTATAACTTTATTTTAATAAAGTAAATAAATATTGTAAAATATGCGGTAGTCAGTCGGTGGCGCGATACGAAATACGATACGAAAATAGCAATTTTTAAATTTTTTGTCTGTTTGTTCCGGCTTGTCTCCGAAACGGCTGGACTGATTTTGATGAGACTTTAAGGAGTCCTTTTAATAAGGCTACTTAGGCTACTTTATTTTTATAAAAAGAATTAAAACGTATCTAAGGACGCATCCGAGCGAAGCGACGGTAAGTCGCTAGTATATTATAAAAATTGTCAGTACATTATATATAATGAATTAATGGTGAGTTTACTCTCTTATATTTCACAAACCTTATGAATCTGTAAAACATTAGGTAAAATTTCAAGTGGCCCATGTCACTATGCTATAAGCTTTTCTATAAACAAAAAAACCATGTCAATCTGATGTGCCAATCAATAATGTATGGGAGAAGGAATACTGTAAAAAGGGATAAATTAAGGTTCTTTGAGGGACTCTCCCGTTTTTTTATTATATTTTAAGTTGACTAATATGTTTTAAAGTAATTAAAAATAATCTTAATCAATTCATTATATGCAATGTTTTACATAGATCTTTATTTAATACTTTCGAAATTATAAAATAAAACTATCTTTTCGGTTTGTTTCGCAGATTTATTTTGACAACAAATCTGTAACAAATATATAATGACCTTTGAGACGTCTAAAACCTTAGTCTCTCCCGTGACCATGATTGTTGTAAAGCATTCGAAACGTCGGGAACCAAAATTTAAAATAAATCTAATATAAAAAATACTAAAATACATGCAAAATACCACAGGCAAAAGCTATAATGATATGTTACATTTTAAAAATGTATGTACGTTCTATGCATAAGAATTTCATTTTATTTATTTAAATGCTTTTGTTTCAGGATATAAAAAAAGAAGAAGAATCTGAAGAAGAAAAGTAAGTTATTAACTATTTAACCTTCATTTGATTTATATAATACTGGGAGTTGGAGTTATACTTTATCAGTAATCATTTCTTGTGCTCGTATTCTTCTTTCTTCTTTTTATATTAAAGAAGAATAGGAACAAATTATAGAAGAAGTAAACAATAGTTTAGTACATACTAAATATCAAAGTGTTATATTATTACTAAGTGTTATATTTTTAACAAAGATATCTTGATCCTGTGTTAGTAAAAAAAAAAATCGCAATTTTTTCTATTAATTACACTTGCTTAGAAACATCGATTGATGCATTATTTTTCAAAGTACTAATCAACTCATAAAATTTAATAAAAATTGAAATAATTTAATGCTTAGGATTGCTAATTTAGGATCCGGTTTAAGTAACTACTAGCGACTCACCTGCGCTTCGCTCGGGTTCGTTCCTAGCTTGATTAACCGTACAGACTTTCATCTCCATTTTCATCCCCTTGAGGGATGATTTCCCGGATAAAAAGTATCCTATGTCCTTTCCTGGGTCTCAAACTATCTTCTTACCAAATTTCTTCTAAATCGGTTCAGTTCTCATAGATACAGAGATTACCCCCTACAACGTCACAAACTCATAAATTTTACCTCCTTATAATATTAGTATAGATATAGATTAAGGTATGATAGGACTGGTATATAAAAGCCATAAAAATAAATGTTTAAAAAAAATGATTTTATCTCCTCAGTGTAAAATTAAGACGTCGCAAAGCGAACGCGATATCATCAGACTCAGAGGCGGGTGGGTCTCGCAAGAAGGACAGGGATGTGAGACTTAGCGACTTCGAGGACTCCGATGTGGACTCCGAACCAGCGAAGAAGTCTAAGAGGAAGAAGAAAGGCAGTGAGAGTGATGATTCAGTGGCCTCGTCTGGTGATGGGAGGTAATTAATATTGAAAAACTAACTTAAACACTTTCTTAGATTTACGCGAACATTTGATATTTTAAATAAAATTATCTTTTCGGTTTTTTTCGCGAATTTATATTAATTTTTGATTTCAGAAGAAATCTCAAAAAATAGTTTTATTTTAAACTTTACATTTTCTAAAATTTTATAACAGTTACTTAAAAGTGACGCTTGTGTAATTCATTAAACAATATAATATACATTTTCCCGTTATATTATGTTATTGTGAATTTATAAATAATTTATATATCATGTCATTTTTTTTCTCGAAAGTAAAAAGAAACGGCGTCGAATAAAAAATATAGACGACAGTGAAGAAGCATCTGGTTCCGAGTCAGAAACAGAAGGCAGAAATAAACATGGCAGGAAGAACATTAGAAAGGTATTCATTCAATCATTTATATACCTTTATAACAATAATAAGAAAATCTGTAGCAATAATATTATTTTCTATCTAAGTATGTATTGTACAGGATTGACGACAATTTTGGCTCAGTTTGTAAAGACTCTATTTGCTGTGCCAGTGGTCGCGGGTTCGAGTCCCGCTGGGGGTATTCATTTGTGTGATGAGCACGAATGTTTGTACTCCAGTCATGGATGTTTATATTTATAATATGTATGGAACATGTATTTAAAGTTATATATGAATATTGTATCAACTATCGAGTATTCATAATGTGATGTGTGTTAATTAATGTCACATCATATTTTTTATTTCTTGTAGATAGAAATAAATGTGTCTACTGTCCACTGATTCTTGCTAACAAACTCATATTAAATTATTTTACCTAATAACTATTTCTCCTTTCTTTTATAAAATTTAAGATAGAATTGGAATTTTTATTTTTTGATATAAAATATTTATTTTATCTGATAGGTTATGGGTAAGAATCAACTCGAAGAAGCAACCAAGAAAGCAGCCCGTGAAGAAAAAGAGAGAATCGCTCGAATCGCTGAAAGACAGAAATTGGTATGTATTTATATATTACAACTAAATTGTAATGAATAATAAATATATTAAAGGCTATTTTTTTAAATATTACGTTTTTATTTATTAAAATGATTTCCAGTACAACAATCTGCAATTTGACGAATCCGGTAAACCAGACGAAGTGGTTTTGGACAAAGTAGTGCTTGACTTCGATCCGGAGACAAAGGAACCATTGATAGAGGTTGATAAGGGATTGGTTAAGAAATTGAAACCTCATCAGGTATTTACTCATACAATGAAAATGTTAGTTAAAATGAGAAATAGTGTGTGTGTATGAAATAAAATATAAAAATAACTTTTTTCAGGCTAACGGTATAAAATTCATGTGGGATGCGTGCTTTGAGAGTGTGAAGCGAATCAAAAAGGACAAGGGCTCAGGTTGCATATTGGCGCATTGTATGGGTCTCGGGAAGACTCTACAGGCTAGTATCAAAATCTTATTTATAAAAATTGCACATCGTAATTTGGCTCGTGTTTATATAAATTCATTATAATTATAAAAATTAAATTGTATGTAATTTAAGGGACTGTCAATATAGACAATCTAGTATGAAGAAATATATTTTTAATAATTGTATTTTAAAGATCTTGTGTGACTTTAATCTGATTACACCATCAATGTTAAAAATAATAATTTTGATTAACGTCCAATGTCCTTGGAACATTTTGCACTACATCATCCAATCGAGCCCGTCCGCTTTGGTGCGTGGCGCGTGACTTCAATGTGACGCGTGCGAGATATGTCAATGACGAGTACGTGACATGTATCCTTCATTGACTTTTTTTGACCGTTTCATTAAAAATGAAAAGATGTTCCCATTTATAAGTCGAATCGTGATTTAATAAAATCATCAAAACGGCGCTTGTGTTAAATCGTTTCTATTTTTATTTAAATTATTCGAGATTTTTTTATATACGTGAGCGTGTGAATACAGGCACACCTGAGTTTATGAATAGCTGAAAAATAAAATAATTCTATTAAATCGCTATTCGGAAAAAAATGATTCTTCCACGTGTGCTGAGCCGTCAGAGACGCGTATGACGTGTGACGCTCGCTTGACATGACGCGTGGCGTGACGTGTGACGCGCGCGTGACATGACGCCTGACTTGGAATGTGCCGCAGGTGGTGTCGCTGACGCACACGCTGCTGACGCACAGCGCGCTGACGCGCGTGCACCGCGTGCTGGTGGTGTGCCCGCTGTCCACGGTGCTCAACTGGGTCAACGAGTTCCGTATATGGCTGAAGCACGCGCACGCGGACTTTGATGTGGACGTGTACGAGCTCTCTAGGTGAGATACAAAATAATTATTATATATGCATGTATAGTATTTTATTTCCAACAATAAAGTCTTAACTCATTTTGTAGGTTTTTGTTAATTTTGAATTTATTGTATGAAGGTAAAAGTGCCAGTGAGATATGTAAGTGAAGCGAAGAATGGATCAAGGATAACAATTATAATGTATTCTACCAGGTGTAACATAAAATGTAAACATAACAAAGAAAGTTTTTTGATTTTTATATGTCTCGTTTGTTAAAGGATCGTTAAATTATTTTTTTGAAAAGTGCAATTATAAAAGTACGAAATGGATGTAAGTTTTGTGTTGAGATCTTCATAAAATGACTGTTGTTTATTCTTGATGCTTTGTTAAAGTTTATTGTTATAGTTTTTTTCTCTTCTCTCTTGTTTTCAACAAGCATGTGCATAAGAACATATTCTTAAATTCTTAACAAAAATTTCAACATAACTATGTTCTTTGTTCATAATTGGTCTCAAAACAATCAAATAAAGTATAGTTTAACACAAACACATATTCCAGGCACAAGCAGAACTCCGAGCGCGCGTGGCAACTCCAGCAGTGGTTTAGTGGGGGTGGCGTGTGCGTGCTCGGCTACGAGATGTTCCGCAACCTGTCTGCAGATAACAATAAGAAGTTCAAGAAGAAGATGCTTAAGAGCTTCCAGGAGAGTCTGGTTGATCCAGGTGAGAATGGCTATCTTGGTTTGTGGGATGTATAATTTGGTAACCCATTGGTGACATGCTCGATTTGAAATGAATGTGAAGCAGGTTCAAATTCCGGGCCTCTTAAGATCACTTGCAATTCGACAAAGAAAGAGTGAGTAATATTAGCTCTTAATATATGTGTGATGTCAGTCAAATTACATTAGATAACTCCATGGTGTAACCCTCATGTTGGTGGGAACCGAAGTGCCCAGCTTTGGGACGTAAAATGGCTCAGTTACTACAAATATTTGTATGCTTTACATATGTTTTATTTGTATTCTACATAGAAATTATCGTAATTATCGAGTGTCGGTTATTCTTATGTTAATTTTATGTAAAACATTGTGAAAATTTTCAAAATAAATTGTCCATTATAATTAACTTTTAGGGTTTCACATCTAGGATAGGAATGCCATACGAATAAAGGATGACTTATAGGATCACTGCGTTGTCCGTACGTCTGTCTGTCTGTTTAATTAAAATCCAGTGAAATGTGACACACTCATAATATCAATTGCATTGTAATATAATTTATTCCACTCAGGTCCAGATTTAGTGGTATGCGACGAAGGTCATTTGCTGAAGAACGAAAAGACCAGTCTCTCGCAAGCCATGAATCGCGTGAAGACGCTGCGCCGCATCGTACTTACTGGAACACCTTTGCAGAATAATCTCAAAGAATGTAAGCTTACATGTTAATTATTGTTAAGGATTATTATTTATTTGATATATTATTTACATTTTATATGTTTTATATTATCCATTTTTTTGCTTAACATGGTGTCTAAAATTGAAGATCGAGTGAAGTTTGTAGGGTAATTAATATATAAGGTTTTAAATATTTACTCAATTTAATCTATATGAAATTTTTGTAGTCCATTTTTAACTCTTAATTTTTTTTAATGTAACATTGAATTATGAGAGAGTAGACATTTTCTTTTACATACATTAATTACTCACCTGTAATTTTAATATCGATTCTAACCACAAAATCACAATATCGATTTCAGCTCGGAGTATTTTGATTCATTTCGATGAGCCCCATATTAAAGTTGTTTTGCATAAAAAGTTAGCCAAAAGCTAATAACTCTATACTTATTTATATACCAACAGATTACTGCATGGTACAGTTCGTAAAGCCGAACCTCCTCGGCAAATACAACGAGTACCTGAATCGTTTCGTGAACCCCATCACCAACGGACAGTATACAGATTCAACGGAACACGACATTAGAGTTATGAAGAGACGCTCCCATGTGCTGCATAAAATGCTTGATGGGGCTGTGCAGGTCAGATTATATGTTTTTTAAATATCAGCTTTTTAGATACTAGAGATTCACCTTCACTTCGCTGGGGTGGGACTCCGTGTTTTTGTCATACATTTTATTGCTTTATTTCAAACTAGCGACTCACCCTCGTTTCGCTCAGGTTCGTTCCTAGCTTGCTTCCCATACAAACTTTTGTCCCTATTTTTACGGCCTTAAGGAATGATTTCCAGGATAACAACTATTCTATGTCCTTCCCAGGGTCTCAAACTATCTTCTTACCAAATTTCATCTAAATCGGTTCAGTAGTTTCGGAGCCTATTGGGTACAAACAAACAAAAAAATCTTTCCTCTTTATAATATTACTAAAGAAACTTAGGCAGTGCACGTCAATAAAGCAAATACACATTTTTACCGATTTCAATTAAAGTTACTACGAAACTAGCCATAGTACTCTGGTAATGTAGCTTCATAACAGTGAAAAAATATCAAAAAAAAGATATTTTTTCACTGTTATTTATATATAGTTATTGTGTTAACATACAAACTTATAAACTGTACCTCTTTATAATATTAGAGTAGGTAGGTAATACTTTATGTCCAATATTTTGATATACCTATATGAAGTTTAAAGTATATTAAAATATTTTACAGAGGAGAGACTATGGGGTGCTGGCGCCTTTCTTGCCTCCGAAGCACGAGTACGTCCTCTTCATAACCCTCACTGAAGTGCAGATCAAACTTTACCAACACTATCTGGATAATTACTCTAGAAGGTAACTAAAACAATTTTGTACTTTACAATTTTTGTAGAGTTGTTTTCAGCCATACAAGTTTCCTCATGATGCTTTCCTTCACTGTAAGACAAGTGGTAATCATGTTGAAACGATTCGCACGTGAGGATATCAGAGCTGCGAGACACGGGATTAGAACTCGATTCACTCGGTTTCGCAAGTGAGCGCGCTACTACTGGATTATCACACTTCAGGCTTTTTTTGTAGAGTAATAATAAATAATTGTAATGTTATTTATATTGCAAAATACTACAAACTATTTATTTTTCCTGATTAATAGTATTGTTTTCATTATAAATAGTTTATAATCTAATAGGAATAAAAGAAGTGCTATAATAAAAATATATTATTTTATTATAAATATTTTACAGACCATTAGCGGGGAAATCTTCAGGGTTTCTATTCCCAGACTTCCAGTCATTGCAAAGAATATGGACGCATCCGCTTGTATTGAAATACAACTCTGAAAGATATGAAATTATGCAACAGAAGAAAGTAAGATTTTATCTTATATATAATATTGGCCTATTTGAGTATTAAAAATTTTTATGTTATAGATTTTTAAATTTTATAATATACTTTGATGTATTAATTTAGTATTTCGATTTGTTTAGCGTGAGAGAGAGGAAGAAGATTCCGAGGGCTCTCTGGCTGACTTCATCGACGATAACTCTACCCCTGATGTAAGTATAAAAACTAATACAACAGGGTTCGAAACGATAGTTATCATTGATAATTATCATGATAAATATGGGTTGATAATTAATCTTTGATAAATATAATTAAAAATATTTAATTATAACTCTTCAAATTGTCGATGAGCAAACTGAACTCTCAATCACCTCAAAAAACTCGATCAGCAAATTGAGTTTATGCAGTTGAGGATATTCCACTCATTAAGGTGCCCACTACACCTCTCATACGATGACCGTGCTATGAACGTATCAGGCACGGAAACGAGCATGACAAGAACTACTTGTGCCCACTAGACCGTATCAACAGTGTACATAATGGTTTTAGTGCTGCATATGCTTACCATTGCGACGCCCGCGCGCACCGGGCCCGCGACGCTCCGTGCACGGCACGCGACGGCGCACGTCGGTGACGGAACGGTCTAGTGGGCAGAGTCTCATACTTTTCAATACAAAGATATTTTTTTTGCCCCACACGGTCTTAGCACGGTTATGGTTATGAGACGGTGTAGTAGGTAGACCTTTAATTTAATTAAATAGTGCCTATGTAGTTGGTTAAATTTATTCTGTTTTTATTTCCAAGTCTATATGTCAAAATTATGACAAAAAAATAATAATAAAAGATTACCTTGATTGTTAAAAGTGTATAATTTATTCTTACGTAAATTATGATAGGCAAGTAGTCAAATATCAATACCTATCCAAGGATTGCTAAGTTTATATCTCCTCGATATAATTATCGGTTACGGATCGGGATTTATTTTGATTTTTGGTTCCTAAAGTTACGAATGCTTTACAATAATCATGGCCGTCGCCAGAGAGATATCATAAATCGAAGAAAGTATTATTGTGCATATTTTATATTTTACAATTAAATAGAAATGCACTTAACTACGATTTAGTTAACCCATTTACCTTATAATGATAAGACAGAAAGACAAACATTCTAAAAACGGTATATCTATATATGGGAATACACTATATTTTCGTATGTGATAGCTATATTGTGCAATGTACCTTGCAGGAATCTTCAACAGAGGAGTCGTCAGATAGTTTATCGGATATGAGTGATGACAGTCGAAAGAAGAGCAAGAAAAAGAAATCCGCTAAAAAAAGCAAAGCAAAAGAATCTAAAGTGGCACCGAGAAGAGGAACGAGAGCTAATCCAAGTACCTTTATGATTTTTTTTAATTTATAAGTTTTATATCCTACGCATTTATTCTTTGTTTTTGTGACCATGACTTCATTTAAAATCCAAAATCCAATTTCACTCTAATAAGTTAAATTCAGATCAAATCTAGTACTTCAGGAAAAGTTTTTTTTTTCACCATGTAACACTTTACATTCGTTTATTTATTTTGTATTACGTATACATAGAAATATAATTAAATTATTACACAGCATAATTCAACCAAGTTTCCACTTATGTTTGACCAAAACTGTTTATTACAACTGAAAACATATCCAAAACAGGATATTATCGGTTATTGTTTCAACTTTTGATCTAAATTAGATATTATTTTATTTTTCTATTCATTTTTGCTAGTTCAATTAAGTGTTTGTATTTAACTAAGTATGTTGTATCAGCTTTAAAATACTTTGTTTTATTTGACCGAAACTGAAATCGAAAATCCAAAGAAGTCCGAAACTTGTCGAAACCGAAAGCACGGTGACTAATGATTGTTACAAACAAACAGAAAAAATGAAAATATTTATTTTATATTTATGTACATTTTTTTAAATCACAGTAAGTACATAAAGATGGAAAAAAGCATAGCATCTAAAAGAATGTGCAATATGGCGAATTTATCGCTTAAAGGCTAGTTTCTTCCAATTCAAACTTTCATCCCTATTCTCACCCCCTTAGAGGATGATTTCTGGGATAAAAATTATCATATATCTCAAACTATCTTCTTATCTAATTTGATCTAAATCGGTTCAGTTATCATAGATCCAGAGATTACCCCCCCTACAACGTCACAAACTCACAAACTTTACCTCTTTATAATATTAGTATAGATGTAATAATTCCAGTTGAAGTGGAGGACGACGATGACGTGGTGCTGGACGAGGGGGGGAAGGCTGAGAACCCGACGGAGTGGTGGATGCCGCTCGTGCCCGAGGAGGAGCTGGACGACCTGCGCCACTCACACAAGCTCGTACTGCTGTTCGACATACTGAGGCAGTGCGAGACCATCGGTGATAAGTTGTCAGTATATATTAATTACTTTATAACTGATTTATACTAATATTATAAAGAGGCAGAGTTACCTACTGGGTCCATTAGTGTTTTCAAACCTTGCAGAGACCCACTCGAACATACACAAAAATATCATTAAAATCGTCCCTGCCGTTTAGGACATTATCAGACACACCGACGGTAGCGTCACCTACCGGGTCCAATTGTGTTTTCAAATTATTCAAGAGCCCATTGAAATATACACACAAAATTTCATCCAAATCGGTCCAGTCCTTTAGTAGGTTAACAAACACACGTACAGAAGAATATTATATATATTAAGATTATAAAGAGGCAGAGTTTGTTTGTTTGATTGAACGCCCTAATCTTATTTGAAAAATTCTTTTTGCATTAGATAGCCCGTTTATTGAGGCTATTATATATCATCATACTACTGCCTAAGTAATCATAAATCTTAACAAATCAGGCAGACTTCCATACATTATTACTAATAGCATTAAGCCACAGTTTTTGTAATTTTAGCGATAGCGAAGCCGCGGGTTCTGCTAGTAATATATATGTGGGATCGTCGAATTGATAAGAGCGGGATTTAAATTAAAATCGTTTATTAACTTTTACCAACAACACATCTTACAGTCAATTCTCTTGTTGATGGCTTCAAAGCGTGCCAGTTGAGCACAGATTACTTCACCAATGTCATTAGAATGGAGCAAACATGAAAGAGATTGATCGGTAAAATAAGATTATTGACAACACATCTTTATATCTTGTGACAACCAAATCTATACATATAATAAAATTTTAACTAAGCCGAATCTGTACATTAAATATTTTTTGGAAAATCTTATTGAAATAAACATTATAGAAACAGAGGCCAAATCTGTAGTTTTTAGAATTTTTGTCTTTTTGTCTGTCTATCTGTTACCGCATCACAGAAAAACCACTGGGGGGATTTTGATGAAATTTGTTATGGTGACGGCTGGTTATCCGGGTCAACATATAGGATACTTTTTGCCGCGGGAAAATATCTCATTTCTGAGAAAAAATACAAAAACTGCATTGTAAGAGTATACTAATATGTAAAACCCAAGAATTTGGTTTTTCGTCACCTGAACGCAGGCGGAGCCGCAGGCAATGCTAGTCTTGATATAATATTCTTTATTTCAAAAAATTTAAAAGAGATTCACTATTACATATAAATTAAGTTTTTGTAAATAATCTTTCCACATACATGTACATATATAAGTGAAATATATAACTATATGTTATTTATTTTTTGTAATTAATTTGTAATTATTAAAGCAAAATATTTTTTCAGATTGGTGTTCTCACAGTCCTTATACTCGTTAGATCTAATAGAGCACTTCCTAGGTAAAGTTGATGAGGCGACGCAAGAAGGGCGTGTCGATGAAAAATTAAATTCACATGTTGGTAAGTCATATTACATGTTAAAATTATTGCAATAACCAAAATCGTAAATAAAAAAACTAACGTGTGTGTGTACTTATGTACTAACGTAAGAAGTTATACTTCTTTGGCGTAACAGAACAAAAATAGCTAAAGATTTCATCCCGTTTCCACAACTTTCTGTTAAAATGAATGCAGATAACTTCATCATGTATGTCGCTTTTTGGCTGTCGGTGTGCACGCGCATCGTAAAAATTTTACCCTCATATATTTTTCCAAACGTGCCAAAAGAAGTATAACTTCAAAAATCAATAAACCAATAACTAGCAAATTAATAATATTAACACATGTTTTTACAAAAAAAATTTATATTTATATTGTGTTGTTTAACTTGTTTATTAGGTTCGTGGTCTCCGGGAATAGATTACTTCAGGCTAGACGGCTCCACGTCGTGCGAGAATCGCTCCATCTGGTGCAAAAATTTTAATAAAGAAGACAATCCTCGAGCTAGGTAAAGTAAAAAACCAAAATTTATTTTGTCGTCTTTTAATCTAACTATGGTAAAGTTTGAAAGAGTAAGCGCCGCCTACTAAACCCCTCCCACTCCACCGGGGACGCGCTTTCTTTTACTAATGCCGTACTATTTACCGTTTAGAAGGTGCAATAAAAAATTTTTTATTTTTGTATGAAAATAAAAATTTAAGACTTTTTTTTTCTTACCGATGTTGTTGTTATGATGTAAATAGTATATTCCCAAAAGGTTTTTTGTAAATTAAAAATGACCCTATATCGTAATCGTCTGCGCAGACTGTTCCTGATATCAACGCGTGCAGGCGGGCTCGGCATCAACCTGGTGGCCGCCAACCGCGTCGTCATCTTCGACGTGTCCTGGAACCCCTCGCACGACGTGCAGAGCATATTCAGAGTGTACCGCTTCGGTCAGAAGAAACCCTGCTATGTTTATAGGTTTTTGGCTATGGTTAGTGTTTTATTATTTATTTATATACCTATATACGTTTTTGTTATTATATGTGAGTTAAGTGAAGAAGTTTATGTACATTCTATAATACAACTATGATTTTCATTATAGTGATAACATATTGAGCTATGCGCACACTCACTTTACTCTTTTTATCATCAAAGTAAAATGGAAAGATATTTACACTCTTGCGGCATGAGATCGGGTGGACAGTTGGATGTTGGACCTGATATATAGTGTTATATATATACATTTTTTGTTTTAAAACCTTTAAATTAATAGCAATAACCTGTATGATATTCATGATATATTTGTAAATTTTGCCAATAGACAAATTAAGTTCATGTAAAAAAATTGTAATCATTGATCATTTGATATTCTATGCAACCACATTATAACTAAGGAACAACCAATGCACCCACAGGGCACAATGGAAGAGAAGATCTACGAGCGTCAAGTGACAAAGCAAGCGATATCGAAGCGTGTGATAGACGAGCAGCAGATCGACCGCCACTACGCGGAAAACGATCTCGCCGAGCTGTACAAGTTCGAGCCCCACCCGCCGTCGCCGCGCGAGCTGCCGCCGCTGCCCAAGGATCGATTGTTCGCCGAGATGCTGAAGGAGCACGAGGCACAGGTATTCATCTATACAGATAAATTAAATTGAAGTGTCTGTTTGTAATGTCAAAATAACAGCGTTTTACTAAATGCGTATGAAATTATATACGGTACTTATAAGAAAAACACATTTTTTTAAATTGTTGTCTGTCAGTCTGTTTCTTCCCCATAATCTCTGAAACGGCTGGACTAATTTCGACGGGACTTTTACTGGAAGCTGATGTTATAGGGAGTAACGTAGGCTACTTTTATTTTAATTAATATTAAAAATTCTCAATAAAATTATAACGTACCTAGGGACGAAACCAAGCGAAGCGAGCGTGAGTCGCTAATATAGGATAATTTTTGTAGACAATTGCATGATCTACAATTTTTGTCTGAGCTATTTTTATCATAAAACAAAACTTTTCGCAAAATGTGTATTTTGACCGGACTAATAAGTAAAAACAATACATATATTGAAAAGATTGAAACAATTTTTTTGTGTAATTAAAGTAAAAGGTTATAACAGTTTTTATAACAATAACCAATATTATCAAAAAAATGTTTCCCGTCAGATCTACAAATACCACGAGCATGACTCTCTGCTGGAGAACAAAGAAGAGGAGACGCTGACAGAGGAAGAACGCAAAGCGGCGTGGGAGGACTTCGAGAACGAAAAGACTCGCCCGCCGCCCGCGCCCTTCTCCGCCTACATGCACAATGGCATGAGTACGTGCACATTATTGTTTAACTGACCTCAGTTCCCAAAGTGGTCCACAAGGACTAACGATGGGGGATTATTACTAAAACTAATCGAATTAGTCGATTGTTCAGTATAATCTAGAAATAAGGGGCCCGAATTGAGTACTTCTTTTTTTTTAAAGTTGGCCAATAATAATTAATCGTACTACTATTATAATTCCGAAAATTTGCGTGTCTGTCTGTTTTTGTTACTCTTTCACTCTCAAACGGCTGGACAGATTTAGTTGAACTTTAGCGAATTCACATTCAAAATATTTTATTCAGTATTAAATTATTACAATTTTTTACTGAATGTCACGAGTCTACTACCAGTTCGGAAAGAAAAAGCCTCAGAAGAAGAACCTGAGAAGAACTGGCGAAAGAAACTCAGCGGGACTAATATTATTTCATTACCTTTTATTATAAAGTTAAATTATAAAATTACAATATTTCTATAAAATATTGTAAAACCATAAGCATAGATTTTTTACTTTGACGACATGTATGGCTTAGTTTGTAGTGACACTGCTTGCTGTGCCAGCGGTCGCGGGTTATAGTCCCGCTGGGGGCATTCATTTGAGCGATAAGCACGAATGTTTGTACTCCAGTAATCGGTGTTTATATTTTATAATATGTATGTATTTAAAGTTATATATGTGTAGTGTATCAACTATCTGGTATCCATAACACAAGCCTCGTAGCTTACAATGGAACTAGATGTCGCTGTAAATGTCCCAACATATTTATATTTATTAGTTAAAAAAAGTATGGTTGATTTTCAACCGCTAGTTATATTTATTTAGTTTAAATAAATATGTCTCGGTCACCAGTGCCCGGGCTGCTGCAGCAACAGTCGCAGCTGGCGTACGCGACGCTCGCTGCGCTGCTGCAGAAGAAGATGCCCAACGCCAGCGACGCGCAGATACGCGAAGCGCTCTACCACACCAACCCCGCGGTGAGACATGTTACTTTTACTTGGACTTGTCCAATCAAGTACTCGCTTTAAACACACTTTTTCAAAGCGCTTTTGAATCGTCCATTTAGCTTTATAATAAATTTAAACGTCAGCATGTCTGGAGTCTACCACAGACTCGGAAGATAGGTCTGCTAAGAATAGACGGCAAGAAACTCGAGAGTTGCAGTTAAAATAATTTTAGTTCACAATATTCCTATACAATAATTATGTACTTATTCTATGTGAGATATTTACGCAATCTCAACTAATAGCCACCCACAAAGCATATTTACATGTGCAGAATAATCCGCGACGTATGGAATTTTATTATATATGTACAATGTACATCCATACACCTTGTCCCATAAAAGACATTCACTTTTGAAAAGGCAAGTTAGGCGTTTTTCGTTTTGTCCTTATTTCTAGTATTTCTTATCACTGTTTCTTATGTAACAATGGATGATTTGCTGGACAGATATGATGTTACTGTTATTGACACATCATCATCCCTTCTTCCATTTCTCTCTATCAGACGTCATCTCAGCACACACATATATAATATAGATATATATAGGGATATTCACATAGTACATCTATACCTTCCTTGGTCTACTTTTACTTTTATATTCATAATATGTATGTATTTAAAGTTATAGTGTATCAACTATCCATAAGCCTCGTAGCTTGCCATGGAACTAGTGGTGCTGTGTGTTAATGTCCCAACACACCTATTTATTATTATTTTTATTATACATGCCTTCATATAAACAATACACTCTTTTTATGGTTATTGTGCTTTACTTTGTACTTTATAATGTATAGTATTTGAAAAAAAAAAAACATTAGGATAAGTCTTTATTGGAATAGTGTGAAGGTAGGGATTATGCAAGATTATATCTTTGAGAATTTGTATTTTTATCTGTCTTTATAAAAACCACGCAAATTGCTCTGAGCCAGTCAACATTATTACCAATGTAAGCAGTTTACATATATATGTAAATAGTGTCATAATTTAATTGTTAGGATGCATCTCATATGAAAGATCTGTAATTATAAAATTACACATACAAAAATTGTAGTTTGGGTACAGGACATATTAAAAACTATTTACTAAAGTTTGAAATTATTCTACTTAAAATTTCTTAACTCATGTAATTTTAATTCTATGTTTTATTTTGAATTTTTTAAACAATAATTCTGTTTTTTAATATATTTATTTATAAACAGATAATTTAAGTTTCATATATAAAAACAATAATGAAACTTATCAGTATACGTTTATCTGTTTAGATGTTCGGTGGATACGACTACGGCGTAAGTTGATATAGATACTACTTAGAACTTTTATGTTTTTCGTTACTGTACGCCATGTCCATATATTTTCTTTAGAGCATGTTATTACTTCTTTTATATTCTATATGCATTATTATTTCAGTTTTTTTTAATTGATATTATGTTTATATACAAGTTAAATAATGTTTTTTTTTTTTCACAGTTTTTGCAGAAAATGGGTGAATTGTACAAGTATGCGCAGCCCGGGATGATGAACCCTGGAATGTTGAATCCTGTCATGAATCCAGGTAATATTATTGGTTTTAAATTCAACTTATATATTTCGCACAAATGCCTAATAAATATTTTATTATTTGAGTATTATTAGATATTTGTTATTAAATAACTGTACTAAACAATAAAAATATTTTTGGCATAGCTCCTAAGATTAATTCCATTTTTTAATTTTTGTGAGACTGCTTGAGGTACAAACTTATTTGCTAAAAAATATGTACCCGCCAATTGATAATTTTTCATGCTAGTTACTTTTGGTTTTGGAGCAAAATTATATAATAAAGAATAATAATTATTATGTAATATATAAATATTAGGTTAATAATGATATTCAATTATTTTGTTTCAATGATTGTTTGCATCCCGCAGTGGGCGGCATGTCGCTGGGCGGCAGTAGCGGGCTGCAGTACGAGCCGCCGTGGCAGCGCCAGCAGCAGGAGCAGATGCGCATGCAGCAGATGATACAGCACCAGAATGTGAGTGCTGTACACTTAATACTTTCTTCAATTGAATTCTCTTGTTATTTATTTATTATTTTAAAATGTGTTTACTTATGTATGCACGTAAGAAGTTATATTTCTTTGGCGTAACAAAAATAGCTAAATATTTCATCCCGTATGTCACAACTCTCTGTTTATAAAAGGAATACAGCTAACTTCATCATGCCGCTTTTTGGCTGTCGGTGTGTGCGCGCATCGTAAAATTTTACTTTCACATTTTTTTCCAAACGTGTCACAAGAAGTATAACTTCAAAAATAATATGGATTTATTATTTATCTGTATGAGGATGAAGTTAATTTTTAGCTTGTGCTATGATTTTTTTTAGTGGTTGAAGTAATTTATTAAAAAAAATTAAAAGCAGTTTGCAATAGACCAACATATAATGTTAAAGATCTCTCAACGGTTACCATGGCAACAAACGTACGTACATTTTTTTCGTTACGCATTCACCAGCTTACCCCCCAAGTCAAGCGTGTGTAGTCATTTTTGTATTGCGTAATTATATCTTTCTATTGTTGTAGGGGTACTCCTGTAGACCGATCATTCATTTATAGTTTTAATTCCACATTAAACCTACTAAATTCCAAAATTACTGCTCATTCTCATTAGTGTCTTCTCCACAAAACGTGACTCCGGCAGAATGGATTGCGTCTGTTAAAGTAACTCTAAACCACTCAGGAAAAAAAGTAGACGAACACTAACTGTTCCAATGCCAAAAAGCATACTGAGCGCAAACAAATTCAGAACTGCATCAATCGCACTTCAATTGCAATTGACAATACCGTAGCACATTGACAATAATTGGTCCGCTTAAGGAAGTTTAACTTCATTATACACGAATAATATAATAATGTTAGCAAATGGGCGCGAAGCTGTACGCGGGCGGGCTGGGCAGCCGCGACCCGGTGGCGATGGCGCTGCAGCAGCAGCGCGCGCGCGAGCTCATGCTGGGCGAGCGCGGGCGGCCGCGCGGCCGGCCCTCGCGCCAGGACCCGCCGCTGCCCGCCAACGACATCGTCAACTTGGACTCGGATTAGTGGCTCGGTTACGTATGTACATATTAAGGATATATCTACCATCGATCAAATAAGTACTATATACACAATCACCAGTTCCGGATTTAACCTTAGCGCTGCCCCTGGGCATAGTAAAAAATGCCGCCCTATTATCGATTTTTTTTAATTAATAATTTTTTGGAACATAAAAAAAACCTTTTCGATAACACGAAGATTTTTTTTCTCACACCCTGAATTTTGCCGCCCCTAAAAATGTGCCGCCCTGTGAATTAGCCCCGAGTGCCCCTACTGAAAATCCAGCGCTTACAATCAGCGACAAAAAATGTCCGAATTAACGCTTATTTGAACATTTATACGCGTTTTTTTTGTGAAAACCAATTTAAGCATTGCATTTAAGGTTCAATTTATTTTGTTGTATATTTATTTCAACTGGAATAATTACCTAAACACAAGTGGTAACAGTTTCAAGAGAACTTTTGAATGGGATTGTGTATCTAGTAATTTTTTGATTGATGATATCTACCTACTAATGTTATAAAAGCAACAAATTCTTGTGTGGATGTATTAGTCATCCACCGAAAAACGACTGAACGGATTTTGGTGAAACTTTAGAGTAATACTTCCGTTCGGGTGCGTACTAGGTACGCCGGTTTTGTTCACATTTTTTAAGTTTTAATTAATTTGTGTGGAACCCTAATTCTTTTTCTAAAAAAAAGTATATTAAGTTATTCCTATAAATCAGCTTTCTGCCAGTGAAAGTCTCGTCAAAATCGGTCCAACCGTTTCGGAGATTAGGCGGAACATAAAGACAAGTAGACAATAATTTGAAAAATTGTTTTTTTTTTCTCTTACATGTATGGTATTATACACTTTCATACGCATTTACTAAAAAACTGTTATTTTGACATTACAAACAGACACTTATATTTTATTTATTTGTATAGATAACTAACTCCAACATTAAAGTGTATATAGGCTATAGTTTATAAAGATATAATATATACTAATATATAATAATATAATATATAATATTATATTACTATACAAATATAGTACTATGCCAGTGGAGACGCGGTTCAACGCTAGTTATGTCCATACATTGTTTGTATGTGGGTCTGAAATTTAAATTAAATTTTCATTTTCAGTATTGCTTTACCGCTACATCAATTAATATTATTTTTGTTTCAGATTTCCGATGAATAATAAATATATGTGTACAGTGAATGTTATAAGGTGCTACGTATCTGAGCGAGGTGGGCTTGGGCAGTGCGACGTCGGGGATCGGCTCCGGCACATCTGGGCTCTGGTTAACCAATCTTAACATATTTACTTGTCGCATTCATGTTTCTGCCTTCTTCCTTGCGTGTTACTGAGTATATTGAATCTCATTTACATAGTCCTCGAATCTATCCTCTAAGGGCTATCTATATAATATGTCAAAGGACACTAAAGGGCAAACGTAAAATTCTTATTTTACTTATTTAACAATTACAACGACATAATTTATAGAAACCCTTATTTGAAATGAATAAACTAAAGCCGCGGGCGGTCGATAACACTATCACATGTCTGGTTCTGGAAACGTACGTACAAATATTTTATTTCGTATTGTTGTGGTTGCAAGCACATATCAAAAAGTCTCTTTCTCTCAGCCTGTACGAGACAATTTTATCTGCACAACATAATATTAATATATGACTAAAACAATTAGTTCTGTGAATAAAAATATTGTTGCACTGTAACCAGTGCACTTCGATTTTAGAACAAATAAGGCGATATAACTAATTTAGATGAGCATTAGGCAATTATATACATAATATTATGTAGATGACATAAGTACCCACAAAAGTAATTTCAAAACAATAGATGTAAATATGTTATTGTAAGGATGTCATTCATTTAATTTTTTATTCTAAATGGATATGTACAGCATTCGTGCCTGTGGGTTATATGTTATTTACATAGACTTTACTTAGAAGCACCTCATTGGCATACAAGTGGAATATTGAGGATCCATAGAATACATGTCGTTGGGAGGCTTTAGTGTCGGCTTGACAATTTTAACTATATCTCTCAGTACAGGAAATTAGTATTAAGCTATATAATATATCAGTAGATAGTAACCGTGTGTCGACCATCTTCATGTTGACGAGTAAGAAGAGACCTGTACCACCAACATACCACGATGATGCATGTCGTACACAAACATTAAAATTAGACATTGGCTATGTGCAGTAATAAATTAGCAAAATATGTAAAAATAAGACTATTTATGTAACAAATAATTAAATAAACAATTTTCAATCAAAACATTCTAAGAAAAATGTTTTTTTTTGCCACTTAAAATTAAAGTATCAATATTATTTTGCATAGGAGCCTTTGTCTAGTATTTACAAAATTACAACAGAAGCATTTTTATTTCTAATTATTATATTTTGATTTGAATTTTGATTTTTTTGTATTTCCTTTTATTGACTGTGAATCTAGGATCGAGTTTATGATGGTAATTTAAGCTCTCTTTATTTTGATTATTGATTATTTGAATTGAACGCAAACATCTTATATATATATATTTCTGCTGGGACAGTTAATATATCTGTTATTCTACAAATATCCTGACAACAATGTAATGTCATCATTCCAAAATTATAACAATATTAGTACATTAAATATTCCTTATTAATATTTTGTATTCATTTAGGCATTATTATATAGGTATTGATTTCGCACAATGTTATTGTGCTATATAATATGTAATTTGCTGATACACACTGATCCTAAACAGTTTAATAAGAAATATTTGTTTTTAAATTAAAAATTAAACAATAATTTCAATAAAGATTCATTTATATTGTAAATTAATTACTTAATCGCCAATTTGCTCTTTGATTGCTTTCTTTTCACCGGCTGAGAATATATGGAATTTTAAAAAACCTTAGCTTGGCTAGCCTGTGGTAGCCAAGTGTCCTATACATATGCTTCTAGGATCTTTTTCTAGGATCAGTATACTTAATATTTTATGACTTTAATTTGTAAACCATATAAATTTTATAAATGATTGTTGTACTCTGCTCTTTATTCTTTTCTGATGTAAACAAGTACTTTATTTATTAGCCTGGGTCTCGGGCGTTTTAGTTGTGATATTGCCTAATCTTAAATTTTTGTATACGTTTATTTTTAATAAGTCACCATCGTGACATTAATGTTAGAATCAGCAATTTATTATAATGATTATATTTTAGATTGATAAATACCAGTATAACAGAATTGTAGTGTTTAATTATTAAGTGATGTTATAAGATTTTTTAAGGAACATTTTGAATGTTGTTTTTTTACATATTTCTTAAATTTTATGCTTACTCTATGTTAATTATAGTTTTATGCAAAGTATAATAAATGAACAGTATTTCATCTAGAATATAAGATTATTTTCTATCTGATATATTAAACTGGACTATTTTGTTTGTACAAGAAAAGCAAGCAATGCTATTTAGATATTGTGAGATTTCTACATCTATGTGAGGACTGGTATATGATATTGTAATGATTTTCTTATTTATGTAATATATAATTGTAACTGTAGAAAACTTCCTATTATTTTGTAGTACAATTGAAGTATAAATAAATGATTTGGAAATGTGTAATTAAAGGTATTTATTTATCATTTACATTTTTTTCTACATTTATCATGACTTATATAATTAATTATTATTTAATATAAAATAATAGTAATTTACATTTATCAATCAAATATTGAGATTAGGAATACCTGATTCTGAACCTACAGATACTTCTATATACTTCAGTATCCTCCGAGACACAAATTGTGCATCGTCAGTTTTAGATATGTTTGCATTCAACATTTCTATTCTGTTTTCAGAACAGAATGTTATGATGTCACTTGCATTTACAGCCATCGCATTCACTGGCAAGCCACTTGCATTCACCATAACAACACGACGAATTCTAAGATCCGGATGAACTTGTTCTAGTACCTTTCTTGCCCATTCTATACAAAATATTCTACTCGTATCCATAGCAATAATTATAAAATCTATTGCCACTTTTCCTGTTATTTCTGCTTGTCTCACTATTTCTTCTAAACTGTGAGAACGTAGCACAATCAGTTTCCATCTATAATTGCTTTTGGCGTGAATATGTATTAAGGCTTCTGATAGATTTTCGATGAAGTCGCCGTTAGTTGAAAGCACTGCTATACTTAAACATTTTTTATGGCTGTTGAAGCCGACCCAAGGCACTGTAATAAAATCTTCCTCAATCGATGACATAATAATTATTTTGGAAATTTTTGGCTTCAAAAGTTTATTTAGTACTTTTCGACTTTTAATATTTTACGCGGCAGTTGTATGTTTTGATTTTTTAAATTTTAATCATGATTCATGACAGTTGTCACTTGTCAGATACATCATGTATGAGAAGTAGCTTTACAGATTAAAAAAAACGTTACTCGGCTAATGTACAATCGTAGACAGAATAGAATTATCTGTCTACGTGTACAATAGTCGCATATAAAATAAACTGAATGCACAATTTTTCTTAAAGTTTTTTTTTGAAAAGAACGTACAGTATTATCACGGTAATGTTACATAACATTTAATTTTTTTGTATGTATTGTTGTTAATGCTTATATATTTTTATTTGTATCTGCGTATATTTGATACTTGACGAATTAACGAAACTTCAGAAAAGTTATTAAGTATTAACAAAAGTTTTGAAAATTGAAATTTACTATTTAGTGATATAAATTTTATATTAAAGTATGAACTATTGATTAACTTAAAAGTACATAAAAACTAAAACGGCCATAAGAGGGATATTTTTTAAGTTATCAAACCATTATTTATTTTGATTTTTGGAAATTATTTGTATCATTTTCTATAGCGAAACAAAGAGTGTACACGTGAAATTTGTTTCATTTAATGATACGTTTATCCTATAGGAATTAAACTAAAAAAATATACCTAATAGGTTAATTAATAATGCGACGTCGAGATGAACAGTTTCCAGATAATGGATTCGAGGCTTGGGGTGGATACATGCAGGCGAAAGTTGCAAAATTGGAAGAACAGTTTTCTTCTGAAGCTATTAAAGAGAACAAATTGTCAGATATATTTAATGGAATTAGTATTTTCGTCAACGGCTTTACAACTCCTTCAGCAGATGAATTAAAGGAATTAATGGCTAGACATGGTGGTGTTTATCATACTTATCAAAGAAGAGAAGATTTTATAATAGCTTCTAATTTACCAGATACTAAAGTAAAAAATATGTCCTTAGGAAGAGTAGTTAAGCCTGAATGGATAACAGATAGTATAGCAGCTAAGCACTTATTAGATTATAAAGAATACTTACTCTACAGGCATTCTAAATCTCAAGGAATACTAAAGTTTGATTTGAAAAATAAAGTTGAAGTAAAAGAAGCAGACGAGGAAAAAAGTTCCAGCAACATTCTTTTTAATAAATTTTCTGATGAAACAAAACCCTGTGTTCAAATTGTAAAGAATAATGAGCCCGAGACCCCTAACAATTCATCTACTACAAACATAATAACATGTGATCAAGTTGTTAAAACAGCAAGCAATCCTAACTTTATTACAGAATTTTATAATAATTCTAGATTACATCACATTTCACAACTTGGTGCTTGCTTTAAACAACATGTGAATGATCTTCGAGAAAATAGCAATTTTAAATACCCAGCTAGGGCTGATTTAAAGAACAGAATAATAAAATTGAAAAGTATAAATAAGAGCTTATCTAAATTAAATTTTACTAATGATAAAACTATAATGCACATAGATATGGACTGTTTTTTCGTATCAGTTGGATTGCGTAAGAGGCCCGAACTCAGAGGCAAACCCGTGGCTGTTACACATTCAAAAGGTGGACAAGGTCGGTCAAAAAGGCCAGGTGTGGATAGAGAAGCTGAATTTAACTTGTATAAACAAAAACAAACTAAAAAGGTATGTCAAGCTACTGAAATAATTGAAGATGATGTAAAAATTGAAACAAGAGTGGATAATATAACTGATGAAGATGATAAATTTGGATCTATGAGTGAAATTGCATCTTGTTCATATGAAGCTAGAGCTAAGGGTATCAGTAATGGAATGTTTATGGGGCCAGCTTTACGGCTATGTCCAGATTTAAAAACTATACCATATGATTTTGAAGAATATAAAGAAGTAGCTTACACACTATATAATACTATAGCCCAGTATACATTAGATATAGAGGCTGTTTCTTGTGATGAAATGTATGTTGATTGCTCTGGGATATTGGAAGAGCTTCAAGTAAGTGTTGATGATTTTGCAACTGCCATAAGACAAGAAATTAAAGATAAAACTGGGTGTCCTTGTTCAACAGGATTTGGAGGGAACAGGCTTCAAGCACGATTAGCAACTAAAAAAGCAAAGCCAGATGGACAATTTTTTCTCACATCTGATTTAGTTGATGATTTTATTTTCAGTATTAAGCTAAGGGATCTTCCAGGTGTTGGTAGACAAATAGCTCATAAGTTAGAATCTCTCGGGCACCAAACGTGTGGATCACTTCAGAGTATATCATTATTTAATCTTCAGCAACAATTGGGCAACAAAACTGGTGAACAATTATATAACCAATGTCGTGGCCTTGATCCTAACCCTTTAACATATCATACTATTAGAAAATCAGTATCAGCTGAAGTTAATTATGGAATTCGTTTTCAAAATAATGATGAATGTGAAGAGTTTTTGAAACAACTAGCATCTGAAGTAAATTCTAGGATGCAACAGTTTAAAGTTATAGGAAAGTGTATCACACTGAAATTAATGATAAGAGCAAAAGAGGCTCCAGTGGAAACTGCCAAATTTATGGGTCATGGTTTCTGTGATATTGTCAACAAATCTGCAAATCTACCTACGGCGACTAGTGATGTAAATATTATTACTAAGGAAGTTATTTCTTTATGTAAGAAATTAAATATAGACCCAAAAGAAATGCGAGGAGTTGGAATTCAAATTACAAAGTTAGAACTAACAAATGCAAAGCAAGTTGTTGGAACTATTAATAAGTTTTTAACAACAAAAAATGAAGTAAAATCAGAAAATGTTAAACCACAAAAACATAGTGTTGTCTATGAATCAAAAACATTTCCTACTACACCAAATAAACAAAAACTCAATATGTTACCTGAAAAGAGATCACCAATAATAGGAACTATTAAATCTCCTACAAGAAAAAGAAGAGGTAGACCATCAAAAATCACTAAAAGTCATGCCTCTACTTCACAAAACCTGATAAACAAATTCCTGCAAGGGCAAAGTATATCCAGAGAAATAAGCATTAAAAAGCAGGATGTTTCTGAGGAAAAACTGAAAGATATTAAACCAATTAAGAAAAAAGAAATTAAACAAGATGGTCTGCTTGCATTGCCATGGGATAAAGTTAGAGAATTACTCAGAGCATGGTTTGATAGTGGACAGACACCAAAGCAATGTGATATTAATTTAATTTCACAATATATGAGTGAAATGGTGGTTAACAGACATATAGACAAGTTGTATATTTTACTAAACTTTATGAAAAGGCGAATTAACGAAATGAACAATGAAATCTGGAATGGAGTTGAACACTATATTATAGAAGAAGTACAAAGTGCTATGTTGGCAGTTTATGGGAAAAAACTCTGGATAAGTGAGGAATAAATAATAGGCAGCCAATGCAATCCAAATAGTAATTATTTTTTAATCATAATAAGACTAAAATCTTTAATAGAAGATATTATCCCATGGCCATGTAATATGTTTTTTAATTAGACAAATGTTAATTGTGCGACTCTCAGAATTATTAAAAATAAAAAAATAATACACAATAATATTCCCACTGATTTATTTTTATAATTTGCTTCTATTAAGTTATAAACAGTTGTGTCAAATTAAAAAAATAACATTTGAACATTGCAGACTGCCTAAATTAAAATTATTTGCTATTCAATTAACTATCAAACTATAATACACATATTATGTTTGGCAGATACTTTGTTCTTTTACGGAAAAAAAAATGTTAAATTAAAACGTAATAGCGAAAATCCATGTCCCATTGTATGAAAAAATTAAAAATTTCCACATTAAATTGTGGCCAAATAATCTTATTGTATTTATAATTAAGTTTGCAAAATGGCAGTTAGTATCACTTGTTAATAAGCATTAATGTATTTAATGGCCAATGACTCGTTCATAATAAATTACACGCATTAGATACTCTTTAATACATCAAAATACATACAAGTTATTGAATATTGATATTTGATCTCGGATTTAGTCATCTAAAATTTATTATCACAGATGCTTATTGCAAAAAAATACGTTCCATTTTTAAATCGTGTTGAATTTGTAAAAAAATTAAAACATGCAAAAAATAATCTTATAAAGCTTTAAGCTTAAAAAATAACTTAAAACTAAATATTTTGCAACAACCATTTATTTGTTATACACATATAACAGGTGTTACCGGTACATTTTTCAATACAAAGAAAAATTGCTAAAATACTATCAGGTTAGTAGGTACAAGGTTTTAATATGTCACATTACACTTCGGCCGACGTTAGTGACTAAACAGTAAACAGACTTCATACAACTACCGTCAAATATTATTTTTCTATTATAAATAAAATATAAGTTAGATGATCAGATATATATAATAATTTTGTATTCAGCCCCTTTTTTAGTCCCGCTGGGCACGGGCCTCCCTTCAGTTCGAGGGGGATCAGGCCATAGTCCACCACGCTGGTCAAGTGCGGGCGTACTGAGCATGTCTTTCGAAAACTTGCTAGGTTCTCTTAGACATGCAGGTTTCTTCACGATTTTTTCCTTCGCCGTTAAGACAAGTGGTAATCATGTTAGAAATGATTCGCACATGAAAATATCAGATGTGCGAGAACCGGGATTTGAACCCTCTTCACTCGGTTTCCCAAGCGAGCGTACATATTATATAAGACTAATATTTTGAGTATAGATATGAAGAAATAATATTTAAAAACACTTATATATTTTTATCTGATATGCAAAAGATTTTGAGACAAATTTAGTTTGAGTGTACTATTGGAATTCTTTTTATTAACCAACCAATTGATATTTTTGGCACAATTGAAATTACAAATACATTATTCAATGCAACATAAAACAAATTATTTAAATATAAATCGAAATATAATTTAATAAAAATTTCCTTTAGTCCAAATTTTTATAATAAAAATGACGGTAGTTACACATACAATCTTTAGCCGAGTTTACGCAGTGGATCCCACGGAGATTGAGTGCTTCAGTTTAGAGTCGATGATAATTTCGTCTCCGGAGCGTATATTGTATGAGTAGAGCTGCTTTGTGGGATACTTCATCTCCTCGGGACCCTGGAAAAGCTCCACGTGTACGTTTTTAAATTAATATATTGCTTTATATCTAAAGTGTTATCTTATTAGGGGCCAAATACGATCCCCCCCAACGTGCGTTCACCTTGTCGTGGTGGGGGGGGGGGGGCTCTGTAGTGCCCGGCAATCCAACCGGGCGCGAAGCTAAGAAATGCACAGGGAGGTTGCCCACTTCGGTGGGCGGTGGGAGGTGGCCCTCTTCGGGGGGCGGTGTACCATGCGGGTTGCTCCTGGTACTTCTCTGATAGCAGAGTCGACCTTAGAGCAACCCCATGGTTGTTGTGGTCTGCTTCGGCAGACCTGCCGTCGGGGCGTCGTAGTTGAATGCGTAAGCGATCCTGCGATGCCCCATTAAGACAGGGGAAGGTTTTGTTGGGTTTTAGTGGGTAGCATTCTGGACCACAATGTTGAATTTGCAAAATGTTGGATTCTTATGATGTTGAATTCGCAAAATGTTGACTCCCAAAATGTTGAATTCGTAAAAAGTTGAATTTACTGAACCCACAATGTTGAATTCCTAAAACGTTGAGTTCGCTAAAAGTTGAACTTGCAATATGTTTTTTTAACAATCTATTTCTGATGAACAAAGGTTGGCTGGAAGAGATCTCTTCTAGAGATAAGTCCACCTTTGCATACAACTATTATATTAAAATGTCTGTATATTGTAAGTGAATATTTTATTATATAAGTATGTTGAATCCCAAAACGTTAATGCAAAAAAGTTGTATCCTAACGATCCGAAAAACAATATACATAAGTACAATCTGAATTGCATAAAAAATGAATTGAAATGAATTTTCATGTGCTTTTTATGAATATTGTTCGTTACCATCCCACCGATAGACAAGTCCCCATCTCAAGTTTGCATACTTATATTTATTATAACAAAACTCTTTCGTTTTATAAATTCTCTGTGCATCGATTACTAGTAGTATCTAAGTGGCCACTTGTAATAAAGTTATAAGTAATTTGTCATCCTTTGCTATTGTCAATCCAGTTTATAATTTCCTGTTCATTTAATATGAAATTAAACATTATTTAAAGTTAAAATATAAAATAAAAATATTATGGCTCCTTCCAAAGAAATTGTGTTTTCAAAAAATCATAAGAATAAAGATCTTCTAATTATAAAAGGCAAGTGGACACTAACTCAAGACGGTAAGGCGAATCATAACGGTACGACACGGTGGAAGTGCACAAATCGTGAAATATGTACAGCTACCGTAACCCTAAGCACGGATAAAACAAAAATAATACGTGAAAGTAACCATAAGTGCTTGATCGACCAGAGTAAGATTCAAATTGCAGGGCTTTTATCTGCAATGAAAAAAGAAGCTTGCACAAATTTAAATCCTGTTCAACAAATTTTCGATGACATGTCAACTGATTTTCTTGAGCAAAACCCTAATATATCTGCAAACCAATTACCAACATTTTTCTCAGTGAAAAGTTCTCTATATAGGGCACGGAAAAGGTTTTTAGGATCACATAAACTTATTTTTAAAAAAATTGAAGATGTCGTAATTCCTAAAGGTGTGCCCGAAACTTTCAAGATTATTGAAGATGGAAAGAAGGAAAAAATTATTTTGTTGTGTTCTAAGAAGATGCTAAAATTACTGAAATCTGAGAAAAGTATTTCCTATTATGGGGATGGTACTTTTAGATCGTGCCCCCGACCATTCTATCAGTTGTACATAATACACCTTGATGTTTATTCTAATGACAAAAGCATAAATATTTATCCAGTAATTTACGCTTTTTTGCCAAATAAAGCAGAGAAAACTTACACACGGCTATTTCAATTAATTAAGAATGAGCTTGGAGTCCGTATTGCAAGTTTCAAATGCGATTACGAAAAAGCTAATATAAACGCAATTAGGAAGGTATATACAGACGCTAAAGTGACAGGATGCTTTCAGCATTTTAACAAGGCAGTTTGGAAAAGGGCAAAGCAATGTAACTTGATCAAGAAAAAATACTCCAGTAGTCTTGAATATAAATATAATAGAAATATAGTACGATTGTGCTCTTATTTTGTCTTACTTCCACCGAAGTAAATGACAGAAGCCTGGCGGTATATTGTAGATACTGCTCCTTATTCTGAAAATTTGCACAATTTTTTACAATATTTTGAAGAGCAGTGGTTCAATATGGATCACAATTTGATTAGTTGTGCAGACGATACCCACAGAACAACTAATTCGTGTGAGGGTTATCACCGAAAAATAAATTCACGACTCCCAAAAACACCTAATTTATTTTTGGTTTTTAAAACGCTAATAAAAGAAGCTAATTACTATGATCGGCAAGTTGCACGGTCTTACTTTTTTCCATACAAGAAAAATAGAAGAGAAAAAGATGTTTTATTTGACAAGAGGTATTCACAGTTATTAAAAAAACTTGAAAAGAAAAAATTGCAACCTTTTCAATTTTTAACAAAAATTATATATATTAGGCTTAAATTAGGATTCTAATAATATTTTCAGAATTTTTAAATATATTTTATTTTTGTTTTGTTATTAGTTAAGAATGATAAGTACAATTTTTCGTTTAGGTGATATTCTGCGGAATTTTTTTTTAGTTTAAGGGTTACAACTTACAACTAACGAGATTTTTTGTTTAGTACTTACTTTAATAAATGAAAATGTAACACAAAACTTGTTTTTTTGTTCGATGTAATTTGTTTTTCGACTTTTGTTTTTCACTATGTCGACATGTTCATACAACAAGGAACAATAATGCTTCCTACTTATCAAATTGTGATCTTGTTAAACCACTGCTCTTCAAAATACTGTAGAAAATTGTGCTAATTTTCTAAATCAGGGGAAGTATCTACAATATGCCGCCAGTCTTCTGTCATATACGTCGGTGAAAGTAACACAAAATAAGAGCACAATCGTACTACTATATTTCTATCATATTTATATTCAAGACTATTGGAGGATATTTTCTTGACCAAGTGACATTGCATTGCCCTTTTTCCAAACTGGAGTGGTAACGAACAATAACTATAAATATCGCAGATAAAAATTCATTTCAATTCAGATTGTATTTATATGTATATTGTTGTTCGGATTGTTAGGATACAATTTTTTGTGTTCAAAATTTAGGATTCAACATATTGCAAGTTCAACTTTTAGCGAACTCAACATTTTAGGAACTTGTCATTGTGGGTCCAGTAAATTCAACTTTTTACGAATTCAACATTTTGGGAGTCAACATTTTGCGAATTCAACATCATAAGAATCCAACATTTTGCAAATTCAACATTGTGGTCCAGAATGGTGGGTAGTACTGGCTGTATTACGTCGGTGAGTCCCACACGTCGTGCGTAAATACATTTCCCAACGTTAAAAAAAAAAGGGGCCAAATACGATATTATCGAAACTAATAATATATAATTATAATTCTGAATTTCATTTACACACCAAATTTCAATGTTACATAATAGTACATTATATAATAATTATTAGCGACTCGCCCTTGCTTCGCACGGGTTCGTCCCTAGCTTGTTTCCCAATACCAACTTTCATCCCGTTAAGGGATGAAAAAGTATTCTATGTCCTTCCCAGGATATCAAATTAACTTCTTACCAAATTTCATTTAAATCGATTCAGTAGATCCGGAGATTACTCCCTACAACGTCACAAACTCACAAACTTTACCTCTTTATAAATATTAATATAGATTATCCAAGCCTTCAAACAGTACAAATATAATATTAAAAGCATTTAATTCATACATTAATTTAATATAAGATTCACATGACGGTAAGTATAAAATTAAATACAACATTCACCTGCGTATCTCTGAGCTCCTGGTCCACATAGAACAGTCGCATCTTGGAGGCGGGGAATCCCGCGAGCCGTTCCAGTCGCAATTTTAAATCTGACACGGTCCTAAAGGAAATGTGAATTGAAAAATGAATAATTTTCAAATAAATATATCTTGATATGGACTAAGTAAATTAGTTACGTAATATAAATAAAATAATACTGATCGAAAATCAATTATAACGATAAATGTATGAAAATGAGCATTTAACACTCAAAGGTACTTATATTACAACTATAACTATGCTAATAAACAGGTGGAACAAATAGATGGGACATGAAAAAAAAAACTTCAATATTGAAATTATTAAGATGTAAAAGGAAACATTTTTCTATTTAAAAAAATAATATTAACTTCTTTTTTCATAAAAAAAAATCTAACCGGAACCGGGAATCGAACCAAATAAAAATGGAAAAAAGAACGCCGTATTTTATCGTATTTATTTATATATAAAAACTTTTTAACAAAAAAATAAAAACCGACTTCAAAGAAAAGCACTAAAAAGTAAAAAATAAGTGATTGGTAGTTTTCATTTACTATACATACCTAATCAAATATTTTCGAAGTCGGTGTGCTTTGACTAAGTAATTAAAGCCTACCTATTAAATACATACCTAATCAAATATTTTCGAAATCGGTGCCAGCCCATACAAAGCAAAGCACACCGACTTCGAAAATATTTGATTAGGTATGTATAGTAAATGAAAACTACCAATCACTTATTTTTTACTTTTTAGTGCTTTTCTTTGAAGTCGGTTTTTATTTTTTTGTTAAAAAGTTTTTATTTTTCCCTTTTTAGTGTAGACAGTAGTAGCAAAGTAAGAATTGTAAAGTGTTAGGCTTGTCAAACCAAACAAAATAAACCCAAACTCAAAGTATCTACTATTAGTTGTTGAAGAGTTCCACCTATCCACCTTCTGGCCTTACCATCAGATCGGGTCAACAATACCGAACCACTGTACTATCAACGAAAATAGAAACACTTGCAAAGTTTCAAGTCAATATGACAATTAGAAGTAGGTTAAATTCATTATTTGCAATTTTTCCACCCTTAGGGGTAGTATTTTTTTTTGAAATTTAAATGGGACCAATCTGGAAGTCTACCCTTTCAAACAAAACAAAAATTGTCCAAATCGGTTAATAAATGACGGAGTTCTGAGGTAACAAACATAAAAAAAAAAAAAAAACATACAGTCGAATTGAGAACCTCCTCCTTTTTGAAGTCGGTTGAAAATAAAGAAATGTAAATCTGTATACTAAAATTATTAAAAAATATAGAAACTCTGTATAGCTAAAATACCATTTTGTAATAATCGTATAACTCACTATTTCATACATATGTATATAATCTTAGATAAATCTTGTTAGATACATAGTCAATTAGTATGTATTCTACTAAAAACTAAATAAGTTACCAGTTGTGTATGTGTGCCGTATTATCTTGATTGGCGTCAAGTTACCTTTAATTATTTTATTTTATCCGATTCCCTAAAAACCATTTTAATACTAAGTTATAAATTGACTTATATTTTCTTCAGTAATTAATATAAGGTTTATTTCTATTCATTGTAAATATGAAAATAAATATTTTTATATATATTGCCATAAATAAAAATCAACTTTTTTTAAATTAAAATATTAACATTACTTTATCTATCTGGAAAGTAAAATAAAACATATTTTCAATTTCAGAACGTTTAAATTTAGTATCTGCAGCATCAATAAGATAGGTACCTACTTATATTTTTAAACATTAAAATGAAGATTTACCTACATAAATCGATTCAACAGTCACGGTCACAGAATATGTGGGTACAAAGACAGACAGACAGACAAACAAATCGATCTTTATATTACACGAGTTTGTATGAAAATCGAATTCACATTTACGAATATAAGCGGACTAGCGGTCCTATCCTTGCTATGATCGAGAGTCTAACATTGTAGCCTATATGTTACTCCAGAGTCCAGGTCACAGTCAACCATCATAATCTATCCAGCCGTTTAAGCGTGAATGAGTTATGACTGCGTAATAAATACACATATTTGCGATACACAAAAACTTATAAATTTATATTAACTCTAATCGGATTTACTATAACCAAACATCACCGACCTGTACACGTCGACAGTGCGCACCTCGCTGTTATCACCACAGGTGAATGTGATCTGTACGCGCTTCTCGGGGCGCAGGTCGACGGACACAAGCGGGTCGAGTTTGCCGTGCACTCCCACCAGCTCCCAGTACCTGTGAAAATGACAAAATACTTAATACTTTCTTACATATTGGCGAATATTTTACATATTTTATTTATACTGTGACTACGTTTGCTGCATGAAAAACAAAAGTTCAAACGTATGCACCGATTAATTAATGTCGTGAGAAAATTTGAAAACAGTAATATTTAAAAAGGCACAGATTAGTTAAAGCACCATCGATACCATTTTAATTTAAGGACGTGAAATAACAATGTCCGCTAAATGGGCTACCGGCTACATGTCGATTTTATTAAAAACTAGCGACTCGCCCTCGCTTCGCTCAGGTTCGTCCCTAGCTTGAATCCCCATACAAACTTTCATCCTCATTTTCACTCCCTTAAGAGATGATTTCCGGAATAAAAAGTATTCTATGTCCTTCACAGGGTCTCAAACTATCTTCTTACCAAACATCTAAATCGGTTCAGTAGATGCAGAGATTACCCCTTACAACGTCACAAGCTCACAAACTTTACCTCTTTATAATATTAGTATAGATAAAGTGAATAACTAAATTGTAAGTTCAAATTTGGACAAAGTTAGTAAAATGTGAGCAATCCTTGAGATATAGTCTGTTAATTAAAAATAATAATAGTAAATGATAGTCGTAGGAATATTCGATACGTGTAACGTGTGTATTTAACAATGTCAACGGAACGCGGCCACTCATTTGCGTTCGTTTAGAAATTAAGGTTAATTGAATTTCGCATCACTCGCCAGTCGACACCGGACACCTACGATATTCCTTATAAATTAGACCTTCGAGACACTTTCCTAATGGAGATGTGTCCTTTCATATTTTTCTCGGACAATTTGCAATTTGTATCACAATATTCGTAAATTATACGTTAACAGGGTCAATCGCAGATTTCTTAATTTTTTTATATTTTGCACGATATGCCTTATTCTTATAAAATATTACAACAAAGATTTATATGTTAATACGGTTTACCTAAAGTTTATAAACACATTAGATTAAACATTAAAATTTTAATGAAGAACTTCTACTAGCGATATACGCTTCCTTAATATAATTCCATTTCCTTATTTACATTTCCAGTTTCTAAGCGCAAGAAATTTGTTCAAAACACCTTTGCTTTAATTTACATGCATTTAGAATTATAATTAATTAATAAGTAAAATTATGTAGTGCTTTTATAAATATTTTATATTAAATAGTATTATTAATGGTCGGGTTTCAAATGAAAATTAAAAAGATATCAAAAATAATATTCACTATCAAGTTTTGTATATGAATTATTACTCATCTACCTCAAGGTGCGATCTTTTCAATAGAAACTCGTTCTTATCATCTATACATATAAAAATCAATTGCCGTTCGCTAGTCTGACTAAAACTCAAAAACAGCTGGACCGATTTGAATACTTCTTTTTTTGTTTTGTTGGGGGTGTATCAGGAGTGGTTTAAGTATGAAAAAATAGAGGAAAACAAAAAAAAAAAAAAACAGCTGAAAAATCGTAAAAAACTTTTAGTTCTAAAGAACTGTTTATTTTTTACCTATCTATACTTATTATAAAAATAAGTCCCCCGGCCGCGTCTTTCTGTCCTCCTGTCTGTCTGTACGCGATAAACTCGAAAACTACTGAACGGATTTTTATACGGTTTTCAACAATAGAAAGAGTAATTCTTGAGGAAGGTTTAGGTATATAATTTATTATGCTTTTATGTAAATTAGCTGAAATACGGCGACAAATGTTGAAGAGGTCGCAAAAAATCTCGCCAAATGGGAACTTTCCACGCGAACGCCGCGTAAACTAGCAAAGATACAGTTAAGTAATGTACTAGAGAATTCAAAATCTATAAAAATGCTACAAAAAAGTCCGCGATAGCATATCTCTATCTCTTACGGTTGACTTACAATAACCACTTTTATGTTAACATTTTTAATTAAAAACATTACGTTATTTTCAAAGTTATTTTCTTTAGTTCGGTATTAATCCTTATCCAAATGAATATTTTAGTTAGCTTAGTCATTTAATGCAGATTAAAATTGCTCTTTACACTAAATCAATCAGATGAATAGTTTTTGAGATATCGTTGTTAGAAGTAATTAGTAGCGAAACATTTTTAATGCTTGGCGAGCATTGAGATGCCTACGGCGAGTCCATCCCCTCTGCCCCGCATCGCTCGACCGCCTGCTCAAGCTATATAAACCGGGCGATGTAGCGCGCGATCCTAGGATACTTTTTACCGCGGGAAAATATCTTATTTCTGAGGAAAAATACAAAAACTGCAATGTAAGAGTATACTAATATGTAACACCTAAGAATTTAGTTTTTGGTCATCTGAACGCGGGCGGAGCCGCGGGCAATGCTAGTGTTTATATAATAATATATAGTGTATCTATTCCATACTAACCGGTAAATTAATAAATATTCTGCATGTTAATACTATAAGTTATAATATTATCTGCTTATATATTTCTTCGATTTCTTACCTATCAGGTCTGTCAGATTCTGGTTTCTCCATATAATATCTGATGAAGGCCCGCTCCGCCGCATCTCGTTCCTCAGGAGGGACTGCCCCGCCACCGTTGAGTGTTCTCACGTGTGGTAGCCTCGCCACTAGGAGCAGTCGTCGCTCGTGTTCCGTCGATTCGAACCGCTCCCATAGTGGCCAACCCTGAAAACATGATTCATTGTGTTTACCTATTTTTTACCTACATATAGATAGATATAAGTATATTTATATTTGTTACAACGTTTCAATATTACATCTAGAGTCAACTGTTAGTTTACAAGTTCAAATAATGATTGGAATGTAAAGTTAAGTCATGTTTTATTCGAATATGGTTAAAGTTACAATATAGATAGACCTTCTCGGTAACGTCTTAACGATTTTAAAATTGTTGACGCACTATTTTCACGTTCACAGAATGTTTTTAACTACATAATTAAATGTAAATTTAATTCATTAAACTGAAATATTTATACGAATCCCATAAATATTTTAAATTATTTTGCAAAATAACTTATAAATTGGTACAATATAAATATCGATTAAATATAAAAACCGAATAAAAATATCGTCTTGGAAAAAAATACTTTTTCATCTTAAATCCAATATTATTTGCATATAAATAACATACCGAGAAAATGCATTCTCATAAATAGTTTGTAAGAAAGAAGCCAGATAAGTGTTTACAACGTTGACTACTGAATTAAACGGTCACGACGCTTCTGCCTTGACGAGAACGCGACGGTATCCATCCAACATGTAATCATTAAAATAAAAAGCGGCAGAGTAAGGCTCATTGAATAGGTTTTTGTTCATCTCAAGGCCCGTAGCTGCTAGTTTCCTTGTAAAGCTAAAGCTTAAAAATAGTCGATTCTTCCTGTGGTTGTGTAGAGTACGAGTCATATGCCATATTTTTTCTAGCATTTCTGAATTGAATTTATCTATATAATGTATATGTAAAACATACTTAATATTAATAATACTGGGAAAGCGTGTTTGTTTGTTTGTTTGTTTGTTTGTTTGTTTGTTTGTTTGTTTGTTTGTCTTTCTTTTACGTCGAAACGGAGTGACGCGTTGGCGTAATTTTTTGTGTGAAGATAGAGGGCTGAAGAGTGACAGGCTTTTTACTGCGGGAGATTATCTAATTCCCACGGGAACACTCGTTATAATACAACTTAAAAAAATATTTATGATCAGAATTACTTGAAACATGGTATTAATGCTCATCAATAAAATTAAATAAATACATGTTTCAGCATTATTCGAAATTCATCCCATAAGGGGGTAAAATAGTGGATGAAAGTTTGTATGAAACCTATCTTTTTATAGATTTGTTTGTAGTTTTAGCGAGAGCGAAGCCGCGGGTTCTGCTAGTATAGTATAAATAAACATTGTTTATAGTACATTTAGTAATTTAAAATGGCAATAGTATCTTCTTAGTGTATTAGTAAAAGATTTCCGATAGCGGTAAAAATGTGAAGAAATATGTTTCATTGCTATAATATTGAGAAAAAAACGTAGAAATGCAATAATATAGATACATTTAATACAAATAGATTACCTATTATCTATCTATATATTTCATTTGTGATTTCGATGCCTCTATTTGGTGCACTTGAGTTACAAAAATAGCATCGTTGCAAAGACCGGCAACGCTAATTGAAATCAATTCATTGGCACTCGCATAACTTGATTAATGTTTGACATCAATTCTCAAATATAGCACTTAACAATTGGCTTAGTGACTGTCTTGTCTTACATCGTATATGTGAATAAAGCCCTCTTATCATAAACATTAAACATAAATAATTATGACATAATTACCTACATAATACAACAAGATACTACATAATATAACAAGAAAGGACTTGCAAAATTAAAATTCATTTTTAGTGTGATAAAAAAAAACAACCGACAAAACTTTCACTATAGTTTATAAAAATGATTGAATATATAAATTTCGCATATAAAAATAATTTAAATGATAACCAAACATAGCCTTTACTTCATACAGGGATTAAAGTAAAAACTTAAAATCCACATTCGTCTTATATATGAGGCTCTACAGCAACGTCAGTATGGATTTAAAGTCTATAAATGGGTTTCCTAAGATCGTCACAAAACAAATAGGTAATTTCTATAATTCAACTTCAAGATAATACGTCAGAAGGGCGAAAAGAGTAATAAAATCTCCCTTTGTTATATTGTATCACGTATGCTTAAGCACAGCCTTGCGAGCTTGTATTGCCCGAAAATGGAACGCGGAAAACGTACTTTATGCATGTATTAGACGCAGCGGAATCTAAGATTGCCGCATTATACAAATAAAATTATAATTGGCATTTAACAAATTAGATACTTTGAAGGATATATATTATGTTGAATTTTTAATTAAATATATGTATCTACTTGTTTTTTTAAACATTAGATATCGTAATAAATTTAGTATTTAACTAACCAGGTTAGTGTTACTGTAATGAATTGATATTAGGAAACCACAGTTCGAACCTGCGCTACTTGCTATATGTGAAACTTCGTATTACACTAACTACTCAACCAACGTTATATAACCGTAAACGTACCTATGTAGTATACCAAATATACTTTTTGTAAACGCTTAAATTAAAATTAAAGTGAAATAACAAAAGGAACATGGAAATAATAGTTTTCAAGTAGACAGCAATTGTGGGAAACGTTTAAAATACGGAGTTGGCTACCTAGTACCATGGCACGTAAAATCTCAGTTGGTCGTACCAACTACCTAGAGACATTTCAATTGTAAAAGGTACAGATTTCTTTACATTAAGCAAGGGATTTAAAGCTTACTACATCTTGCTTAAAAACGTGTGAATAGGCGAAATATTATATATATATATATATATATATTCAAAAATTTGATTTGAAATTGCGGTTTACAAAAATTATTTATTCTAAGCGAAAACGTTTTAAACTGTTACTCTATTTATAAAAAAGAGAAACAAATTTCAATTTAAACCGATGCAAAACTATACATGGGAAAATGGTGTATAATTTAACCGGAAACATCTGCAATGAACGCGTCCCATGCATTACGTACCCTACAGGACGTATCGCGCACACGCAGACCAACCCTAATTTATTGGTGTTCCGTGAAATGGTTAGTGCATTTGGGCAAATCTGAATTTTAACAGCGTGCGCCGTACCACGCTGGAATGGAGCCGTTCTGAATCATTAATTATGATATCGATTGTATGTCAGCTGCATAAACCAAGGGAATATATTTTTAAATTAATGTTAGTGCAAAACTTGATTATATTTTCGAACAGAAATTAATTGAACTACTGTTATAAATGCGAAAGTTTGTATGTTCTGTTTCACGAAAAAACGACTGGACGAATTAGGAAGAAAATTTAGTACACCCTACACAGATAGACTATGACCTGGAATACCACGAGCAAAGCAAGGGTAAGGTCATTAGTTAATTATAATTGTACAATTTCATAATACATATAGTGTCGTTTTATGTATGTTTTATTTATTAGTGCTCGCCATAAAATTATAATTTAATAATTTAAATTTTGTGGTATTCAAAACAAGTAAAAAATAAATACATACCTAAAGCATTTAACGTTAACGCTGATGTACGTAATGGAAGCATAAAAATTAATTACACAATTGTATTTTTTTACAATTACATAAATATTTTTTACAATTAAGTACATACTTGAAGCAGTGACCTATAAAATACATAATAATAGAACGCAAGAAGCCACGTATCTTTTGTCATAATGAAAGTACACATAAGTTGTAAACGTGTGTTTCTATTAATATGCATAAACAAAGAGCAGTTGACCTAACCGCTATTACAGTAATGCATGCATAGGTCACCTCGTTGAAAGGAACGCCAACGGACACTTAACTGGTCTAACTTAATACTTTCTTAGATTTACGCGAGCATTTGACATTTTAAATAAAACATCTTTTCGGATTATTTCGGGGATTTATTTTGATTTTTGGTTACCGACGTTTCGTGTTCCCGTGGACTAACTTAAAAAACAATTAAAGCGATTTTAAGTGTAATCGAAATAAAATTGTGTAAACATATCTTAAAGTGCTTTATTTTAATTTAAAATATTCTTTATACGCACACAAAGTGATATATATGTAATATAAGTTACATGTGTAACACCTATTGTTGTTTCCCCACACGTCTAGCAGCTAAATTATACTTTCATGCAATAAGCAACGCTGACGGTGAGTCTGGAAATGTACTACTGTACCACTTAGAATGTGGAAACAATTCTGCAGTAGGAGACAAAAGACGAGAAGTGTGTATCGCAGAGTACAATGTACGAGACGACGGGTTCAACGCAGATTTGAGAGGTGACAAACAGGCACCGTATCTTAGTATTTATTATGATTTATATTCATATTTCATATTTTATGTAATATGTTAATAAAAATGATATCCTAAATTTAATTTAGGTACTTTTACATATATCTACGTAAATTATTTACTTATAAAGAGAGGCAAACACGAAACTTTTAGAGAAAGCTTTTACTATTCGTTACCTATCTTGTAAAAGGTAAAATGGCCTAAATCAAAAAAGTTTTCTGCCAGGCAGTGGACTGGCTATTTTACGCTTAGTTCTTCTTAAAAAAACAACGGACTTTAATATAGTTTCCCTTTCATTTAGTATATTTCTTGCGAAAGCATATTTTATAGATGTTTTGTAATCAAGTTCACAAGCCTGAGAGGAACAAGGGCGAGTCGCTAGGAATATTCTCCTCAAATCTAAATACTTGCCAACATTAATGCTATGTAACATTTAAATCCATCAACTCAATACGAGGGGACTTTTTGGGTCAAGACTCTCTACGACTGTAGCCACCTAGCGTTCCTTGATTTGCTACCTCTGATAAAGTTAGCTGCCTAGCGCAAATCACGCCATTTGGTTTATGATGGTTTGCAGTCCTTATATGAGTCAGACAATCTTTAAGGACGTTTTTACTTATTAGATTACCATTTATTGAAAACGATTTAAATAATTTTTATGAATCTCATTTTTATATCAATTATATAATAACAGTTATTTCGTATAATGTAATAGGTATATTTTATTTGGCTAAAAAAAAAAAACAAAAACAAAGTTTATAAAACTTGTTGCAATATAGGTACTTTATTT